GCGGTAAATTGACTTAGATTGTTTGCCCTGGCAAACTTATGTACTCCAAACTCATCCACTGGACGATGCTGNCTGTATTTCTTGCGTGGGCGATCTTGTCGCCGACGGGCGATGTTGTCCAGGGCGTTCCGGTCAAACTCGTAGGCGCCGACCTCATTACCGTTGTCCATGGACATTGTGTTGGAAGGATACGTTAAGGTTCCGATAAAATGAAGAAATGAAGAAGCGCTCCTTCATAGTATGGAGATGGTAGAATCGTCAAGCAACTTTTGAACGACCAGGGAGAGTTGCTGATAGGCGAATTTGTATGAAGCTATAGAATTCCTTTATTCTTTTAAGGTAAATGAATGCTTATGTATTCGTCCGTTAGTAGCGTGAAGCTTTGAACACTCTTTGTACGGCAGATTCGGCACAATGTTTTGCCTCATTGCGATGTTGCCTGAAATTTTGAACAGAAGGGATCACTGCTCATGCTGGTGCAGCAAGACATGTAAGGAGATGGCCTCGTCACAATCCAGCAGTCATATATCGACAATCTCAAGCTATGACAACTTGTTACATGTGTCTGTAATAAAAAAAGGACTTTGCGATGGTGTGGGGAGCTCTTTGAGTGGTGGGACTGTGGAAATCCAGTTTGTTTCGCCCGTAACAAGTTTGTTACGGGCGAAACAACGTCCCTCTGAAACGTTTGGATATGCCTTTGCAACACATTTCCTCAATTTCATGAACTGCAAGTATTTTAATCCAACATCACCCCAATCTCAGTGTAAACTAGTCTCCAAATGTGCCTGCACAAGACTGTCACCCCTGTCACCCGGCATTCACATTGCCTTAACCTCCTCAAGCTTGTCGGGGTGTGACACGTGGGCATGAACCTTGTGACAATGGGCATTGTCACAAAGAAACTGGTTGCAATCAGAAATGCATTTTTGCTCATGCCAGGTTACCGACATCGGTTACCGATTACTGGGGACGGTTAACGGATAACGGTTCGCCCGGTAATCCTACCGACCGGTTACCCATCTCGTTAACTGGACCCGTTAGGTCGGAACCGGGCCGGAACCGGCCTGGAGTATGCCATTGGGCCTCACCCCGACAGCAATCCCCATCCTAAAAGTAGTGTTGCACGCCGAATCCCTAATCCTTGCCTTAGGCCCCACATCCCATTCTGACGTCGTCACCCTATTCCCCATCCCGCCTGACCAGTATCTGCCCCCAATCCCCAATCTTTGCAACCCTCTGCGTGTCCTAACCTATTTCGAAGTCTTTGCATAGTAATGGCTGCTAAGAACCTGCACGTTGTTACTAGATGAGGCCTGAATGAGCTTGTGCGTATGAACAGCTAGATTGCATTGCTCAGACAGACGAAGCCACATAGGCCGCAAGCCACTTCAGCATAGTTGCGCCTGCGATCGGCCATAGCCCGCAGACGCGGACGCCACAAAGCGCTGTGTTTACACCGTACAGGCGTGGTTCGCGTATGTATTCGCGTAAAAAGAATAATAGAAATTTTGCGAGTTCCTTGCGAGTCGCGAGTTGGGAGTTGCGACTTGCGACTTTAGCCGTGCGCAAGAGTGCACTTCGCCTCGCACCCGCAATTTGTTATGCAAGCAGCCATAAGGATAGGCGTTGATTACTAGGTTACCAAAATTTGTTTTAGGTTCTGAATATGCGGGGGCTGCACGAGTGTGGACTGGACACTTATGGCTGGTTGCAAAACAAATTGCGGGTGCGAGACGAAGTGCACTCTTGCATACGGCTTGCAACATGCAAAGTCGCAAGTCGCGAGAAATCGCTCATCTTTATACGCGAGCGCATACGTGATTCGGTTTTCCGCACTTCTCATATCCGGCACGTAAGTGTAAATGCACACACACGCAGTCATGTCATACGATCACATGAATAACAAAACTTGGCGTTCGACTGCGGGTAAAGCTCATACTGTGTTACCCCGGGGTCAACTCCTCCTGCAATCACACATTCTCGCAGCAGTGATACAAACGATGAATTAGCATGGGCTACAGAGCTGGTGTCTCAATCATAAGCGCCCTTGCGCAAGGCAAGCACCCACACGTACGCAGTCGTGTTAGCGCAGGTTTCGGAGCCTTCTTAGCCTACTGCGCCCATATGACTGTACGACCCTCACACCGAAATAGGGGTGCAAGACCCAAAGGTGTAACATTAAGCGGTCTGCGCAGCTCATGACAAATACAGTGCTTTGGCATGCACTCTCCCGCTCGCACCAAAACCCTGTGTCAGACGTCTAAGGGCATTTGAAAACTGTACATATCCATACACATATAAAAGACACATCCCCGCAGACGCCTTTAACGGCCCTTAATAGTTCTCAGCTTATCATGACAGTCATAGTTCAGCTTTATGTAACATGGCGTCGCTTTACCATCCTTTTGTCAAGCTCTAGATCTATCATAACGCTCAAGTCTAAATTAAGTCCGTCGCAAGCCAGTCCTGCATGCTCTGGCTAGGACGGCCACGTAGCGAGTCTATGCCTCCCAGAACGCAACCGCGTTCCCATAGCACACTCTCATGCCCGCCCAACTTACACCGACCCATATGTGTTTTTCGTGCATAATATTGCAATGGCACCACTACGCCGTACCGCAGCATAAGTCGTGCAAATACGAGAAGGTTTCACATCGCGGCCAAATGCCCAATGATGCGCATCATGCATTTCCATGTCTTGACAGGGCGTGCCAGCGCACGCCGCTTACTCTGCCAGCCAATGGCTCTGCTGTGTGCAATCTGCAATACCACTGGCACATACTGGTAAGCCGCACTGCCACTGGCATTTCATATTTCTATGCACCGGAGCCAGACTCCCCCCCTCGAGAGCTGCTCAGTGCTCCTCCGAGACGGTGACGCTCTTGGCCAGGTTTCTCGGTTGGTCCACGTTAAAGCCGCGCAATACGGTGAGGTGGTAGGACAGCAGCTGGAGCGGTACGATGTTGATGACCGGCTGCAAGCAGTCTACCGTCTGTGGGACCTGCAGCAAGTAACAGAGGCAGGGGCAGCCACAAGCAAAAGTAAGGACTTCAGCACTGTGAATTGAGTACCAGGAAGTTGCGAGGGCAGGTCGTAACTGCCCAGCAGCGGCAGTGTTACGATGCAGAAGATGACCAGTCGTCAAAGCCAGCGTTGGGTGGTATCAGGGCAGGGCACGGTCTTGCGTAGAAACCACCGTAGATCTGGTTCCGTCTCCTCACGGGCAGTGGACAGACGTGGACATGTGGACGTGCGTGGGCTAAGTAAGCAGCGCATCAGGCAGAACCAGTAGAAGAAAAAACAAACCCAAATAAAGTCTGACATGGTTCCAATCCCACCTGGATGAGCTTGCAACCCTTCTCTTCGTACTGTTTCATACTCTCGTCGTTTTCATTGCACAGGATGTACAGCTGCGCAGAACGTGCGAGCAGCTGCTGGATGACGCTCTCCATCTTCTTAAGCATGCCGTCGCTGCGAATCCATTTGAACATTTGAACATCAGTATTAAGGGTGTAATGATTTAATAATAGGATACACGGCTCCAAACACACCACATATGCTAATGCGCGATATAGTGTGCCTGGAAGGTTCATAGGACGGGATCAACGACGAGGGAAAGTAGGGACTGGCAGGACCAAAGTCAGCCGGCCAACTGGGCGCAAGAATATGCAAAATACGTTATGGGTTGCCGTTACGGGGTTAGCCAAAAGTGTACTAGCGATCTTGGCCAAGATGCGCACGCAGCGACACCTAACACCATTCTGTGCGCATGACGGCCAGTCGGTACTAAGCTGCAGCAGGACGCCGCATAACCCTGATCGCTCTAGCGAATGCGCACATATGACGTGACACCCTACTCCATATCGTGCCCGTGCCTGGTTGGACCAGTCATTAAATTTTGCATAGTGCATGTAAGAACCGCCAGCCGCGGCTTTTCCCACTCAACATCCTAATGCTCGCGTAGGATAGCAATAAAGATTGACCCACCGTGTCGCGACAACTACGATGGGCATGTGCTTATCAACCAGCGCAAGCGGCCCATGCTTCATCTCCCCAGCCAGCATGCCCTCGCTGTGGATCAAAGCCACCTCCTTGACCTGCGGCGTTACGAGGGCGTTATGGTGTCAATGTGATTCGGCCGAACCGTTAATTAAAAAGAGTTAATGATTGGTATGGGAATTTGAGTCACGACGTTCCTTCCAACACTAGATTGGGCCCCGGAGCGCAGGACAACGTAGCGTAGCAAAGCATATTGCAACAACGCGTGACACGCGGCACGTTGAACCTCATCCCCACAAAGCACACGCAGAGCAACCGCCTCTCGCGCCACCTGCCTTGAGCGCAGCTTCCAGCACGGTGGCGTAGTTGTAGCCTCGCCCGAAGAACAGTAAGCTGTTGACCGAGCGCAGTTGCTCCGCCAGCTCTCGCATGGCGCTGTCGAGCATCAGCACACGGCGGACCTTGCCGGGCAGCTGGCCTGCGGGAACAGCTCAGGTTTACCAAATACAAAAATACGTAGCAAGGAGACCATGAAAGATGCAACTTGGGTATTCTCCATTCCCTAAACAGTTTACAGCTCCTAGCAGCCCACCCTTGCCTTTGTGCAGAAGGTCGTATTCAGGATTACGCCAAGGCTCTCTTGGTGCCGTATGTTAATAAGAGGTACATGAGTGAAGGGAGTTAGCAAGCAAAAAGAGAACGCATCGGGCATAGACATGAGCTTTTAAAGGTTGCCTCGAATAAATATCTTACCCAGTTCGTCAATTATGGTGTCCCGTCGCTCGCGCTTGCTGATCGAATCCTCCGCCAGCTGCAGCGCCATCATCGTGATGACAATGATCTGCGAGGTGTAGGCCTTGGTGGACGCCACACCGATTTCGTAGCCGGCGTTGAGGTGCACGCCGCAGTGCGTCATGCGGGAGATGGCGCTGCCCACCGTGTTGGTGACACCCACACACAAAGCACCGTGCGCCTTAGCATACTCCAGGGCGCGCAACGTGTCGGCCGTCTCACCGCTTTGCGACAAGAACATGCACGTATCATCCCTGCAGGAAGGCATTATTTAGGCACCACTTATAGATAGGGCGTGCCACACGTAACTTCTATTTCGTAATGTCCCAAACAGCGCGCTTCTGCAGTCACACCAGCCGAACCTCGCAACCACCATTTTTAAGATCTGATAGCAGAACCCCAGATTAAATTCGGAACAGCAGAGCGCAGAACTCTCAGTTTTCACGCCTTTCAAATCCGCACCCACGCACCTGAAGATGGGACCGCGGCGGTCCAGGAAGTCGCTCGCCAGCTCCAGGGAGACCGGCACCTCACACATCTCCTCCAGCGTTTGGCGCGCCGCCAGACACGCGTGGAAGGAAGTGCCGCACGCCACTAACAGGATCCGCCGGCAGCGCCTGATGGTGGCGCCGTGTTCCGCCAAGCCGCCCAGCTTGATACGCTGGTTGAGGTACGGATTGCCCACAGCAGGCCGCTGGAACTGCACCCGACCACGCATGGTCTGCAGCAGCGACTCCGGCTGCTCGTGAATCTCCTTTTGCATGAAGTGGTCGTAGCCGCCCTGGAGGTGTCGTCGTCGTCATTGTTGAAGAAAAAGGGATACCCGCGTTGGTGATGAAGCGCCATCGCAGCGGGAGGGCCGGGAAGGTCATCATACCACAGCAGCCGGGAACAGGGATTGCACGAAAGCGTGACAGCGCACCAAGTCGGTTTATGACTAACCCATAGTTTTCTGCCTTCAGGATACAACTCGTGTGTTCGTGCCTGATGAGACGCAGTCGGTGACAATGCCAGGCAGTCGACAGCTGGTGCCGGCAGTCTGCGCCGGCTGCTAGATAAGTAAGGCCTGTAAATTACCCACAGCGACTGTCCATTATTTTTCCGCCTAGATTACCTATGCCATTTAATTTTAATAGAGGCTCGGTGGCTGTGTTGCATACAAGAAGTACATACATGCCTGTAAACGCAACCAACCAGGAGGCACGAGCCAAGTGGCACCTACAAAATGCATGTGCGCCTTCCCATGGAGCCACCTTACCTTCATAATCTGCTCCACTTCCATCTGCAAAGTCAGCAACACGCGAGGCACGGCCTCCTCCACGTCGTCACCGCCCGTGTTGTAGATACCATAGCCCCCACTGCACAGATGCAGGACGTCGTTGTCCTCCAGCACGATGACCCTGCATGCGGGCAGACGGGCGGCAGTGGCGACGCACGTTAAAAGGTCGTCTATCATTTTTGACGAGATGTGAATAGTGGCGGTCACCAAAATTCGAAAGCAATACTTGAGGGTGGGAGGAGCCGCAGGCTCTGCTGCATTGCAATGATGGGAACTACCCTCTTAAGTGGATTCAATCGGTGAGGTCAGGACGGCGACAAAAGGCTGAGCCAGGACAATTGAGCCACACCTCGAAGCAATTGTAGACGGTGGTAGAGGTTCAAAGCCAACCTAAGCGTCCTTTCCCAGGATCAAGGCAACTTCATGTATTTAACTGAAAAATCCTAACACATGCCCCGTCTGCAAGGCACCACACGCACCGCTTCGTGTGCTCGATGACTGCGCTGGCATCGGACGCGATGAAGCACTCGATGGCCTCGTGACGCCACTTGGTGTCAGCAGCGTCGTGCAAGCGGCTGAACGAGGTGCGACGTGCCCCCGGCTCCTCCTTAATGCCTAGGATCATTGGGCTGCCGCGCTTGCAGGCTACCAGCTCCCCTGTGAAGGCAAGGACCGAAAGTTGTAAGGTCGTGCTGTTTGGGTGACAGGACGTGGCTGCGGGTTGGGTTGTAAGGGTTGTGCTGCTAGTGTCCGCATGGGCAATGGTTATCAATCTTAGTCCGTTGATAACGATAGTCGATAATCTAATGCAGGACACGGCGGATGCTAATGGGTAGAATGCGAGAACGCTTCCAGATATAATGACGCCGCTGCTTCACGCTCCATCAATTTAAGAACCTTCGACTGGCTGGGATAACTAGCAGCAATATCAGGTCGGGCGAATATGTTCGATGGCTGCAGTGACAAAGCCAGTGTGCATGACCACGTGAATAGCCGGTCTCGCCTGGGCCAGGACGGGCCCGGATGGCCCACCTGGGTAGTGTGTGCTTTTAACCAGCACTGCATATGCGCCTTCCAGCTTTTTCAAAACCTCCATCACGAGCTGCATGGGTACATGGATTGGCATACGAAATGCACGGCTATTAAGATTACAGCAGCGGGATAAGCAAGCGGGATAAACACGCTCTGGTCTGCCCACAGCAAAGAATCATCAAGCATGTCATGGTTTTGGTCCACAAAAGGTCGGAATGTGGGTCAGCAAGAGGGCCGCGATGTGGGTCAGCAATCGCCAATGTGGGTCAGCAATCTACCAAACCCTAATCCTAATGGATTGGCAAGGATGTGGTCAGCGGAGATCTCAAACGAGTTGGGGTCAGCGGCTGTTTGACCTCAGTTGTGCCAGCAGCTTAACCAGGCCCGTAGCGCTCACGCAAAGGGCACTATGACCCAGCAGATCATACCCCAAGTAGGTATTTCTTAAGTACTACATCATGAAGATGATAGGTGCGAACAGACCATGGCCTCCGAATTAGCAAACGTGGCGAGGTGAATACCTTGGGAAAGGGGACCTTCTCCGCCAGCCGGTCGTAGACGAACTTGCAGAGCTTTGGAATCACCTCCGTGTCCGTCTCCGTGTTGAAGACCTCACCATGCTTAATCTGCGTGTAACACCGGAAGCGTGATAACCGGTCCTTCACCATTACAATACAGTTGGCCGCTGCGTAAAGCTGAACAGGTTCAGTAATAGTGATTCATGAGCCAAAGCTGAGCAACTTTGGCTGATGGAACGTGCAGCAGCATGCGGCCTGTGCTGTCGTGATGCTGTGGAGGGACTTCACAGGGTTATGCGCAAGTACGGCACAAAGCGAGGGAACACGCCGTACTGCGTCGCGTGGCGATATCCCAGCGCCCTCACCAGAAAGGCCTTGAGGAGATTATAGTTTGTAATAATGCCATTGTGTACCACGACAAACTGTCCTTCTGGATCCGACGGGATGGGGTGGCTGTTCACTGCCGACGGCGGGCCATGTGTCGCCCAACGCGTATGCGCAATGCCGACCTGGCTGCGGAACTGCCGTTTCAGGTCCAACTGGTCGCGTGCCACGATATCGTAGGTCATACGTTCCAACGCGTCAACTTTTCCCACTTCCTTCACGATCAGGGGCCCGGTGGACTCAAACACACCGTTCTCCTCTGATATGACATCCTGGCCATCATTGTTGTGTTGTGCGAGGGGATACGCGTCCACAACGTCGAAGGCAACACCGGCAGAGTCATATCCGCGGTATTCTAGCCTTTTTAGGCCGTTAAAAAGGCAGTCAAGCACAAACTGTAGATCTTTACGAACATTATAGGTGTAATAGCCTACAATTCCGCACATCGCTAAGGGTTTCAAATAGAGAAGGTGACGGAGGCCAAGGTAAAAACAAGTAGCAGTAAAAGAGGACTCTTAAGAAGCCGAAATGATATTAAAAATTGCAGCTGGCCTAATGGTGGTGCTAAGCGGTGCCTAGTATTAATTTGTTAGAAGTTAAGTAGCCACACGAAAGGATAGGTTGTATTAAATTGCCAGGTCACAAGATACTCTTATTGTGCTGTGCGGGCTTTATATATGCCTACAGCTACATGTCCCTCAAAAACGTCCAAAATTCGTAGCGTGGGTTTGCAGTTGTACAATCGTTGCATGGACATGCTATTCGTACACCGAAAAATCGAAGTCGAGGCTTCTGCTTGATTGCAAGATGCAATGGAGCTTATCCCAAGGACTACATAGCGAATTAGGGACGCTGAAAAATCAACCTGAACAATGAATAGTCTGACGCCTGTCGTATGTAGCTGGTAGCCGTGCGAGAGTCCAGCCTTTCTTTCCTCTTTCCTTTTCCAGTTTTCATCTTTGTTCAAATCAAAGCAGCTCATGTACTTTCGGGTTCATCTGGACCGTACAAGTTCATGAAGCTTGTAGCAATCCATCTACCCATCCATCCATCCATTCTGTCATTCTCGGCAACCGAAATAAAGTTTAGAATGGTACCAAACATCCGCATGACCCGAACAGAGTTCGCGTGCAACAGATACCCTCAGGCCTAAGCAACATGACGCATCCTATCAGCGCATCGGCTCTCGATGGGAGTTGTAAAACCTATCAAAACGATGACAATCATCTAGTTGGCGGATATGGAAGAATCGGAGCCCTGTGGCCGGTGAAGGGGAAAGGGGAAAGGAGCTCGGGGAGGTCCTGTGCCGGGACTCAGCCGACGAGCCCACTTAGGGCGGCTTAACGAGTAGCGTGAGAATGTTTGCACTTTACAGCGGATCGACACCAATCTGAGCCAGCTTGTCCCGTGCATGGCGCCTCGTAGACACTCAACCGTAGACTTCCATAGCAACTAACAGACGGGCCACACCTTACAGCCGAGGTGGTTTGCTAATAATAAGCGTGTGAAATGAAGGTCTACGCAATTCGTGCGCAAAACGAGAGGGCCACCTCTGTCCAGGTGAGTCCCTCGGCAGTGCAGTCCGTCGGCCGGGCATCACGCTGTTTTTCCGCTATCCATGCATGGAACGCATCCCATGGTAGAGGGGCGTGAGAGAGCCACAGTTCTCCCGTGTTCCACCTTCGTGTGTATACGCGTATGGGCGCGTGCCTATGCCGGATATTGTCTGAAGTGCGTCCTTTCGACATGTTTACTGGTATTGCAAGGCATGGCAGTAGGACGCTCCTGTGCGTGCGGCTACCGGCATTGCGCCTGTACTCCCTACACAACGCCGCTCTGACCAGAAGCGACTATCCGTCCGGCAGCGCCAGTAAAATCAACCCAATGCAGTTCCAGCGCTCCCGAGAAGGCCAAGGGTATAGGTTGTGTGTGCGTGTGCGGGATATGTTGAGGCTTCCTAACTGTAATTGGGACCCAATTCCTTTCAACGCTTTCTCAAATTACATAACTACACGCAGATCATGCAAACCTTTGCTTACGATATTGCATGTCATTGTATCCCTTGTCCCCTTTTCGACCAGATTAACGGAAAATGTACGATGCATGACTGACATTTTGTACACAGGCGCCAGATTCACAAACAGTTTGTAGCAATCTATTTCGAGATTTATGATGTCGCTTCTACGTCCCTGCCCGCTTTCACGGCAACGCGCTTTTGGCCAAGTCCCTTCGCGGTACCGGCAAAAGATATCTCTGCGCGGTATGTAACTACGCGTGTTTCTATATTGTCATCTCATAACACTCCAGGCATAGCGCCGTGCTGATCTTGCGTCGTACGCAGCCGATGCAACCGGTCTAGGCACTATTGCCGCAACGCTCCCCATCGTTGCAGTTGGAGGGTAAGATAATTTGCAACATTATGAGTTACTTGATTTGACATGCCGTGCTTTGCGTGCGAGCACCCGTTACCTACCGGTCCCTGGCGCACGCAGGGTTGCAGCATGGAAGTTCGCTCTGTATGGGCAGCTTGAATACATCACAGCTTCTATGCTAACAAACTACGTACCCAAAGGTAGGGGGGTGGGTTGGCAGGAACGCATAACCACGCACGCATGCTCTTCGCATGCTCCAGATCTCCCAAATCGACGGCGGCGGAATTTGTGCACAGGGGAGCCCGGCCCACGAGTCATTCAACTGCAGGGCGGCACACGAGTAAGTGCAGGTATAGCTCAGGTGCCTCTAAGGTTCTGCAGATGGCCTCTGTCGTACTGGTAAGGAATTTCTCAAGTATTCGTCGCAGCCAACTGCCACGCTGCTTATCGACGCACCGCAGGAGCTCTATTATTACCCTAAAAGCACGGTACAAGTGACGGTGGTGGGCGAAAATGTCAACAAAGGGCTTTTAGAGCAGGCCGGCTTGCAGGTACGGTAGAGGCCCAGCCGTGATCGCACACTACTTGTCCCTAGATGGCAGCCAGTCTGGTGGTCAGTTGGGCGGCCGGGTTGAGTGACCAGCTTCCCTTGCCCTCTGCACGTACCTGTGTCGAGGGGTTGACGGTGAAAGGCAGACGCAATCGGAATCCCCTGTGTACGGCGAGTTTTAGAAAGGGACAAATGTACGGGTACCGACACCTCAGTCGGCTTGATATGCTAACTTTGGGACTAACGCTATCTGACGTCATCCTAGGACCGGCGACGGCACGTCGGACCTTCTGGATGTATCACGCTGCTACCCGCCGCAGCATCTGCAGCGCTACCATCATACAGGATCTCCGCACTGTGCTCGTAAAGAAGTTGGTTGGTTTTGGGAAATTCTCCTTTCTCGATCCCGTAGGCTGCCGTGCCCACCGTGGCCAAGCAGCAGTCCCCGGCCAACCTAGGCTTCGCGTCGGATGGCAGCGTGGACGCAGTGGTTTCATTAGGAGCTGTGGCGGGTATGAGCGAGCAGCAGCGTGCGGTCTTCACCACGGAGGCACTTCGAGTCTTAAGGCCCGGCTGCCCCATAATCTTCGTGGAACGGAGTAAGCACAACGCGGCCGCAATGCGCTTCCTGATTCTAGTTTCCTGGGAGGTTTATGGAAGCACATGTATCGTGATACGGACAGGGATTGCGGGATGCTTGTGGGTTTGGGGCCGTTTATCTCGAGAGGGTAATGGAGGCTTTAGGTATTGGGATGGGCATGCTACATGTACGTAAGAGTGGGTCCGACCTGGTTGCGTTCCGGTTTCTGGGTGCACACAGACTGCGAGCTCGAACACGACATCGCTTTCACTCGGGTGGGATAAATGATGAGAGCTACCCAAAGTGCTCTCTCTCTCATGGATGGACAAGGAGCGCTGTCGCCCCTCCCTGTTCGTTTAGGTCAGTAGTCGACCCTTTGCTTCTTGCGTATAATTCCCTCCCTGTCTGACCCCAACATCGTGCAGTACCCGGCGGGCTGCCCATTCGCTTCCTTGGGGCCTCCAGCGCCACACTAGGTGGGTGTGGAGGAGCGCTGAGAAATATTCGTGTGTCCACGTCAACCCTTTTCGTGGAACGGGGTCGGTGGGGTCGATAGGGAGCCTGAAACAGAGGAGGGATTGAGAACCTGGAGGGCCATCACGTTGGTTCACACTATGCCGCGGCCAGACTGAGCGTGTGGAACGGTGCATCAACCGAGCTCCGACCAATCTATTACCCCAACCCCAACTGGTGGATCGCTCTTGAATGCGTCCTTGATGACGCTAGTCCCAAGCTACTGTGATGCAGCATCCGGCAGTGCTGGAGGGTTTCCATTTCGGGTGGCTTTGAGTTGTTGGCTGTGTGACACTCCTGCCCCGCTTACTCTTGTTCACTGCAGCCGAATCGTACCTGCAAGGCTGGAAAGAGCGGAATGACGCATTCGAGCTGGTTCAGTGGGACGTGGCTTTGGAGGGCCAGGACCCACATGCAGTTGGAGTTGCAGTCAAGTCGGCAGACTATCGAGCGCCACTTGTGAGCAGACGTGCGGAAAAGGCGGCTGAGAAGGCCGAGCGTGAAAGGGCGGAGAAGGACGCTCGAAAGGAGAAGTCTCGATTACCTAAGAAGGGGTTTGATAAGGTGGCTGGACAATGATACGGTGTCGCGTCGACACATATTGTGGCATCGACAAAACGTGCTAATTATAAGTTTGACTTGTGGGATGTAACTTAAAAGGTCTGTTGGCTGATTCTTTGCGATTGTACACTGGAAAGTATACGTTTCTCTTCCTTAATCCGACATACGTACCATGTCATTAATTGAGTTCCGTACTAATATGGACGGCATTTTATCATACATATACCACCTCGTAGGAATTTTAAGGAGTGGTTGTTTCTGCCTAAAGTCTAACTTCTATTCCGTGTCAACCGTAGAGGTGAAGGAATCAGCTGTCACCGCCAATCCACCATGCTGATCACCATTCAACATGGTGTAATGCCACAGTGCTGTAAAATGTGACAACGACTTTCCATTGAGACTGTGCCTCCTCAGGTAACGAGCTCATATCACAGAATCCATTTCAGATTGCGTACCAGACAATTGTGATTTTTGAAAACAATGTTTACAAGGTATGATACAATTGCATAGATTAGCGAGCATTAACATTATCCCGAGCATTCCTCATCACGTCATACATTAATGCTGTGGCCTCCACAAGTTCATGGGTAATGGCTGGGTCGTACATCGAGTGCCCGGCACCGGGCACAAAGCGCAGCTGCAGCTCCGGCCATGCGTTGTGCAGGTCAAATGCAGTTATTGCTGGACATACAAGATCCATCTGCCCTTGCACCGCAATGGCGGGGATGTGACTCAGATTATGTACACGCTCAAGTAGGGGTAACTCATGTCCACTACCTCCCAAAGTAAGTGAGCCGTCACTCGCTGCAGCTACAGGAATATTCTTAGCGCGAGCAGCCTTAGCTGAATTCATTTGCGGATCCTGGGGTGCTACAGACGCGCCACGTCCACGCAGAAATCCGCCGTGCACACTGTAATGGCATTCCAACATGGCCTGGGCGGTCGTAGAAGGCATACTTGGATCCCCTCGGAAGGACAGGCCCTCCTGGAGCAAGGCTGCCATATGCTCGCCAGGCAAATGAGCAGGTTTGCCTGCTGTAAACCATGGCGTTTGTTTCTTCAGTTCCGACACGCCACGGACTGATCTTGGTGTTGAATGAATGTTCGCTTGCTCGTGAAGAATCGGTTTATGTGGTGCCGGTGAAGAAGCGGGAGATGGTCGTGCAGGCCGTGGTGGTGAACGAGACGTCAAGGGAGTGGGAAAGGTCTGGTAACTCCACTGACCGCCATCCCAGTCCAGAAGTTGGCTGTTGGAGGCGAAGCCGACGCTCATCTCCCACTCCAACCAGCTCTGGGCCTGAAATAAAGTACAGCAACATTCCAGGTGCGAAATGAGCACAGAGGCGGACATGTGCAGGTTTGAGGTATGATGATAGCTTTTTGACACCAGATGAAATGAAGGCTTTTACACTAGATGAAATGACGTAAGACCCTGTTGACGTGTTCAGTGCAACGAGTTCCTGGGCCGTCAGGGCAAAGAAGATTGTCCTCAAGGGGCATCGGACATATGCTTGTCTATTTTGCTTATGAGCATCATTGGCCGCCAGGAGTTGGTACAAAACCAGATAAGATACGTCGTTGGCAGGCATGACCATGAGTACCTCGGCTCAGATAGGAGCGAAAGACAATTCTAGTTCAGCATTGTGGGTAGTAAGCCCACGTCGGATGAACTATGCGTGTATTAAGCATCACAGCCGAGGCATGGCATGGAAATACCCCCAAAACTGTAGGCATGAAACCGCACGCCATACAATGGTTGGGATTGTGCTATGCTGCAAGACTGTCTGCCTTCATGCCAGCATCCAAGCTCAGATAGGAGCGAAAGACAATTCTAGTTCAGCATTGCGGGTAGTAAGCCCACGTCGGATGAACTATGCGTGTATTAGGCATCACTGCTTGGCTGGAGACGGAAGTTTACTTAGGGTATGAAGTGGCGAATGGGAAATGAATAGCATGCACGACAGGAGCGAGACCACGGGATGATCGACCATTGCGACATAGCAGCGCAGGAACGTACCGACGGATGTCGTGGAAACATGTCAGGAACTATTGTCACGACTTACCGCAGCGTCTCGCACACACACATCTTTCGAAAGTAAGCGGCGGTAATAACCCATCAGCGGAAATTTGCGCTCTTCAGGGTCTAGATGGTCCAGAAAGCGCTGCCAAGCCCACGGCTTTAGAGCACCGGCACCACCGCCGTACATCCAATCGATCTCTTGCTGTCGCATTGCGCAAACACCCCGCAAAATCATAGCAGTTACCCTGCGATCAGAGAAGAACTCAGGTTATAATCCAAGGTCAAGATTTCATCACTAGCAGCACAGGAGATATTTTATACAGACATGGATCGGTTGCTTAGCAGTTACGTGAACCCTACCTGTGGGGATGGGTCAGAGCATACGCAAGCGAAAGCGCGACGCCCCAAGAGCCGCCAAACAGCAGCCATCTGTCGATTGACAGGTGTTGCCGAAGGGCATCCAAATCGGAGACAAGCGCATTCGTGTTATTACCAACCAGGCGACCTCTAGGCGTTGACCGGCCACAGGCACGCTGATCGAGTAATACAACCTTGTAGAGATTCAAATCAAAGAATCGCCTGCATTATAAAGATCGTTTAAAGATATATTAGTGCGCATATGCAGCATTGCAGCTCCCAGCAAGTCCCATGCGGCGCCGCCGCCAAGTAAAGCCACAGCAATCGCTGTGAGGCTATCATAGGATACTCACGTGTGATTCAGGTAGGAGCCTGCACCTGGGCCGCCGTGAACCACCACTGCCGGCGCACCATCTTCATGGCCATGCACTTCGTAGTAAAGGTCATGAAGGCCGCCATCCACGCGCAAATAGCCCGCTTGCAAGGGACGACCATCAGATGAATCGTAGAGCCCCTTGGTCGCGCATGGTACAGTGGGTCGGAAAAAAAGCGAAGCTTTCCGCCAGCCCAAGACGGCACTTGAGTTGCCTTTCCCGTGCAGCTTACATCTGATCATGAGCTGATATATCAATTAAAGATAATCGTTATGTTAAATATGCGCTAAGTGGCCGCCAATCGGGCGGGGCCTTATGTACTTATGTTGAATGTTGTACACCTCAATGACAACAACCCAACGACCCAACCATCATCTCTCCATGTCCGCAGTCCGCAGCTTCGCGTTCCGCTACCTGTAGCCCAATCATCGAAAAGCGGCCTATTGTTTGCTGGCTGTATTTCTGTAAAGGAAATCCGCAGGCGGCTGCGATCCTGTTTTCTGAGTTTTGCGAGAAAACCAGGGTTACCTGTCACCAGACCTAGGCCAGACCAGAGCAGACCAAGTACCTTAAAAGCCAAACGGCAACCAGGCCCGCATCGATAACTTTGCTACGGGGCGTATACATACCGCCTTCCTCCGCCGTTCAAGCCCTCAATCCCCCCATTCCATAGTGCCCCGCTGCTCTGAGGTTATGAGCTGCAAGCCCGCCGGGTGTTTTGCAATGACACACTGAAGAAAGAGAGCATCTGGGATATACGCGCTGAGTCCCCCACTCGTTCATTCCTGATGTCTCTCCGCACGCAACTGCCGTACTGCTGTCCTCCCCTTTTGCTGGCTCCTCGCCTCCTCCCTCCTCAGTCCGGGCTGCTCCCTTTCCTAGGCTTCTCTTCTTTCGCTCACCGGCCCCCCTCCGCCGCCACCAAGCTCAGCGGACTATCCATCCATGCCCGGCAACCCAAGGTAATAGCATGCTTTTGCAACAAGTGCTTTTCTCAGTGCATTCATAGGTGAATAGATATAAGGAGAAAACATGACGACGGGGTTTATATCAACCAAGAGAACACCGCCTCCGTGATTTGTTGTGATGTGTTGGGCCGTTTCGTAATTGTTTATGACGTTTCGAACGGTTTGTGACATTTTGGAACCCCTTTTTCCACGTGTTGGGAAGTTTTGTGACGCGATATTTACGTCAATTGCGACGCATGCAAACAGGCACGTCCTCGAAGATGCCCAGCAAAGCGCTTCGGTATACCCCATCAGCTGCAAGATTGACCTCCCTCCCTCCCTGCATACATCCCTCCCTCCACCCTATGGCATAAAAGGGTCGGTAACCGATCGGTTAGCTATAACCCAACCGGTCGCTTCGGTAGGGTAACCGGCATTTTGAGATAAAGACCGGTAACCTTACCAACCGCTAACCTTATTGGTCGGTGCCCGGGTCGTTAGCTCGTTATGTCGGTTACCCTACCTACCGACCAGGTACCGAAGCGACCAGTTACCGGCCGGTTTGGTAGGGTTGTTACCGACTGCTGGTGACAAGCAAAAGGATAATCCGAATGATCTCCATGCCTCCCAGCCATCGACTAGCAGCTTATCGCCAGGCTTGCAGCGGCATACATAGCAGCCCACTCTATAAAATCCAACCTTTACATTTCTAGTTGCTTTCTTCAGGATGCGAATTTCTGCAATTCTTATGCATGGTTAGGCACTTTCCATTACATTCCATTACGGCCAACCGAGTTTTGTCACGGCCGGTAACCGGTTGGTAAAGTAGCCTATCGGTAGGGTCACCCACCGGTCGGGTAAAGGCCGGTAACTCCTCGGTAACCCTACCTAGGCCCCACTCTACGGACCGATTGGGTCCGGTTACCGACCATTTGACCCGTCGGATGTATGGAATAGGGCCATCCCTCGATACATACATCCTTTCATACATACATCCATATATCTCGATGGCGTGGAGACTTCAACCCCAATCCTCCACATCTCACCCTTTCCTGGCACCCCTCTCACACTTCACTATCTAACCTTACCTCAAGGCCCTCACTACACACCTCCTCTCCCACCACACCACTCCAGGCCACACCATGTAACGCATGCCCACATCTAAGCTCAGATCACTACACACACACACACAAACACAAACACACACGCACTCCCTTCCCCCAGGGGACATCACCGGCCGCACTCCAGAAACTTCTCCCGGTACGCCGTCCCCCTTGCGACCACCAGAAACAGAGGAACACCCGCCACCACGTGATCCTGGGCACACAGCACCTGGCGCAGCGTGTGACGCGGGTTGACTCGGCGCATGCGCGCAGCTCGACTGCCATATCGCTCGGGACCGCCATCGCCGGCGTCATCCAGGCCCTGCGGCCAGTGGCCCTGCATCGCCTGAACCAGCTGGTCCTGCGTGAGACAACATAGGCAGAATGTGGGTCCAGGATGGTGAAAGGGAAGGTAATAAAACGCAACGCGATGTGAGTAAGTGAGCACTCAGGCTCCTGGCCCGACAAGACGGCGCAGCCCGAGCCCCCACTGAGGAGAAAAGACAGTCAGCAAAGTCAGTTTTAAGACAGCTGGGGAGGGAGGGAACCGGGGAACCGGGGAATAATGAAGAGAGGCCGCAGGCGAAGAAAGGGGCTGTAAGAGTGTAAAGGATGGTGGGCATCCCTTCTCACAACTGCACGCGCGCGCGCGCGCGCGCGTGTGTGTGTGTGTGTTTGTGTGTGTGTGTGTGTGTGTGTTTGTATGTGTGTGTATGTGTGTGTGTGTGTTTGTATGTGTGTGTATGTGTGTGTGTATGTGTGTGTATGTGTGTATATGCGCACGTGTCTACCTCGCCGACTTGACACAGGCCCGGTGTCCCCGCCTTTTCAAACGACTGCTGCCTTTCCGGTTCTCCCTCAACCCCACAACCCTCCACAACCTCCAACAGCCATCCGGAACGCCAACGAAGTGTACTCAAATGCCTACAAAGATGACCCCCGTACGGCGACCAAGTACAACAGTACGACCTACCATGTTGAGCGGCTTGCCAGCATGGGCGAGGTAGTACAGCTCGATGCGATCTCGGGAGTAGGCACCCGCCTCGTCCCACTCCAGGGGCGGAGCATCTGGGCCGAACATCTAAATGACGATGAGTGTGAGACACAAAGGACAATGGCACATGGGCGGGGGACACAAAGTGGCCGTAAAGCGGACGTCCTTCTGTCCGTGGATGGAGCGGTTGACGACGCAAAATATCGTCTACATCAGTATATTATACACATGTTTGATAGGCGTAAGGCCTTTTTGGACTTCTAAGCCTTACATCCCACGTTCACGCGGAGGTGCGCATGAGACTCCCCCAACTTCCCAGTTGCAGGCACTCCATCCACTGGTTCGCGTCTGGCAACTTGTCCAGGACCAGATCGCGCGCGTATCTATACCTGGTTCCAAGTTCCGATTCGGGTGTTGTATCCTGGAACCCTGGATCCGTGGGTTCGAATGACATCTCTGACATCCAGCGTCTACATCTGTTGTTTCACAGCACCAATCAGCACGACCCTCCAACGCGCTTTAAGCGCCTCAATGCCGCCGCCTTGCTAAAGGGGTAAAACCTGTCCCTAGTTCAACTTCCCAGCCCTACCTAACCCAAGCTGGTCGCAACCAAGTGCACAATCCATTCCACTTGCCCCTACTGCGGCCCTAGCTTAATCTTTCCGCTCGCTCATTCCCTGCCTCCCTGCCTCCCTCCCTCCCTCCCTCCCTCCCCCTCCCTCCCTAACTCCCTCACAAGGTCCAGGTGTTCGTCGAAGGTGTCCTCCTCCCCAAACGCCTCCACCACGTCCTGCTGACCGCTCTCCGGATACATCAGCAGCACAGGCCACGTCAGCGAGCCGTCGGGGTTGAGTGTGGCCTTGGTGCGGGAGCCCAAACTGACCTGAAGCGGCAGCACGGGCGGCAGGCGGAGGGGGGTGCTGGGGGGGTTCATCATGCACTGCTGTCACGAAGCGCTTCGATCGGGGGGTGGCGAGCAGCTGGGCAGCTGGTTGTTGCTGTCTTATCTGCTGTCACCAAGACACAATGAGCGCTATCCTAGTAGCAGTCTGGGCGGCCCCTCCCCCCACCGCCGGTCCTCCGCCTCCACCTCGCTCCCCCGCTACTGGCCACTCTTCCCCCTACCTGCGGCCGAGTCATTTTATGTCCTCGTGTCATCAGCGCTTCAGCCAGGGCACGTGCGGGCGCGGCCTCCGCCTCCGCCTGTGCCGCGATGCGCTCCTCCCGCTGCCGCCGCTCCTCCAATTTGGAGCTCGCCTCCTGCGGGTGCAATGGTGGTGGGACACCGGTGTTGGTGGGGACGTGCCTAACTGCCACACAGTTAGATGGGAGATACCATTATACAAGGGGTGCTGCGAGTGGTGCAGGCAGGCAGGTAGGCAGGCAGGCAGGAAGCAAGACGTCACAAAAGGATAAAAAAACGAGCAGGTAGCCCCTCCTGAGGCGGCAAACTTCTACAACGCTCCGGAACCACCCTTTGGACCCTTTAGAACTGCTATCTCAAGAGGAGCTCAAGAGCTTGCCTTGGTCAAGGAGTCAAACTCTTTGGACTGAGGGTCTGACTCACGGCCCTCCTCACAAAGCTGCAGGCACTGCTCCCACAGCCCAAGCTTCAGGGCGGCTTTGGCGCCCCGGAAGAGGGCCTGGGGGGGTTACAGTGACGTACACCGGGGAGCAGCCAGTCGGGGAACAGCCAGTCGGGGAACAGCCAGTCGGGGGGCGCGAGGGAAATGAAAAACACAGTTCCTGGCAAGATCCATCCTGAAGCACTCCACCAGCGAGGGCCGCGGGGGAAGGGTATGATGCAGGAAGCAAAGGAATTCACTTCCGACGTCCAAAAAGAAAGAGGCCCCGGTTAGAAAGGGCACTTGCACAGCACATGACTGATCAATCCATCCATTCGTTTATTCATTCAATCATTGGCTGTTACGTGTAGTGGACGTTACATAAAACATGACAAGGAGCCGCCAAACGCAGCTAGCCAGCAGCGCCAACGACGTTGCCCTCTTGCCTCGCTACTGCTTCGCCCCGGGAATCACACGGCCATAAAATAGTACGGCACGAGTACGGCACGAGTACGGAAGGTTGACCTGGACGGTCATTAGCTGCCGCAGCTTTGACCAACCTTAAGGTTCCCTGGATCCAGCTTCTTCGCGGCCAGGCTGTCATCCAGGGCTTTGCGGAAATTCCCTGCATGCAGACGTAGGCATGGCAAGAGTAAATCAAGTCGAGGTAAGGCGGTTAAGGTAGGGGCGGAGGCGGAGATGTCCTACCAAACTAAAAGCGTGGGTTGCAGCACTGCTGGGTACTCGAGGCAAGCCGCAACCGCTGTGTGCTGGCACGAACTCTGTGCAGGTGTAATTGTATGTTTATATATTTTGGGGCTCTCAGGTTCATGACGGAGAACGCACCTAGCATCAGCTCAACGTGAGCTCTGTTCGCGTAGAGAATCGAGTTGAGGCGCGGGTTGGATACATTAGCCGCCAGGCCATTGCCATAGCACTGGACAGCCTCCCGCAGCAACGTTCGGCGGGCAGCCGTGTCGGCTTTATCGGACAGCGCCAGACGCAGCTTGTTGTTGCCTTGCGTCTGGGGGTGGAATCCAGGGCCCGGTTTTCCATTTGCCGTATGATGTTTTAGTTATTTTGAAACCCCTCAACTACTCCCGAGGGGGGATGTGACTATGAAGGTTGAGCAAGGCGACTTGCACGGAGGTCTCCACTGCAATTGGGCGCCGCGACGCCATGAAACACTTTTGTTGTTTTACAAATTTACCTTGTAGTTTTCGGCTCTTTCCTCCGGCGATAAGTCCTCATCAAGAGCTTTCAGCGCAGCAAAGGCAGGGTCTTCTTCTGCGTCCTCCGGCAGCGCGTCCCAAAACAACGGATGTAGGCCCTTATTATCATCAATTAAATTATGCGCCGGACGTCGGTCATCTTCGTTGTCGCTATCGCTAGCCGACATTGAATTGCGTCGTTGCCGGCGCCGGCAATTGACACAGTTTTGGGTGCAGTGAATAAAATTAACTCCCGAGCATTGAGCAAATGGCGAACTAGGGAAGAAAGGATGCTGCGCTGAGTTGCCGTTCCGGACTCGTAGCACGCAGAGCACAGCAGATAGCAGGTCCTTTAAGACAGAAAAAGGTGACCACCTTGCGTTAGTGCCGCTCCTAGTACCGATACATCTCGTAATTCCTGTGGCAGCTTAGGAATCAAATTCTGAGCTAAACGGAAACAGCCCTAGTATTATAGGGACCCTTGCGTGGTCGAGGCCGATCAGGAGCAGCGCCGGCCTGCGGATCAGAGGTTATGTTCTCGATGGGCACCGGCAAGAAATCCTGCCATTCCTTGCTCCTGCGGGGATAGTCTGTCGCGAGGTAGCCAAGAATTCGTGGTATCGCAAGCAAAGAAGCATCCCTCTTGGCAGCGTCTGGTCGACACATGCGCATGATTTGCTTTCATTGCATAGTCAGATGTGGTTCACGATAATGTTCCATAACGGAAGCTAAAGGGACAAGCCTTCAGTGTCAACCAACATTATGGACTAAATCCTGTGTGAACCACAACGACCGACTGAACGTCTCATCTGTCTCATCCGGCACCACCTCATCAGCGCCATACGGCGACAGCTGCTGCTTCTCTCCTTCCGATGTCGCCGCCATCGGAAAAACAATGTGGGCACGCTAAACCGCCAGAGACAGACAAACGACGCAGGGAGAAGAGTATCCGGTGTTTTAGGGCAAAGAGAATATTCCTCAAAACCAAAATCCAATTCTTGCTGCTGGTCGTTTACTACCTGCCGCTGTGTTCTAATCGAGCCAACCCCCAAACACAATTCAACCAATCCAAACCGCTCCTTCAACGGCAGTTTCAAGAACCACCCGCTTGATCTCACACCGCCACTATGCCTCTCTATGCCCTACAACATGACGTGCGCATCTTACTTGGGAATGTAGAGTATCAGCTCGACCCAAGCCGTACCGTCTTAAAATTTGAATATAGTCAAACAACTATACCCGAATACAAGTAGTGATGTACTCGTCCATTTCCATCCTTCTTGCCGGCAGGAATGTATGACCATACACAGAAGAGACGCGCACGTACGTCCACACAGCAGACACCCTAAACGGCACGTCCCTGGAGTACTTGTGTTGCCCGTGGGCCCCACATTCAAGCGTTGCGTTTCAGAGATGAACATGGGTTGCATGTGGCCAGGCCACACTCTTACGGCCCGCTTCTTATTTCCGCATCAACATGCCCTCACCCTGCATCTGCCTGCGTTTCGGATTTAATCCCCGTCCTGCCTCTCTTACACTCTGGCACACACCATGTCTTGACGCCTTTGCTGCCAGCACCCCACCTACTAGCTATTCCGGGTCCCATGCTTCCAGCCGCCAACATGCAGCTCTTCCCAGTCAGGAAAATATAGTGTCAACAATCTTATGGCGAAAATTTCTACCCTAGCAAAAAGGGTACGTAGGGACCCCTCCGCACCATTATTACTGCGCTGCAGGAGGCCCCGGCCCTTGCGGCCCCGGGCGATGGTACATTTTCGCCTGTGTAAGTTTTAGTTTAGGTGCTCCGTTCGGATTCCTTGATTAGTATATTAATGCGAGCTTCGTTCGTTCGTCCATTCGTTATTAACATTCGTACATTCACTTCACGCAGCGGTGTGTGCCCTCGCTGACGGCATTCGCTATCTATCTCTCTTTCGCTACCTCCCGCTCTATCTCTGATGACCCATGGGGGTGATACTACGAAGTAGCAGCCGCCGCCGCCCTCGCCATCCCTTCCCCACCCGGCTCTGCAGCCGCCGTTGCCGCCGCCGCTTCTTCATCCTCTTCGGCCTCTTCTGCTGCGGTGGCTGGCGGTGGAGCTGCGAGCACAGCCCTGCGGTCCGAGCCGAGCGGCTTCCGGAACTGGTAAACGCACTGCAACTTGCCACAGGGGGAAAAAAGTAACAGCTCGGTCGCCTCGGTGTTGAAAGACGACGAACCGATGACGCCGACGCCGACGCCGCCGGCGCCCTGGTTCTGGCCGCGGGCGGGCACCAGTGGATCCGGGCCCCGGGACGCGAAGAGGTCCGCGGCGGCGGCCTCCCGCGCAGCCACACTCTGCCGTACACGCGGCAGAGGGTTCGGTTAGGCAGTTTGGCAGATTGCCGGTAATCGTGCAACGATACATCATGGAACGACTGATCAGCTGCCGGCGTCCGAAGCCATAATTGGGATTGAAGGCCTGCCGTACGCCGCCAGCAGATCACCGGCAAGGCAGCCTTAGCAGCCATAAATAACTTACACGCGTATAGCAGCAGTTTGTACGACAGCAACCGGAGCAGAATCAAACATCAAAAGCGATAACCAGTAGCATCTAACGAAGTAAGTAACAAAGCACAGGAGTAAGAAACACAATCACCACGTCATGCTGTAGCTCACCGCTGGCGTACGCAGCACCAGTCGAGCGCGCCAGTGCGTGAATGTCGCGTTGGTGCCATGCCGCGCCGCGATGCGTACGACAGACTCGTCCACGTCGTACTTATCGGTTAACTCTTGTAGTACCCGCTTGGCATCCTCCCGGTTTCGAATAGCCTTCGAGGTCGCCAAAGCATAAAGGATAATTCATAATACAAGTTAAAAAGTTACAAGCCACAATGTCCCCTCAGATGCGGTGGGGCATCCGAAAATGCCTGAGGGGCCCCCGGCCTCCCACGAACGGGATGGCCTTAGGCTGATTTATTGGGCAGGCGGCTGCGTGGCGTGTGCATGCTTAAATGAACTGAGCTGCGCGGCACAACAGTCGGAGCTGTCGCGGCGGCGTCTGCGTCTCTCCCTAGTGCGTGTGTTTTGACAGCACAAACCCGGGTGTTGTTAACTCCTTTCAAATCGCCCCAACTTCTGGGGCGATTTGAAAGGAGTTTACAACACCCGCTAATCCTTATAAATGTTGAAGCCAGGCCAGCGAAGCACGAAGACGTCAAGGCCCTGGGATGCAGCAGGTATCCTTAACCAACTGATTGAGCTCTCTTACGACGTGGTGGGGCCGGGATGTACCGGGGGGGAACCCGGCCGTGTGTTGCACGTGTGCAGGCACAACTCCCCCCCGAACACCCCCCGTGTTCCCTCCTTCCCTCCCTCTCTCCCCCCCCCCACTCCACTCACCCTCCACCCCCGCCCCCCTCTCCCACCCACCGTGAAGGGGTGGTCCAGGTGCTCGGAGTCGTCCCCAGTCAGTCCCAGGAGGTCGCACAGCGCGAAGTCCTCCTCCATCAGGTTGTCCAGCACATCAGGGTTCAGAGAGCCGCTGGCAGTGGCCACATTCCACAGCTGTTATTGTGGGGGGTTGTGCAGTTGCACACACAAAACACACACCGATCGGGCAAGCCGGAAGCGACATTTCTACTATTTCAACAATTTTTTTGTTTGCCTGCTCGCCTGTTTACTTTGTATTGCCATGTGTCTTGTTTGTTTGTTGTAACGCTTCGACTCCCACGGCTTTTCCTTAGTAGATATATTTCTGTTTATGCAACTCCTCTTGGAAGATACTTTCCAAATCTAACAAAACAAATGCTCCGTGACACACATGTTAGCAATTGCCATTTCACCAACCGGGTTGGGATCCCGACATACATATATACGGTTATACAAGGGTTTGGCACCACTGGTAAGGCGCGACCATTGCCCCTGGAAGATCCCGGGATCGATACCCGTTAGGGTCAAAAGTCCTTCCGAAGGTGGAAGGCATTGCGCCCCTAGTTAATGGACGGTGGTGACCTGGGATAAAGTTAACCTGCAAGCCGACCAGGAACGGAGTTGGGCCGCTGTCGAGCCGGCAGATTCCGTTGGATGCTGGTGGTGGGTGCGGAACCTGAGCGATCCACTGAGAAGTTGACTAGGGTGACTAGATGAGGGTGCCCCGAAATACCGGGGAAGGCAGGGTTTCGCAGGGTAGCTGCCACGGGCGAAGATACACCCCCCTGTTTCACACATCATACATACATACTACAGACTGCCTCGGGAACTGCCTCGGGAAAGGGGGCCGCTGGTGAAGCTTAACTACCCTGTAACGACATACATACACACATACATACTACAGACCCACCTCGGCCCACACACTGGCCAGCTGCATCATTTTGTGAGGTGCTAGGGGACCGTGGGAGCCGTCCTCATGCTCCGAAACCTGCCGCCGCAACCGGGAACGATCAAAGCCGGCCGCATGGTGGTGCTGCGGATCTCGGAGCAGCGCGTCGCGCTCCTCCTGAAAGCAAACCGGGAAACCGGGCTACCGTTAGGAGCCCGGGTAGCCGTACAGCACGCCGTACGTGGTCGTACAAGCCATGGCCGTACCTGGAATAGCTGCCGGTTGCACCACGCCTCCACTATCTTGGCTTCGGAGTCGAAGCGCAGTTCGTCTATGCGGACGCCCTCTGATATTCTGTACGGTATGGTGCGAGCAGGTCCAGGGGTAGGAGGTCTTGAGATTTCGTCTTGAGATTTCGTGTATTCGCTGTTCTATTGTCCCTAGCATCGGCTTTGCTTTATGCGACCCGGGAGTCAGGGGATCCGGGAGTTGAGGAGATTTGGAAGTCCGGAGGTGTTGCTGAGGAAATCGGAAACCGCCCGCCGCGGGATTCGACAACGGGGTTGGGACTCCGTATGCAACCAACAAACCAACAGCACGCCGACACAAAATACATCCATTCTCCACCGTCAGCTGACCTGCCTGTGTTGTCTGACCATTCAACGTGAGAAGCGTGACAATGTAACATCATGTAAAATAAGATATACATATACTGATTATGTACCCATGATCCTCAGTAGATGGTCTGTATCCATGAGCGACATGAATGAAAGAGGTTACCATAGATCTGATTACCAAAAGGATCCCCGCTTGGTACTGACCGCATGACCCCAAGTAACACACTGTAACATTGGCCGCATAAGGCCCTCAGAGGTTCCCATTAAGGCCGTGTGCCTTGTACCACGGCTTTCCGGACAGCACCAGGTTGGCAACCAGAGACACACCCCCACATGGCCGTTAGCAAATCGACGCGAGTATGTATTCTAAGCGCGGCCTTAATAAAGGGTGTGGAGGGGGACACAGGAGGACAGTCGGCGCGAAGTCACGGACACAATCTCGTGGGTGCTAAGAGCAAAAATGCCTTCCCCTCCCTTTCCCTTTCCCTTTCCCTTTCCCTTCCCCTCGCTTCATTCACTCGTGGTTCGTCATCCCCTTCCCCTTCCCCTTCCCCTTCCCCTTCCCTCCTCTGGGCCCCCGAGCGCACACCTGCCGGTGGCTTGGGACCCTAGCCATGGCCCCACACTCTTCATGTGGAAGATGGACAGCGCGAAGGCCGTGTCCTGATCTTCGTTCACTGCCACCAACAAGATCTCAAGGAGCAGGGGCTGGTAGGCCGCGCGCTCGCGCTCGACGTAGTCGAAGAAGGCGTCCTGGCCAGTCATGGTGGGCGGCGCCAGGTAGCCGAAGAGTCCGTCAGCATGGATGGTGGCATCGGGAGCCATGTAGAGCCTGGAGAGGACGGTGGGGTCGGTTTTGTTTTGTTCTGTTTCAGGGCGAGCGGCTGTGTGGAGTTAGGAACCCGCAATAACAAAGGATTACTGGATTATTTAACAGTGGGTTGCAGATAGGCGAAGGGCCTTGTCTGATCCTGCAAAGAAGTCAGGGAGATACGATGGAGGCAAAAACGACGAAAAGAAAGCGTATGTGTTAGATGCAGCTGCATCGACAGACACAGAAGTGCAAGGAAATTATCGGGAGCGGGAGCCATTCGTGTGAAGAGGAGGACGTTAAGAATCATGCAACGTAAATTAAGGGAGGCTGGAGGAGTCCGCAAGGAAAAAGAGGAGCTGGTGATTCGAGCTTGGTAGACCCACGGGTCATTTCAGCCGGTCCTAAGCCCGAACATTTTGCGCGCTTAGCCACCGCGCCTGCATCCAGCATGAAGACCATAGACCCGCTGCATTCGACATGACAACGACTCATGTTTGCTGTTCGAAAGGCATCTCGTACTCCAAAATACCAACTCTTCACTACTCGACGTGAAGAAAATGCGCCCGTCCAGGCAAACCATCAGAACGAACCGACAACGACAAGACCCCGGGAGCTCCAAAATGCCTCAAGCCTGCAGGTACAAAGCCATTTCGGAAGGCCGCCAGCTGGCTGCCGCTGCCTTGTCCTCACCATTCCTTTGTCATTCCGGAAATTGCATCAGGGAGCATACCAAAGCCTAGGTGGTGCTTACGTGGCAGCGCGCTTTACATCTGCGGCCTCCAACGGTTCCCCGCTGTCGAAGTTTGTCCAGTAGCACACGTCATGAAGGAAGCGCTTGCAAACCACCTCCAGACGCTCGGCCAGGGTTGTGGAAGCAACCGGATCATCGCTGTTGCTGCTGCTGGTGTGGCTATTGTCTGCCTGTTGTGCTGCACCTTTTGACATTTGCGGGGCGCGCGCCAAGGAGCGGGTCAGTAGCATTTTGTCCTGTTCCTCTTCCTGGCTAGTCAGCTGCCTCTAATACTATGCTCCTGGAAAGAATCAGCGTCAGATCGTTTGTTAAGGACGGTAGCAGTTGCTACATAACAGATATTAACCGCGGAAGTGGTGGAAATCTCAAAGGATTTGCTTATGAGGAGGAACATCGGGCCCCTTGCGCATCGGGTTACGGTGTACGGGGTTCCATGCGACAGGGCGGCGGGACTGGAATCCCTGCTTTGGGCCCGATATAATGGCTTGCGAAATTTATAAAACTTGCAAGAGATGAACGGAGGATAATGCCTGAAGATCTTACAACGCTGTAGTCTTCGCCCGGTCTTGCCTTTCCGGACAGGTAGAAGTAGGAAAACATCACCACGCAGTTTCGCTTCGCACACACAGGATTTCCAACGCAGGGCATCGCCTACTACTACGGCAACAGCGAATCCATAACATAACAAACAAGGTAAGGTGAGCGCATAGGAAGGAAACGAGGTAAAGCACATCTCCGAGCACCGCAAACTCCCCTTGCAGGCGCGCCAACTCGCAGACCCACAACCCGCACGCACCAAGCGCTCCACTTACCGCAGATCGGAACGCAGGACCTCAAGGAAGCAGACAGGCTTACCTCACAACCGCCACTAGCCAGCCAGCCTGTCGAGCTGCGAAGTCGCATAAATTCCCAACCATCAACACCCGCAATAATGTTCGCTGGGCAGATCTCCACTGCCCTCCATCCAACGCATCCGGCCACACCGTCTCGTATTATCACGTCAGCTAACTGCCCAGCAGAGCTCAAGGGTCGTGAGTGGCAGTGCCGAACACCTCACGCGTCAGAACATCATTTCAGGCGTGTGCAGCAGAGCACCTAGAGCCTAGATATCCCCTTGGTGTCGATGGAGTGAAAGAGCCGCCCAGCCGAGTCACTAATCCGCACGTAAATTTGAGCCGTACGTGGATATTAGCCCGGAAGAAGACCTATGTACCGCACTGAACTACGTTGAGCCAGGACCCGAAAGCCACATCACGACGTCTCCAAAAGCCAAGTCACCTAATTAAGAAAAAATTGGAAGCATGACAAGGCCCCAAAAGCTTGTTCGCGCTGCATCAGGCAACCGTGGATGTCATGAACCGGTCCGCCCGTGGGCCCGCTGCAACCGGAGAACAGAACGTGCAGCCTCTTGCACGGCGGCCGACCGGCGGCTGTTGGTCCCCTAAGCAGCCAACGACGGAAGTGGAAAGAGGGTCCTTAGGCGCTGAGTGGAAGCTGATGAAAAACTCGCGTTGCTCTGGACAAAGCACGAATCATTACGCCAGGGCTTGTGTTGCATACTCCTTCATTACGTATACATGCACAGCTATGCCACCAAAAGCCACCAAGCCATCGCCGGTAGCCCATCAGCTATATTTATGAAGACGAGGAAAGGGGCTGTCGCCAGAAGCCGACAAGTCACGGTGCTAATTTGAGATGCATGTGTTGTCCTCATCCACACGGCCTTTCCGCGGCGATCCTAAGGCGTCACTCATTTCTTGCGTTGGAGCAAGGGAATGTTGTCGTCCTCATCTTCGTCGCTGTCGTCAAGTCCACCGTCCGTGAAGACCCTCCTCTGCGGTGAACCCATCGAAACGAACGTTCAGAACAAGAGGGATGTCACAGGGGCCGAATACGGCGCACTACACAATAAAAATATTCAGCAATGAGTGTCATGGCTTGTGTGCTTTGATAAGACTTCCAAGACAATAGCTATAGGAGAGCGCACAGCTACCGCAGCTCGACACAGGCCACAGGTGCCTCCGGCTGGCGGCGTGCGCAACGTGGTTGTATTGGCGGGAACCGTAACGACGACGATGACGACAATACATACATGCAGGGCCTGCATCCATCCCCAGTACATGGCCCGTGCCCTGAACCATGGAAATGTCTCGCGACGCACAACAGGTGCAGGGCGGCAAAACACATGGACCTACCACAACCCTACGATATTCGCCTGTTCCAGTTCATACACTACTCCCGAGCGGTTAAGATGAGCGACGTACCGTCGCGTTCAAGCTTCTTGCGGCTGACTTAGGGCCCGCTGAAACAGGCTTCGCTGCCGCCGGCTTGGGTGCCGCTTTGGGCTCTGCGGGTGCCGCTTTTGGTGCCGCTTTGGGCTCTGCGGGTGCCGCTTTTGGTGCCGGCTTGGGCTCTGTGGGTGCCGCTTTTGGTGCCGGCTTGGGCTCTGTGGGTGCCGGCTTGGGTGCCGGTTTGGGTGCCGGCTTGGGCTCCTTGGGTGCCGCTTTGGGTGCAGGCTTTGCCACCAATTTGGCCCTGCCAATCGGCTCGTCGTCGTCATCGTCCTCCTCGCTGCCGCTGCCGCTGCTGCTCGCTTCATCCTCCTCGTCACTGTATTTTGCTCGCGTCTTCTTGGGCGGCGATATAGCTGCGTCAAGCATGCAGGGTTGGCCGGAATTACGGCAGCGTTCACGTCAGGACTGATGTTGTGCGCTGGCGTGAAGTTTAGCAACAAACTCATTTCGCCGCCCGCACCAAGCCTGGAGCTTCCATACTGCAATTCCTCAGCGCTCAAGCCAATTGAATAAAGCAGATCAAACCCTACGATGGTTCCAACAGCCGTTTGCATGCGTAACAAAAGAGGAGAACAAGTTAAACATACCTCTCTCGACCCCCCAGGGAAACATCGCCCGGTTGGACCTGGCCGCTACCAAAAGCTTGCTCAGAAGTAGGAGCCAAACCTGAACCCCAGTCGCTTACTTTCCGTGCGCGCGCACCTTGTCTTTGCCGCTTGGCTGTTGGTGCCTTCTCGGCGGGTCTTCGCGCCTTCGTCGCCGTGCTCTTGCCCTCCGACCGAGCGGACGGCTTGGCGGGGGACCTGTTCGGCAACAAAGACCTCGGTCATCTCACAAGCAGGCTTGCGATCGCTCCACTTTTTCCCAACAGCTACACAGCCGGCGGTGGGGCTGCCTACCTACGCACGGTGCGACCCTCAAAACAAGAGAAAGAGAAATCTGGTTGTGAGCAGCGTATTGCTTTTAGGCGTCACCATCCGTGATTTGGGTCAGCGTCTAAAGGGTTCTTGTGTCGTGCTCGCATGCTCGCCTTGGCGATGGTGCTAGGATTTCTCCACTTTCGCAGGGAACCTCTTGCCTGTGCGGCCGGTACGACGACCATCTCGCCGCTATTATTTGGCCGTTTTTTATTAACTTGCATGGCTGCCATCACAGACGGGCAAAGTAACTCACTTCACCGCTGGTTTGCTCTTCTTCATTTGCGCCACCAGCTCCTCAGCTGCCTCCCTGGACAGTAGCCCATGCGTCAGACACCTGCACAGTTGGACCCAGCAGCAGCAAGGAAGCGGGAACCGTTGGAAGGCGCCGTGCAAGGATTGAAAAATATAGGTCACCCAGGTCGGCCCAGGACAGGAATACCGGGACGACATGGACTGTAGTTTTAGGCGCTGTCTCATGGGATGAATGCAACATGGACTACAATGTTAGAATATATTCCGACAAGCCCTTTAGCATGTAGCTGAAGAAGGGTATGAGAAGCTCCAGGACAGCAAGAATGCGGCAAATGTGTTAAATGCCGTCCTTAGAGGGGTTGTGGACCCTCCTGTGTCCTTCGCTTCAACGCAAATGAATGCATGGGTGCTGGCGGGTTGGGTCAGGCAGCGTGTAACCACACTAATACACTGGCGGGTTGGATCTCACTAGTAACATAGTTTGGGGTTGCTCAGCCGTAATCAAGCCCCTCGGACACCAATGGCTCGAATTGTCATCCGGAAGCCCGCATACAGTACTAGCTAGCCATCGCTTTCGTAGCCCTCCGCAGCCAGACTTGCGCTCAACACGAGATTCCTGCTCGGAAGGTGCACACGGGGTGTCCCAACGAAACGCAGAAACTCGATGCTCTTGCCGCCACTCTGAGCCACAAAAGCGCGAGCCATGCCCGCTGCCCGCACATCCACCTACCCACCATTTCTTCGCTATCTCACTATCCGGGCGCTGCTCCAGCAGGGACGTGTAGAACTTTCGCAAGGAGTCGGTCTGGTGGGGGATACAGCGAACAGTGAAGCGGTTGGAAAAAACAGGTGTGTTCAAAGGGTAGCGCCACGGCTTACGGCCCAACAGAATGGGAAGCGTTGATGCGTGGAGTATGCTGTTCGTGTTTGCCCAGCCTTCTCTCGTGTCCATTGAGTTTAGGGGATGCGCTTCCAAAGTTTGGCAAGGATTTCCATGTCTTCCATCACGGTGGGATGTACCTACGCACCTCAGGCGGTGGCACACGAGTTTGACCCGGCATGTCGAACTCCTTCTTCTCCTTAGGCTGTTTGCCCTCCTCCTTGGCCTTCTTAGTTGCTGCACCGGACTTGCCGTTCTGTGCTGGCTCCTCTTTTACTTCGGCCTTGACTTTGGCCACGGGCGGCTTCTTCTCTTGCCCCTTTGCCTTGGCATCGGTCATTTTCTCCTTGCTTGGCACCCCCTTAACTCCCGTCTCCTGCTCCACCTTCACCTCCGCTTTAACTGCCGCAGGTTTGGCAGCTCCACCCTGCTGTACGCAGGCAGCATGCATGTCGGGCCTTGACCAGAAGCCGAGCCAACGGCATTTCTGACGAGATGTGCTAAGCTCACCTCTTGCTTTACCGCTGGGGCATTAGCAGCTCCTGCATGCCAGTGTAACATGAAACGGCTGGTGATCCTCATGCCAAGACTTTTAAATTGCAATAGCAGAATCCCCATAATTCCTCTCACCCTTTGAGTTCCCTCTAGTTGCAAGAGGCGCATCATCATCACTATCAGATGACATTGTTGCGATTAGGCTGGAAACTGGTTGGCTGCGCCTGTCAGTTACTTTTCAAGCGGTCAAACGACAGTGCGGTTTACCAAGATATGAGAGAGAAATACCAAGTGAATCGATTATTGTTATGTCAAATTAGGCAAAGCAGTGTGTCTCATGGTCCTCACCAGTACGGCGCCGTTCCCCACCTATTTAACACAGCCGCATGATGTGTGTTTTTAATATCACTACCGCATAGACATCATCCTTTGCGTTACCCATGGAGGACATGCGCTATGACGCTACTGAAAGCTCTCATGTCCATTGCTCGAAGGCTTTCACCCGAGAAAGCAAAGTTTCTATTATCCACGAGGGCCTCTATTATCCACGAGTAGCAGCTCTTTGAACATCGTCGTCATCCTTTGCACGTGTCCCCTGTGGGTGTCAACTCTTGTGCCGTGGAGAGGTTGGCACCTGTGCGAAAGCAGCATGAAGCCATCATGTGCCATTTAGCAAAGCAATCGCCGGAAGTTTAACCCCTCAGTACAGCATGCGTGCATCCAGGCCCGCAGCGGCAGGGGCTGGGAAGGGGTTCGTCAACTTGCGCCCCGATTGTGTTTTGCCCGCGGATGCATTTGACATATGAATTGCAACGTCGGTGAGAGCTCTTCGTGCTTAGCATGTGCAGCTAGAGTTACAGCTACAGTGTCCGCACAAGTGTGGAGGCTGTCCGTCAAAGCCGGGGGCCCCATGGACCGCTAGTGAAAGTCCATGTTACGGTGTCGGGGGCGATTATCGTCGTCCTCCCCTTCCCGTTTGAGCTCGAGGCGCCGGAGCGCTGCGTGCCTAGTCTCCCAGACCTCGGAGAGGAAGCTAGCTAATGCCAGCGGGGCCCCGTCCGTCATAACGGTGCGCATGTTGCGCTCTTGAATCCCCGAGTTCACTCCCTCAAGCCATCACAAGCGGGGCATGTGCAGCTATAGCGCAGGTGTATACTGTCTTGACAGTACCGGTAACCGGCCGCCCTCCTTATGATATCATTCGCTTTGACATCGCACCCCCATACCCAGTTCAACTCGCCATAGATCAAAGCTCGTCCGCATACCTGGGGGAGCTGATGGAAGAACACGCTGCGCTCCTGACTGGGAACGAAAGCGGGGTTTAGGAGCGGTGGCGAAACACGACTTCGGAGAGCCCTGCATGTTAGTCTGATTGGCACCCTAACCCCACTTGGCAAGCCAGGGCAAGTCCTGCTGAACGGGGGCAGTTTAGAACATATATAACGACTTCAATGCAGCATCCTCGTCCCCAGACCGCCAGAACAGATGTTCAGAACACACTTGCCTTCTCCTCACGCGATCTTGTCCAACTTACGTAGCCTTCCAAGCTCAGCGTGCTTGGTGCTGAAATGCACATCTTCTGTGAGGACGCGTGGGAGTCGTATGCAGTCACGATGCGAAGCAGTCCGCAACCAGCTGCAATCGCTTCCCAGCGGAACACATGATGCTGCATTGACGGGCCTAAGCAAATGTTCAGGACGTCGTTCAGTCAACCCCCAAGGACTGGTATTGTTGTTGGTACTTGGAAATATGATATGGTACGAATTGGTAATGCAATCCGCCAATGATCCTATGTGCGGGAACACACGTTGCCGGCCAACAGTCGGTACAACATGTAACATAGGCTATACGAGTTCGCCTGGCACGGTTTCAGGTGGCACCACGAGTACTGGGCGTGAGGCTTGGGGTTGTAGATTAGTGGGCCCGTGCAGGGGCGGGTCATGGAATAATGGAGACGCTAAGGAATATGTGTTCTCTGCGTCGTGCGGTCTTCCCGGTCCCCTTGCTTGCGCGCCAAAGCCACGGTTTTTTTTCTCTCTTTGGCGCTGTCAAAGCGGTTCATGAGCCTCCGGGTTCGTCTGAGCCGTACAAGCTCGCTGAAGCTTGTAACATCCACCCATCCATCCACGGAAGGGGCCTGCGTGGCTAACCTCGCCAATAATGCAAGTCGGATACATTTTCAATTGGCAACAGTAGGTCCTTCCAGTCAGGTTAAGGTGTCTGGTAGTAACTGTGATCCACGATTAACGACTTCGTTGTTTCGACCGTTAGCGAGGATTATATGCAATTCTGATAGAACTGTAACTTCATAATTTACTTCTAGGCGTGAGATTTTACAGGAAATTGCAAGCACGATGAGCTGCCAATTGTTAGGTAAGGCGGCTATTAAATGTCCAGGCAAGGTTTGGGGCTCCTTACAAGCAGTGTCCTCCGTGACGCAGGTCGGACACCGGAGGGTATCCAGCTATTGACAATTGGGGAACAGGAGCCCAAAGGGTGCGCTTATGCTGAGCAGCTGATGTGCAAACCTGCATTTCTTGCGATGACTACTCGACGAAATAACCGCTCAACTCTGCAACTGTCGCTTCCGTCTCAGGATATGTGGCACTGGTTCAGCGATCATGTGCACAGAGGATGGCAGTCGGCTTTTATCTGCATTTCAGGGCTCCGTACGTCTTGTGGACCTGGACTCAGCAGAAGCGGTAAGGCGGGCGCGCTGCTCGCTAGCCCTACCTCCTCCCCCTCGCCCTCGCCCTCGTAGACTCCCTTCTCCTCTTCACTTCGCAGCATGTAAACTTAAACTTCCGTCAAAACGCACGCGCGTCCCGCCTGTGCGGGTGCATGTGGGCTTACGCTTTTACGGCTGCGTGGTTACGAGCAAATGAGAATCCTTGTGGCATTACTCGACCTACATTACTCGACTTTGTTGCGCCCTCGCCTGCCTATATGCTTCCCTCCAAAAGAACACGATGCACGACGAAAGCACGACATGATGGGCGGCCAGACACTTAAGTTGTCGACATCTTGACATGACCTGGCAGGTGACCGAGGTCCAGGAGGAGGGCGTGGTTCTATCCAGCCTATCAAACACGGGGGCCTTCCTCGTCACGTGCCAACGGCCGGGAAAGGCTGAGGACGGCAGCCCAGCTAAAAACCTCAAGGTAAGCACATTTAGAGTAACTCGGCGCCGTGTGTTTCACCCCTGCACACAGGGATGGGGCCGTGGCGAAGGCCGGGTAGGGACATGAACGGAGCGCAAACGGAGGTGGTTGTCGTGAAACAACGTGTGATGGTTGTGGCTTGGCAAGGCGCCGGCTCTAGCAATTCGTGTCCCCTCGGCGCCCGAGGTGCCCAGGTCCCCCGGGGATGGAGGAAGAGTGAACAACTGCTCTTGGTGTGGCTGGGTGGAGGAAGAGTGGAGGAAGAGTGGAGGAAGAGTGGAGGAGGAGTGGAGGAAGAGTGGAGGAGGAGTGGAGGAAGAGTGGAGGAGTGGAGGGCGGGTCCCGGGTTGGTTCCACCGGGCTCTTCTTGTCTCCCTTGATTCGAGGGGGGGCAATGAGGGGAAGGGAAACCCGGCGACGAGTAATCAAATGCATGAAGTCCAAAAAGGCTTCACCACACTCCCCCGTTGTGATGTATCGTCCTCACCTCCTCACGCAATCATCTGAAGAGGGTCTCCCCCCAACGGGTGACCTGTGCAGGTTTGGGACCTAGCCACGGGCGCCTGCGTGTTCTCCCATGCAGCCAAGCAGGTGAACAAGGACTCCTGGCCGCTGCTGCATTGGACTTCGGACGACCAGGCTTTCATGCACGTAGTCACCAATACCGTACATGTGTACGGCCGCAGCGACGGATTCAGCGGTGGGTCTTAAGAGGTGGCTGTGGGGGAGTGATGAAGGTGGGCTGATAGAGTGGGTTATCACTCCCCGCATGTCCCCACATTTTGCATTTTGTCCCTTTCGGATAGTCCGAGACTGGGGCCCTTGGGCCCCGTCAGGGCTGCAGGTATGTATGTATGTATGTATGTATGTATGTATGTATGTATGTATGTATGTATGTATGTATGTATGTATGTATGTATGTATGGGGGCCCCTTAGGTTACACCTTGGGAGGGTGGTAACGCAACCCCCGAAAGTTATGCAACACACACATACACACATATACAGTGCTTCACGTCACCATACCACCTCGTAATTCGTCGTCATGTCAAACCCTCACGACATCCCACCTCACCCCGCACTGGGGCCCCCTGGCCCCCGTGGCCTTCCTGACCTATTTCTTCGGACTCGGCATCAGTTGGCTGGTGGTTGAAATGTCGGCAAACGAGCCGCCGGGTGTCTCTGTGCATTTTGCAAGTGACGCCACCCGCCCTATACCCCCGCGACACTCCCCCCGCCCACCGAGTGTGCCTTCGTTTTGCTTTTCCACGCGTCACGTTGTCGCAGCCTACCGCAAGGTGACCATAAAGGGCATCGGCGGTCTCGCCCTAAGCCCAGTTCCTTTCGGGGCCGTCACCACGAACACGACTCCCCAGCAGCCCCAGCCTCTGCCTCTGCTTGCGGCGTTCCTGCCCGAGGTCAAGGGAAGTCCGGCGGGAGCGGGAATCTACGCTCTGGAAGGCGCGGGGGCGGTGCTGGTTCCGGAGCCGCAGCCGCTAGTGCGTAAGAGCTTCTTCAGATCGCAAGGTGAGAGGATTTACGTTTGTGTATGTGTGTGTGTGTGTGTGTGTGCGCGCTTAGTGCTTTGCCTTCATAACACTGTCACCTCTTCCAATCCGGATGGCCCGGTTGGTATCTTCTTTCGGAACCTTTGGCCTCATCCCATCCCGTCCCATCATCCGGGCCACCTCCTCCTCCTCCTCCCGCCCTACCCTCCACTAACAGTCTGCAACTTTGGACGTCGGCAGTTGTTTGCCCTTCTTAACTCCTCATATATTTCCCTTCCCTTCTATTCATAACCTATTTTCCTGTCCTTGTCCCGCACGGTGAAACCCGCGAAAATGCTCAATTGTACGATTCCTCGTACGGCGACGTTTTCAAATGGGGCCCGGCCACCTGGCAGGCGCCAAACTGATGTGGAACTCCAGGGGGTCCGCCTGTTTGGTTCTGTCGTACGCGGATTTCGACGCCACCAATCAGTCGTACTACGGCGAGCAGAAGCTTCACTACCTGCCCGCCGACCCCGCCCGCAGCGACGAGGCTGTGACGGTTCCCCTTCCCAAGGAGGGTCCCGTACATGACGTGCAATGGTCTCCCACCGGGGACTATTTTATTACTGTGGCAGGTGGGGGGGAGTTGGGGTTGGGCTGGTGGGTTTTAGCAGGTGGGGGTAGGCTGGTGTTGCGGCTAGGATTTGGTTGAGGGGTGCGGACTTAGGAAAGGAGAACCTTCCTGACAGACAGATAGAGCAGTAAGGGGAACAGCAAGAGCTGACTGTCAGGTTCTAGTTGGCTCTCGTTGTTTAGTGTGCCCGTTATGAATGAGTTTATGGATGTTTTTAGCGATAACTTTACTTGTGTGCGATAATCCTTTTTCCGGCTCAGCTTTTCATTAACATAACTATATTTAAATAAGAGCATGATATGCGCAGCAGACGGCGTGTGGGATACGCGCACCACGCAGGTTTTATGCCGGCAAAGGTAACTCTGTTCAACGCGGCGTGCAAGCCGGTGTACGACCTTGGATCCGGGCCGTACAACCTGGTTCGATGGAACCCATTTGGTCGCTTCTTCGCGATTGCCGGCTTTGGCAACCTGCCTGGTGGGTCTGGGCGGGGTGGGGGGAAATGAGGGGGGGGGGTGAGAGGCAACAAGAGCACAGAGGGCGGTGCAATCGGCGCTGAGTGTTCATGCACAATCACATGGTTGCATAACTTTGAAAGGAAAGGGCGAGCATCTGGATCAGGAATAGTGGCCAATGGTAGTCGGGTCGTTGGATATCTGTTCGTCGGAATGCATGTACCTCCACCTTCCGCCGTCCGCTCTCTTTGGGGGGGTGGGGGTGGAGGATGTCATAGGGGGTTTTCTGCGTGTGTTCAGGTCTTCAGCTCCCGCGCTCCCCACCCAGGGCCCACCTCGCCGCTCGCCCAACCACTAACTCCCCAACCACCAACCATCATTTCTACAGGTGACATTGTGTTTTACGACAAGAAGACGAGCGGCACGTGCAAGCAGATGGGTGCCGTACGCTCACCTGCCGTATCCGCCGAGTGGTCTCCGGACGGCCGACTGCTGCTCACCGCCACCACTGCCCCGCGACTTAGGGTGGACAACAACATCAAGGTCTTCACATACCATGGTGCGTGTCTTGAATTTAAAATTAGTCCCAAGAAGATAAAAAACAGTTATTTTGGAGTAGTTGAATAGTCGTATATAAGTTCTTATTCAGTTTTTTCCAACCGACCTATTGACCCATGGGAAGAAGCATGGACGGGCAAATGGCGTGTGAGCGAGTGGTGTTCACGTAATGCGGGTGAGCTCGTTCGTGACGGCGGTCGTAGCAGCTCCATGCGTGCGTTGCGGCGGACAGACACTTGCTCTTGCAGCCCACCCAGCTCCCTCCCATCCTCTTTCGCTTCCCTGCCCTTCGCGATCTCATCATTCATTCCAATCATACATTCCTCAAGTTCAAACAACCTTAGGGTTTCATTCCTTGGATCCAGTTCCTCCCGTGCTTCCTGTTTGCTGCCATCGCTGCTGTTGCTGTTGCTATTGGTGCTGCGGTTGCCGCTGTTGTTGCGCCGCCGTCCCCCCTTCCCCCCCTTCCCCAGGTGAGGAGCGCCTGCACCAGCGCTTCGAGACGCTGCTTGAGGCCCGGTGGCGCCCCGCCCCCAGGGGGGCCTTCCAGGACCGGCCCCAGTCGCCGGAGCGCCTGGAGGCGGTGGCCAAGGGCGGGGAGGCGGTGGTGGCCGCCCCGACTAAGCCCTCCTACGTGCCGCCGCACCTGAGGTACGCAGGAGCTTGCAGGTTCCCTGCCAAACGCGCAGGAGCGATAGCATGCCAAGGCTGTGTGTGTGAGTATGTGTGTACGTCTGTATGTCTGTGTGTGTGTGCTCCTCTGGCTCTTCCCACCAGCGCCGCCCAGCTCAGCGCCGCCATTTGGGGATGTCACAGCAGCTGCTGCGACATGATCTGTAATTACAACGGGCGAAACGGGAATGCGGTCCGTGTTTGCCGTCCGTCGCATGGCGGGATATCCGTTGGGCGCGGTCCACGGAAATATGGGTCCATTAATTCATTTCTTTATTCCCAGCTTCCGGGGGTTAAGATCAGCCTGCTGTCGGGTTGTCTTTGTGTTTCGTATCTGGCCAATGTGTTCTCATTCCTCAGACAGTTTGTTGGTTGCGGTTAGTTTTATTCGGCGGGTTCTCTGCCGCAACCCCTCGTGTCCCTCCCGACCCCGGACCCGCCCTTCCCCAGGGCCGCTGGGGTCAGCTCCGTGGCGCCTAATCCCAGGTTCAATTTGGCGCGGGACGAGGACGACAAGCCCGGGAAGATCAAGACCGGATCGGGCAGGTCGGCGCTGCCGCCAGGTGGGGTGGGTCGCGTGTGAATGTGGTGTAGTTGTGTTGATTGTGATGTGTCTATTGTTGCGTGTATGAATGGACTGCGTCTCGGAAAGTGAGTGCCTAGAAAGGAGCGACTCTACCGGAGGAAGGAGTATGTATGTATGTACGTATGTAGACTGGATGTCCATGTCTACACGTGTACGTTGGGGCCCTCAGGTGCGGAGTTCGTGGCGGCGGGCAACGGCAAGGCTGCCAGTAAGAATGCCAAGCGCCGTGCCAGGAAGAAGGGCGGCGCCGCGGGCGGCAGTGACGATCCAGAGGGGGATGGAGCCGTCGAGGGTGACGAGGCCGCCGAAGGCCCCTCGCCCTCCGGGGCGCCGGCGGCGCTGGCGGCGGAGCAGGCAGCTGCAGCAGTGGCATCGACATCACTGCAGGTACGGCATTTGTACACAATCACCACTGTACTTGGACATGGATATAATGCATTACGTTTATCCTTGGGAGGATGGGGTTGAGTTTTGCGTGATATCGCTTAGAGGGGTCATGATGTCGATTAATTTGTTTTGGCGGTCTTTATGTCGTTCAGGGCTCGCAGCATTCGGCCGTCTCGCAGTCAGCGGGTGAAATGGATGAGGAGGCTCGGCAGAAGCGCATTCGCGCACTGCAAAAGAAGCAGCGACAGATTCAGGAGCTCAAGGACAAGATCTCAGCGCAAGGTGAGGTTCGCTGGCCTTCCAGCCTTAGCCTGGTTTTGAGCATGTGATGTTTTAATGTCTCGATCGTGGTTAATTTTGTGTCTGTGTGGGTTATGCAATTTTGAGGCCTGGATGTTGGGGCATCGCTATACTTGGCATAGCTTTTTTTCGATACAACCCAACAAGCGCATGCATGGTGGAAGTCCATGATAGGGAAGTGCCGATATCTGCATGCTGACTTAGCCTGCTCGCGTGTGGTGCTTTGTGTTGGCTTTTCATCGACTTCGCTGGTCGCCAGGTGACAAGGCGCTCACGCCAGAGCAACGGGAGAAGCTGGCGTCCGAGAAAGCAATTCTGGATGAACTTGCAAGCCTAGGAGCGTAGTTTCTTACTTACGCTCTCACATGCTGCTATTGCAATTGTGAGCGCTGGCGAGTCTTTCAGGAGTTTTAACCGGCGGTACTGCTGTGTACAAATCCAAACCTGTAAACTCTGTATAGCGCTCTCGGTGCCAGTATTTCCCTGTTATCGTTTTAGGAATGGGTTAGCCTTACCCGCCTTGGCCGTTTCTTTTATCCATAATATCGTACTTGGCAGGTCCGTTAGTGCCGTATATCCATTAATGTCGTATGTGGTCGTTGCGATGTGTTAGTAACTTGCGTCGAGACGCTCCACGATCTCTTCCAGCATTCCCATCTTGGAGTCTACAGTTGCACATAGCTGTAAAGTAATTGAAAGATGCAAATTCGCGCCGGCGTCAAAGCCACAGCAAGAGGAGCACGGCAACTAGCTGCAGCACCCACGAAGCGAGTTGCAGCCTTTCAGTGTCAGCGGAATAAGCTTGCTGATCGCTGGCTATGCCGGGCGGCCCTAGACAGCGAAACATCTATCGCGGAAATGGAAGCACAGCTCCGCGGAGCCCTTGAAAAGGAGGACTACAAGCTTGCTGCAAAGCTTCGTGATACAATACAGTGAGATGGAATCAGGACTAGAAATGTCGCCAATGTGAGATGCTGAAGTGGCATGCTTGCATGGAAGCGCAGGCAGAAGCAACAGGTCAGCAAATTGGCTGTGGAGGATGCCAACCGGAGATTCTATGATGCTTTTATGTCCGGCAGAATTGAGGTGTGTAGGCTATGTTGTACGCACTTCGCGGCATACTTTTATGCGTGAACCATGACGCTAGCGGTTACGTGGGCCTCATTAAGTAGGCCACGACAGGTCACGCTGTGCCGCAATTTCCATCACCGAGCAAAACGATTTCTTATGAGAGTCTTTCCCTTGTTTAGCCATGATCCCATTGGCGAGATGTCCTACGCGCTGTACATACGGCAGGATGATTGTGGACGAGGTGGTACGGCCCTCCTTGACGGTCTCCCGATGGGGCGGGTTAGCGCCCCCGGCCAGTGTCGGCCAGGCAGATATGTAACGATACATACGCCGCACACATTGAACAAACCTATGCATACAAGGGGCATACAGGGCTTGAGGGATGGGCCACCGCTGACACGCCCCTTGATGATCCTCCCTTAGGCCGACTCCTCTGCCTAGTATTTACGTACTTGAACTCTTTCAAAGCCTCGGGTCAGATCTTAAACCCGTCGTGAGTTATAACCGGCACCGCACCCAGACCACCGACACCAACACCGCCACAGCACCAGCACGGCTTTTAGCCATGTCTCGCTATCTATTGCTGCTGTTTGCTGCCTCCGACGCGCATAGGAAATGGAGCGTGTGGTGGGTGAGGGAGAGCACGTGCAGGTGGTGCACCCCGGATCGGGCTGCATCGCTGGGAGGACGCAGGTGCGTGTGTGGGCGGAGGGCGCTGAGGGCCTAGATGCTGGACGGTGGTTTATGGTAAACACATGCTTTATGTCGGCGAAAAGATGGGATGGAAACCGGGAAGCTGGCTAAGCCTTGGGATGGATAGATCTCGGGATATGTGGGCACACATACAGGAAGGTGGACAAACAAAAAGGCAAGTAGGTTAACCGGATGTTCCACACCGCGCCCAACACATGCCGCGTGGATTGCCGGGTCAGTGGAGGGACTCCCCTTCACTTCTTCACCTCATACAGCGCCTTTCCGCCTTCCTCGCATATGCCGGACCTTCCTGCCGCTCTAAGGCTCAAGGTCTTGGGTCCTACCTAAGCACATGCAACACACCGCACACCCACCGCTGACACAGTGTGCTAAACCACTTAGCGGGCAAGCGGGGGCACTTGAGCAAGCATGCGATGCCGTACATATAAACCTGCGATGCTCACATCTCCTCCACGTCCGAATGTATCACACAAACATCCTAGCTTTATTAGGCATGACGTTCCCCAGAACACATCTGAACTCCTTCGCCGTGAAAACCCTTCCCTTGGAAAGATACCGGCAGACAGCGATACAACAGCCGTTTCTATATTTCTGTTACATAGGAAGCCCCATCATCCGGGTCCGATCCAGTTTTCTTCCTTTCCTTCCTTACTTGCCTGGGTCCCATTCCCCATGCCGTTTCCCCAGGTAATAGACAGCTGGAGGGCCATCTTACGCAACGTGCGGCCAGGAGCCTTCAAGGTGAAGCTGGAGGACGTGCGGGTTTTCGCACGGGAGGAGATGGGCTTTGTCACCTGCGTGGAGATCATCGACGCGGACGACTCCGAGGGCAGGTATGATAGTACGGCAGTCAGCATAACATGACCGTGGCAGAACGCGATTGTGTTTTTGGTCGTCGGCTCGTTGGCAGGCCCGCCGGCAGAACAGGCTGCCGCGAGTTGGTCATCATTCTTCGGTGGCAAGGATTGACGTTCCTATCTAGGCCTTGAGCACCCACAAGAACCACCATCAGTGGATAGATTCAGAAAGCCGTCCGAAATATGTCAAGGAAGCCGCTGTGGCAAGGGCGCGGCGAAGCGAGCAATTGTGAACCCGAACGGGACTATGTGGATGTCAGCGTATTGGCACTTGCCACGTTATCCCACTGGAAAGCTTCCCTTGCTTTCGCACTACGCTAACCGCTCACGCAGTTCTGAATTCTTGATGACTGCCTAGCATGATAAGTCCTCGCCAACCTGCACGCTTCTACTAAGGTATATGTATGTATATATAATATATATGATCTGCCATACCACACCGTAAAAGCACACCGTAGAATACCTAGGGTCTACGCGTCACTGTCACCACGTCTCGGAGCCTCGCCCATCCCAACCTCGCCCTTCGCCTGCTCAAGTGACTATCCTGCCTGACCGACCGACCGTTCGTGATCGCCGGGCCGCAGAATTGTAGCGACCAATGTGTTTGAGAAGCAGGGCGGCGTGTGGCGGATAGTACAGCACCACGGCTCACCCACCATCGCCCGCTTCCGGTGATTCCTGTAGCAGCGCAGCACAGCCGGCGTAATGGCCACCACCGCTGCCGCCGCATCAGGGGTGTAAGTAACTCCAGTAGGACACACCAGATGCAGACAGTTGCGGCGGGACTGAGTTGCCCCGCAGAGAAGCGGCCGCTTGAAACTGCAGGCGCCATAATCTGGAGGTCCCACTTCGGCGCAGGGGGTTGAACAGTTTGTGACATGGCCAAGCGCATCGCGTCGCCGTGCCGCGGCCATAGCAGCGCCTGCGCTTCCGGGCCTGCAGCTCTGCATGCGCACCCCGGCGTACATGAAGGGCACTGGGATGACTTGGCTGGAAAAGGAATTACGACGTAGTAGTGTGACTCGGTATTGGAAAAAGCTACCTCCGTTAAGGGCCGCACCGATGACGCTGGGCTGCGACATTGCCCTCAGGCTTGGGATGGTGTTTTATCGACAGTATGTCGTTAACACCAACAGGACAGCAGCGCCACTACTACCACCGTCGCTGCTGCCGCCAGCAGCTCCGTGCGCTAGATAGCCATGGTAGCCAGTTCTCAATGTGAAGGTCCGTTCACTCACAGTCCGTGTTTGGATTCACGCTGATGACGTCGCGGATGCTGACGTTACGTGAAGCAAGTTGTAGGTCAACACCCAGAGGAGCTGCGGGTGAGAGATGTGGAGTGTGGGTTAGTAGGGTAGCCGCAGTGTGGGTTTAAATAGTGGCGAGCGGGGAGTGTCAGACAGGGGTTGGTAGTGGCTAGTGGGTGGTTAGGATTTCAGGACACATCTCAGGACGCAGTTCGGATGCAGATGCGACGAACAGGGACTGCGAAACGAGACGAACAGGCTGAAGAAGCGTATAGGAATGTAAGGGGTGCAATGGGCACAGCATACCCGGCAAACACAGAACAGAACACGCTCACCACGAAGATCGCTGTAAATGTGGGGAAGCCGTCTGCCAGTGCTTCGGCCGCCCCTCCGTGCACCTCCTCGTTTACCCTGTAGGAACGCGATGGGGGCCGGGAGTTCAGGAACTTAGGGGGTTCCGTTCGACGGGTGTATGTGCAAGTGCGCCTCTGGGTTTTCCAAAAAAGGTTGAGGTGTGAAGGAAACACAACTGAGTGTTGGATAGTAATCGGGGAGGGGGATTCGCTGGAGGAAGGAAGACACGCCGGTTGGTGCGCTCGTGAAAAGTTGGAGGGCGGTGAGAGGTGAGTCCTTGTGTGCCGGTAGGTTGTGAGAGAGGCAGAGGCCAGATGCGCTGATGTGGCCAAGACTGAACCCCAACCCATAAGCGGCAATTCATCTGTAGGCAAATACGCTGTGATGCAGCTGGACAGTCATGCACGCCGTGTGCGAACAGTCCCCAGGGCATCGTAAGACGTTGCACGGTTGTGGCATAAGCCACGCGGCTTGTATTCATATAGGGCGTAAGGGCTGCAGTTTTAAATAGTGCGCCCTGGCAGTCCTTCGCTGAAAAGGCTGAGAAGACGACGGGAAGTGCGGCTGGAGTGACAGCATTCAAGGATTTGCCATTTTGAAAGGATGCGGGTATTTCATGGGCCTGCGAAAACAAAGGTCGTTCGTGGTAATCAGGGCCATATCCTGGTATATCGTTGGACCCCTGTGGTAGGGAGGAAAAACGTTACAGGGTTGAACTAGGAACATCTCCACTAGGGACACGAGAGCAAGAGGACCCCAATGGGGATGGTGTTGGGCTGCAGGGACCCGAACCCAGGGGGCCCCCCGCACCTGAGGACCATTCGGTAGAACACCATGGTGGAAACTAGCTGAAGCGCAAGGAACCTGTGGACGAAGACAGGCAGGATAAAAGCAAACGTACGGGGATCACACAGGTGACGGACAGTGTGGTGAATAATCATAAAAAAGATGAGGGCTTTAGAGCATTTGGGTTACAAAGCCCTATCGAGTGTTCAGAGGGCCCCGGGCAGGCGGATTCTGATTCAAAATTCCGACGGAATCCCGGGTTGCGGCATAAAAAGCACCGTTGAAGGGAAAAAAAAGATAGGACAGAAACGGCCCTTAGCGGGTGGGAGTTGCCTCAGCGTGGCTGCCTCAGCAGTCCAAGCAAACCCCGGCTGCCAGGCGGCAGAGTCCGTGCGCTTGCTTACGTTACAAAGCCCTCGAGCCCCGTCAACGGAAGCACGCCGCAGATGAGTCCGAGGATGGCAGCTGTGATTTGTTTCTGCCAGTGAACGCACGTCAGCAGCTCATCCTGCGACACAGTGCCCGTATGGGTGAAAAGTTCAGGGTGGAGGGGAATGCTACCGTGGGTGTCGCAAGTAATCTTTGCTTCCAGGAAGAGTGCCCAATGGGCAGGACTGTTTGGGGGTTGGGCGGGTGCGGTACCGAGTGTGGGCCTGTACGCTGTATTGTGCGAGGGGACCCCAAAGTCTCCAATATGGGTGGTCAATATGGGTGGAAACGTGCCAGGCTTGCCAGGATGCATTATGCATTTGGAAGGAAGGGCCGTGCAGAACACTATGCAACCGTGTCTTGAGCCACTGCCCCAAGGCCGCTTTCCCGCTTCCGAGCTTCTGACGGCGGCTACGGTTTCCAGTACGCACCTTAGTCCATTCTGCCTCGGGCCCTTGCCGAATCCGCTCCAAGTATAGAGCGAGCCCTTCCTTCTTAACTTCATTTCCTCTTTGCCTGGCCAACGCCTTAGACGCCATGTTTTATACCGACAACGAAGTCCACAACAAGCTATGCGTAAAGCAATACGTACAGCGACGTAAAATATATTCCGTAAAGGCTTCCACTTATGCTGCAGCACCTACTTTTCCAGCCAAGTCACCTCAACACGGTTGTGATCCTCATATGGCATCACAAGTTCGTCAGTAACGGGCAGGAGGCTTTCGTCATGTAATGCACTTCATAGTATGCTGCTACACATTGAAAGGATGGCCTTCAATTGTTGATTTCTTGCTGACAGGCATATTCGTACAAAGCGGACAAATTTGGTTTCAGACCCTGTAATAACAGGTGTTTCGTTACATGTTGGCGCAAGTTGGTCTTGATGAGAACCGTCAATAAGCAAGTAGCTAGACCTTTCGCACCACTCGCAACTGCGCGATGCGCAGCTGGAAGTACTAATGTGACGCTATCCAGGTAACCTCGTAATGAACATCGCTTTAGCGGAACGAAGTTACCTTATCTGGTGTTCAACCCGATGCTCCGGCGAAATGCTTGCGCAGGGCAGAGATAGCCCTGGAAAGGGCCAGGACATATTACGAGGTAAGCTGAATTTTGCGATCAAGTATGAATGAGTGATTGAAAAGACTAGGCTATTAAAAAGTTAGGTAACGTACGCAGGATGTGTGGAGCCGGGGGCGCTTAGTGAGGCTTACGACAATCATGGCTGAGGCCCATGAGCAGCACGACATGTAATGACTGAGGATTGCTTTTGCTTCCACGGCCCAGCCCCAACCCATGGAGGTGCCCTGAACAGCTGCGCGGTTGCCGCAGGGTATGGCAACCTACCCGGGTAGGCGTGGGTAGGAAGGCAATGACACGAGGCATCTTCGCATACAGAAAGGCTTACCCGGATCTCGTGTTCGAAGTGCAAGATATCACTTACAGCGAGCAAACCCACAGCGCCTTCGTGGCATGGTAAGCAAGCACAACTCCGGTGTTCAGTGTGCGCGCTGTTTAGACATTTCCCGCTTTGTTCGCTTTTTAATATGCTAGGGCGTAACCCCCTTTCAAAATTTTCTCACTTCTCCCTCTCGGCACCATATCAGGAGCGCAAGGGGTACCAACCTTGGTCCCATCCGGGATCAGCCGCCTACGCACAAAGTTGCGGAATTCTCGGGAATATCGCATTTGATGTTCGATGATGACAACCAAATCAAGGCGTCTTTCGTTTACAGGTGGGTCAGCATGCTTCACGTGCTTTACACGTGCTTTACAGGTGGGTCAGCATGCTTCACGTGAAGCTTCCAAACTTCACGAACACAAACGGCAGATATGGGTTCAGGTCAGGGGAAATCCCTATTTCAGGTCCCCCTCTTGTTTCTTAAGCCTCAACGAAGTCACTGCAACGAAGTGTCATTGTGAAGTGGCTCTTAGCCAACATATCTGGCCCACCTCATTACATTACGGACGGTTGGTTTCGCCAACAGGCGCCTAATCACAATTTCAAAACTGACGCCTCCGTCGTCCAAGATGCAAAGTCACCGTGCCTGTAACTTCTACGCGCAAATAATCATCACCGCTCAAGCTTCACCTACGCTATTAGAGATATTGCCATCCAGGAAAGCAGGTCTGCAAGCCTTACATTCCTCGTCACAGCTGATTGCTGCAGCTGACATCAACTCTGTGCATCCCTTGTTTCAGGCAAGCCGCTGCGGACGAGGCTCGCTACTTCCTAGGCCTTCTCGGCAACCAAGAATCGAGTTCACTGCCCATAGCTCCGGCCGCAACCCCGCAATCTTCATAGTCCATACAAAAAAGGATTCGAAACTACACAACAAGGGACCCTTGCTTCGCCCATACCTACGGGGAAAGACCCAAGAAGATAATTTTCAGCGAGGGCCAGAGCGCATCGCGATGCAGGTGCCGCTACGGCGCTTACGCCTGATAACGAGCCCAATTCATAACGCCACCTGTAAATTATGCAAAGACAGCAACTTCCAGCACGCGACACCAGACGCCACGTACGGTAGAAGTCAAATTGCAGCTCAGCTCGAGGTGGCGCCGCCGCGCCGCTTGCCGAAGACGACGAAGTAGGGGTTCAGCACATCTTCCTTGTTGTAGACGACAGGAACTTCCTTCATGAGCTCCTCCTGCCGGGATGGAGAACACAGTGGACAGAAAAGGACATCTTGAGCGGTTGCTCCCCTGCTGATCGATGATTCCGAGTTGACACCGGTGGCATTGAGGGCGGTCAATCCGACAATGCCCTATCGCACGATTAGGATAGCGTTACCTCCCCCGAATTTTGTAAATTATACCCATAGGAGGGCATTGATTGTCAATTGTGATACCACGGGCACATCGGTACAACGAACGAAAGGATGTCAACTACGAAAAACTCCGGTACGCTTTCCATCTTGCTGGCCGGGTACAACGCACAAGCACCCTGTCATTCGGAATCCTCCAACCTTGTGAGCCAAGCACTGTGAGTGATCCTGTCCACCAAAGAACCGCGGCCATTGAAAGGTAGAAAACCAGACCATGCCACGCCCACGTATCTGTTAAGATACGCGGGGGCAAAAGCAATCGTACCTTCCAGTCCTGCAGCGGGTTGCCCTTGTTGTCCTGCTTGCCCGCCTGTAGCACCACACCGCCCGCCTCACGCACAATAATGTCCGCCGCCGCCGTATCCCATTCGCAAGTGGGGGCCAGCCTGGGTAAAAGGGACGTTACGATGTTAGAACTTATGAGGAGTCGGAGATTTGGATAGCTGGCCTCAATCCAGCGGAGGACACAACCACGGGGTTACTTGAATTGCAGAGCTCAGGGAATGAACATAGGGCTGTTACCCATTGCCACTAGATTAGTGCCGGGTGAGTAGTGTTCCGGGGTTGGGAAGCAATTTTTCCATGACTTCGCTTCCATGTTTGACACCCACGCAGGCTCGCCTTCTAGGACATCAGTGCATTGTGCCAAACTGTCTGCACCGGCCAAACAGACCTATCTGATATAGTATGAGCAAGTATGCATAAGCAAGCAAACATGTGGAAGGACAGCGGTGCTATAGCTAACTGTTCGAGCCTCGAACAGCATGAGTTGGGCTCCACAATAATTTGATTGGCAAACAAACAAGATGATTGGATGTAAACCAATTAAATAAACCTGCCAATAAATGATTGGGCACAGCATACAGGAAGCCCATTCTGGAGAATCAACGATGCGAAAACAGATAAGCGGATGTCTACACCGTCTGGTGCATATCAGCTGTGCCTTAGCAGATTGCCAACGCAGGATGGGGGAAGTGCCACCGTGGTTGTCGCGCAACTCTCAGCCTTAGCTAAACCCTCATGGCGGCAGGACTCCACCTTAATTACCCAAGCCACCCTTGGGTTATTATTCAGGAAAGTGGCCACCCACCGTTTCCACCAAGCAATAGCATGCATTACCATTCCAATCATTAGCCTTGCATGCCGTCCGCCCGTCCATCCTTAGTCTGGCGTGCCATTTATTGACCGACTCTTAGCTGTAAACCTGACTCGTCGCCCGATCCATAATGGCTGCATCCCTAACAATGCGTCCCTTGAACCTACCTTGGGTAGATATGCGCCTGCCCCTCGGCAACCATAAGCAACTTCAGCGAGCTCCCCACTTGTATAAACTCTGGGTTATTGAACAGCTGGATGAGCTCCTGCAGGGCGGGCAACACACAGCCGTGACAGGCAGCGCCGAGGAGGCGGATATTCAAGGCCAGGCCCAGACGACCATGCATCCCTACTCGCAATATGATATTTTTCAAGATTGCACAAAACCCGAAACAATGGTAGGATACATGGCTAAAAAGTCTATAACAACAGCTAGCGACTTGCATAGTAACCCTCTGATGCCCCAGCGCCACTCTAGCTCCTTACCCCTTGAACCTACCTCAGTCTCCTTGTTCAGGTGGCTAGCGGATGCAACCACCTTGAGCCCCTTGTCCTCAAAGCCAAACTCAGCAGCCTGGATCCTTTGCTGCCCCTCGCTGGTCCGCAGCCAAGCACCCTTGCCCTTCACCGCCCAGTACGTCTTCCCCTGGCACGGCACGTCCACGACGCCCATAACTGGCGTGTTGTTACTCATGAGCGCAATGTTGACGGTAAACTGGCCATTGCGCTTGAGAAACTCCTTGGTTCCATCCAGCGGGTCGACAAGCCAGTAGTACTGAAACTTCTGCAACACGTCCGCACGACGGGAAGGGGTGGCTGTAGCGAGGACCTCAAAGCACACCCAGATAAAAGTTATCCACGTTACAATTGTAATATTGCGTACGGCTCACCTGCCGCACAGAGTGGGGTGTCATTTTGTTCTCTTCGGAAATGATCGGGATGTGCGGACTAATGTTTTGTAGCGCTTGGCAGATCACCGCGTTAGCCTCCCGATCGGCCCGTGTCAAAGGCGATGCATCACTTTTCATTTGGACCTCCCACGTCGACGCCTGCGGGGACCACAGTACGTTCAATGGACAAACACTATGGGGCGGGTCCTGCAGGGCCCGCTCACCTCTATACGCACGCATGCAAATCCCACCTCGCTGTTATATATTTGCAAGATGGCCCGGCCGGCTGCTTGCGCCGTGGCGATCACATCCTCGACAGGGACCTCAACCTTCAACTGCACACAGTCCCAACGCGAATAGCTGCAATTCAATCGTGGATAAAACAATTTACCCTTTCCTTACCTGAATCTCCATCGCATAATCAGGCACTTCTTCCACGCGAGAAAGTCCGGAGCCCATTCTTACAAGGAGGTCCTCTAGTCCTACGTTAGAGCAATAAAAGTTGCAGCGGCTTTGTGATCAAAAAAGTAGGTAACTAAAACACTGCTTTGGATAGCAAACTTCCAATTGAAGCGTAGCGGTACGGCACATAAAGACGTTGCTGCCGTTGCTGAAAACAAACTGAGCCGAAGCCCTGAATAACTGGAAAAGCTGCTGGGGATGAGATGCAGGCTGACGAGTTCCCATAACGAGGGTTAGGCACAAAATTTGGGAGGCGTTATGCCGGTTAGGCTGTCGAAAAAGGTGACCGTGCCCAAACCTAAGAGCCAAAGAGGTACTTACTAAACGATTAAGGATTACAATACTAGTATTCAAAACGCATGACGTTCCCTTTGCTTTTCGGTTGTTTTTTTTGTGAAATATCCCATTAATACCCTCTGCAGGTGTGCGACATCCTGTTCCTGAGCCTTTCCCTGGGGCACCAACTCTCCAGTATCCACCGCAGCAGACGTCTGCGTCCGCACGTTGTTACAATTTCGACACCAGGGCCCAGCGCAGTTCGATGGCAACCCACGCCTCCTACTGCATATGCTAAGAGAATGGAGCTATCCCACGTACCCTCACGAGTACGGCGGCAGCTTAACCTACGGACGGGGAGAGTATGGCGCCCGAGCACTGCTTTTAGCACGCCATATATGCCGGTGAAACCCGCTGGCGCCCCGTGTTCCTACGTGCATACCAATCTGGACTGATCCGGAAATGTTCGAACCACATTTGCACACAGGATTATTCAACTACCGCATGCGCGATACCTGCTACTGCTGCTGTCTCTTGTGACCCACTTGTCGCCTCTTGTCACTATGAGCCCAAGTGCAACAATCCTGCACCAACCAACCAACCAACCAGCCAGCCATTCAGCAATTATACCGGATGAGGAACGGGCTCCGATAGCCGAATATCACGGTAGTTCTTAAATTGCTTTGCTAGATCTTTGCTGGCAAGCCAAATGGTGCATGGAGTGAACTCGCGGGAAAATAATCTGACAAGTTGTTCCACAAGCTCCCGCTAGAGGCATTCCAGTTGTCCTGTTGCTCAAGGCTGAGCCCGGCCTCGGTACATATTTTATCATCGTACATTACGTACAGCCTTGACTCGTGTAATCCTTAGAGTTCTAAGCTTGTAGCACAAAACGCTGAGAAGTGTGATGTGAGCACCCAGGACAGCGCTGTGGGATAAGTGGTGTTGCGGATCTTGGTACGTGAGGACGCGCCTCCAGTACCGGGGGAAAACCTTGTGCAGAGAGCCGAACATCACAATAGCCTTGAGCTGCTCAACCCAACCTCCGCTGACATGCCAAACAATTCATGCGACGGAATTCACTGGCTGGCAGATCGTTCCGCAAACGCCGGTGGCAGCGACGCAGGGCTTGGCACGAACATGATACAGTGTCGTCCACATAGCTAGGCGATTTATTACAGTAGGTATGGCATCAGCTTCAACGAATTACGGGCGCACAAAACAAGTACAAGCACAGGTGGCAAATGTTTTGAAATCTGCCGGTTTCCGCAGCCATTAAATAGAGGTTATGAAGTATAGATAAGTCCCTAAGTTTTATGACAATACATTGCCAAGGAACGTTGTTTTCCCACCGCACGTAAACGACAGACATTACCATTGACTTCAGCTAGTTGCTGCATTGGGCAATTCTCCTCACTGGACAGCCCTAATAGACGCCTAATTTATGATACGCAGCTGTCGCATGCATTATTAACGGTCAGCTATCTAAGGCGCACGCTGTTGTAGGTAGGTAAAGCGACGTTGGATTCGGATCCGCTGAAGCCTGCTTGCGCATAGGAAATTTTCGAATGTAGTCGGGGCCTATCGGTGTATCCTTTATACGTTTAAAGTCCAACCGAAGTGGCTCACGCGTTCCTGTGTTCTTGCGAAATGCAGTCCGGCAAGCTGCTGGCGAGGACGACGGAAGGAATTTACCTTGCAAGGTTTACCATATAAATACGTAACATGAATACTGCACAACCTGTGTCGGGAGCACCAGCTCAGACTGGGCCTGCACCCGCTGGCAGTGTGCCGGGCCAACAGCCTCCCCAGAAGCCCCGGAGACGAGTACTCACATCCCTGGGCTTCCAAATATTCATCTACTTCGGCGGATGGTGGGATGTCGCATACTACATCCTTAACATCCTCGTGTTCGTGTATAAAGGTGAGAGCCGGGACTCGGGTCCGGGGGCCCTAGCACCGTCCGACGCTTCCCTGCGCGGGCTCTAAACAAGCACATCCCACTTCAAAACCGTCTCCGGACAACACTTAACATCTGCTAATAATTACTTCGCCGCACTCAACAGGCCTGCAATTGCCCTACCCGGGACGCAACTTTGCTATGGAGTTCAGCTTTTCCTGGCTTTGGATCTTAATTGAAGCCCCCCGGCTGTTCCTGGGTACGTGGACCGCACCTGCCTCGTACGAATCTCCTTGCCGACTGCACTGACCACCTCTGCTGTTACCGCTACTTTTGCTGCCGTTAGCGTCTAAGGGTAACAAGACCGAGAGCGTTGGACCCATCATCTTCAGCTGCATTCTTGCAATGCCTCTGCTGGCCATGTACGTGTACTTTGTCGCCTTCCAGACATACGTGTAAGTGAAACGGCTAGGGACTCCTAGCACAGCATTTCAGAACTGCAACGGCCAAGGTTAAGGTGGAGCTTCAGGCGTTGGCTGATCCTCGCAGGTTGCGAATCGACCAACTGCTCAACGGGATAGCCATCGCCTTCGTAGCGCTACAGGTACGGCCGCCATGTGGCTTAAAAAAGGGGGAGTTACTCAGACCCGCGGTTATTACACCTTGGGCTGCGTTACCCTTCAGACTTGTCCAGCCGTATAACCCTACGTGATTGCCGTACCTCAGCCGTATTCAGCTTGGGCGCCTGGCCTGGCCTTGCCGCTGGCTGGCATGGCAATCCTGCCAAGCCGTATCATCTTTGCAGAACCCTTATTCGGCATCATCGTGCGGCCTTAGATAAATTGCTGCCCCTGCGTTATTCCATTTTGTCTGCAGGTCGTCTTTGCTATCCTAACCACAGTTCGTTTCATCCTCGCTACCCGGTTTACGTAATAAACCACCAGGGTAACAAGTAATTCTTCCAACAAACGCAGCATCTGGAATGCGCCGCATGTTTTTGATGAGTAGATGAGGACGGCAGGACGGCCAGAAGAAAAGGCTGTGGCCACATACCGCGCATTCCGCCATGTATGGAATATCTCCCAACGGATTTCCCTGGGCTTCTTTGCAGCTCAGCGTCCTAGCGAGTGCTGTATGCATTCGACTACTTGTCGCTAGCTTAGGGTCGCGGTCCCACGCCGCCGGCCATGTCGTACACCAGCCGCGCAACCTGCCGTGCCAGCTCGTCTGCCTGTTCCTGAGTGTTCGCCTCCGCATATACCCGCACCGCATCTTCCGTTCCGGACGGACGAACGAAGGCCCTGCGCGCAGCAAAACACAAGGCGCGGCAGCAGCAGCGTTGGCGACGGCAATAGCAGCGCCAGCGGCGGCGGCGGCAGCGTTGCAGCAACATCAAGACTTCCGCTGCGTGTTTCGGGATAGCGGAGCCGAAACAGGCCTTGCCCGTGGCGCAGAAAAAAATCTATGCATAAGCTAATGACCAACAACAACAACTGTCACACATTATCCGTTAAAAAATCCCGCAAACGAACGGCGAGACGGTGTGCGGCGTCTTGGCGGAATCCGACCAAGTTAACTGACGCACGGCATGTGGCAATATAGGGGTACAGCGGGCAGGACGGGTTGATGCGTGTATTCATGCGGCTCCCTGTATAGGGAGGCTAGTGCCAAGTGCGCTGACCGGACGTCGTCGGGTTCCTGGTGTGGAATGAGAAAACACCAAGCCTCTGATAGCGGTGATGGTACAGCTGCTTTATAGCTCCCGCAAAAAATGCCTTGCCCTCGCTGTAATTCCTCCGCTCTGCTACACGAGGGTGCGCATGTGAAGGCCGTCCCTGACGCGCTGCCGATGCATCCAGCTCGTTACGCCTAGGTCAATCCCGTCCATGCACTTCCTCCCTGTCTTGACCCCGGGGCTCCAACGGATACATATGCCCCTGGGTGGCCAAACGGCCAGCACGTCATCACCATCAACAGCAACGTAACCAGCCGCCGCAGCATTCCACAGCGTTACCCACCTGCCGTGGGGAACCAAGCTGACGACCCGCGTGATGGCGTCCTGGAGGCCCACCGGTGCGACACACACGCGCTCCGCATCCGCCGTAGTGATGCAGCTGCGGTCTGCCACCTGCAGTTTGAGCTGCCGACTGGGCAGGTCCGAATACAGCGCCTGCCACTCCGCCAGCGTCCAGCCCTTCCGCCTTCGGGTGAGGTTAGCAAAGCGGGGGTTGTGAACGCCAAAGAAGAGAAACAAACAAAAAACATTAAGTAAATATAGATTGTTGAATGGCAAACGACCGAGCTCACACGGCCCAGAAAAGTCATAAACGTTTTGTTCCAGGAAGGACTCAATCAGCTACTGCCCATCGTCCAGGACCCAGCGCTGCCCTGCCCTGCACCTCAGAATGAGCTCCACCAGAAGTATACCGCTGATGGCGTCACCGACCGTCTGGTTGATGAGCTGGGACAGCAGCAGCAGCTCCCTAGCCGCTGGGACGTGCGCCGCAGCCTGAACCGTGCGCGCATCCAGAGGGCAGCAGAGGAAGGACGGGAACGGGCACAGACAAGAGATGGTCGGGAGCAAAGGAAGTGAGAAGTGGGTTGGAGACAGCAGGGGCCAGGGGCTCAGGGGGAGGTAAGATAAGAATAAGTAGGAGGACGGGTACTCCAATTCCTGTTCCGTAATGATCTTGGTATCTTTGTCGCCAGCGCTGCGCAAGATCTAATCTCCAAAGGTCATAGATTGGGTGCTGGGCGGGAAGGTAGGGAGAAGGGTAGCTAGGTAGGTGGCGGCCCCAAAGAATTTTACTGAGCCCACCGTTCTCAACCGCTCCACCAGGGCTTTGGAGAACAGCACGGTGCCGTGGCCGTTCGACTCGAAGTAGATGCCTAGGTCTGCGCTGTGGGCCGCCTCGTGCAGGTACTTGACCCCTGCAGCGTCCCGGCGGGGGGAGGTGTGTGTGTGTGTGTGTGTGTGTGTGTGTGTGTGTGTGTGTGTGTGTCAGGTTGAGGCTCACAGGGCAACGCAGTGCAGTGTGCAGTGTGCAGCGCTGTGTGGTGTGGTGCGGTATGACGCGATTCGAGGCATTGCGCCATCGGATCATGCTATACAGCTCTTTAACCTCTTTAACAAGCAGCAAAGTTCAAAGAGCGTCTTCGCAGCAGCAGCAGCAGCAGCAGCAGCAACAGCCACAACACCAAGTCCCATCCGAGTCCCTTGATACCGCACAATACACCCTGATGCTTCCTAGCCTTTCCCCTTTCTACACGACATCTCTTTCAAACGTGTCTCGATACCGGATAGATAACAACCCTATGCCACACCACACCACACCACACCACCTGTGGGTGTGCACACCGTGGGCAGCTGTAGCACATCCCGCAGGTAGGCTGTAGCGGCACCGTTGGCATACGCCGTCTGCACACAGCAAACCTGCGCAAGGGCGGCAGCACCACAGCCGAATTTTGAGCCATGGCAAAAGCGGTTGGTGGTTGGTTGCTTGGTTATAAATTTAATAAGGCTCCAGTGCAACTCCAACTGAGGCTCCAAACGGCGCTTGAACTGTAGGTCTATAGGTTATATAGCCGCATCCGGCCAACAAAATGCGACCATGATTATGGGACCAGTTGCAGTTGTGCTGCTGGTCTTACGAGGCCACGACCTCTCATGTGTGTAGTGTATCCTACCGCAAACCTTCCATAGGCTGTTCCGTACGACATTCGGCGGCCTGTCTGTCGTACCTTTACACCGTGCAGCAGCTCCGCCGGCAGCTGGTTCATACTGTCCCTGATGTACACCGCCGCCAGCATTGCCACCTTATCTCCGTCCAGTAGCGAGATGCCGCGACATGGTGACACCGGAGCAGCGGTGCCGCCTCCGCCCTCGGCAGCTCCACCGTCCGCGGCTTCCAGGTTCAGGCTAAAGTACACGAGCCGATCGGCGTCTCCGTCCACGCTACAGCACCTGCAACGTTGCGAGTAAAAGCAACAGATGTGGTTAGGAGAAAAGAGGAGATGTTGGGCTGGAAGGGGACACGATGGAAGCAGGAAGACAAAGACGAAGACGGAGGAGGAAAATAGCAGGAGTGGCCTCATGCCGTCATACGCACATCAGGCCCGGTTAGCCATTTCCTTGTCATGTGGGATGACTAAAGCCGGGCGGTTGTACGTTGACGCCATAAATCTTACATGGCTCGACGCGTCCAAAGGGTGTCCCCAGCCCCCATGTCCCCAGCCCCCACGTCCCCAGCCTACACAGCCGAAAGGTACCCCGTTGCCTCCCTAGAGCCAGCCAGGGTGATCCGCCTGCCCAAACAGGGCTGGCAGGAAGTACCAACACCCGCACAGTCACCTCGCCATCCCGGCACGAGGCTCAGGCTTTGACACACAGGCGAGTGGCGAGTGGCGAACCCCCTGCGCACCGATCAGCTGACCCATACATATGCCCGAGGACGCACATGCCCACCGACCCACCGACCCATATGCCCACCTGGCACCGGGCGGGACGTCCTCGAACTCAGAGGGCGGAAGTCGGTCCTTCTGTACAAAATCGGCACCACATCGGTGGTTGAGCTGCCCCCCACCCTGTCCCGTGTTCCGCAGCCGCAGCTCCACGCCGATGTCGTGGAGGGCGGGGACCAGCTTCTGCAGTTGCTCAGCACCCACACCGTTGGCACAGTCCACGAACAAGGGCCCGCCGTGGCTACGGTCACTGCCGTCGCTGCCACCACTGTCTGCTGCTGTCGAAGCATCGCTAGCATCGGTACTGGGCAGCCTGTAGGCCTTCGTAAGTTCTAGAAACGCGCCAACGATGGCGTCGAAATAGGTTTGAAGCGGCTGAAGCGCTGTCTGACTGGCGGTGCTTTGGGAAGGCCGGTGGGGAGGGTTCTGGTTCGCAGCGTGAACCAGGAAATGCAGCTGAGGCGTGGTTACGCAGCCGTAGGAGTGCGCCTGGACATTAAGCGCGCGCACCCCTGCTATAGCCGCAGCGAGCAAAACCGGCGCGCTCGGGCGGGTGTCATGCCCGACGTGTACGGTGAGGTTGTCCGGTGCAGACACGGAGGGTGAGTTGCCGCTGGCAGACTGGGCGAAGACGCGGTCTCGGAGTACGGCGACAACTGCATCGTCGTCCTCACAGTTTGCAAGCTCAGCTGCCACGGCCTCGAAGCTCTGTGGCATCATACCACCATCCGGGTCTACCATTTTCACGCCGTTGTCTCCCACTGGGTTATGTGAAGCAGTGATCATGAGTCCGGTATTCGCATTGAGGAGCAGCGCACGCGCCGCTGCGAGCAAACCGCATCTGAAGACGGTTGAGGTGAGGAGGCTTGCATTTGACCTAAACCCGGCCGTGCCATACGTCGGGTGAAAATCGGCAGGCTTCACGTAGGTCGAAGAGACCTCCTTCACTGTGTGAGCATCAAACATATTTTCTAGTTGCAAAGTGAAAGTCGAAAAACAATAAGCGAACAAAGGGACATGATTTGGCCAGTTGGAAATTTTGGATGTCTTGGTTTCAGTTGTTTGGTTCATGTTTGGTCTCGTAGCAAGGCAGCCTAGATTTCCCATTCCAGGGAAGCACAATCAAGCATTACTTCGTTCAGTATCAATTACAGTGCACATCTGTGTAGGATTTTATTACATCGTTTACTATTGCGGGCGGAATGCAGTCCGCCTTGCGGCTGCGTGCTCCGTTTTCGGGGGCGATTGGCTTAGGTAAATCAAATCATAGCTGTCGAGGTTGCTTTCCATTGAGCCGGCGTCTAAATGTAGCGGTGGAGGCGCAGCTTAGACCTTGCGCCGGCACGAGCGCAGGGACCCTTGGCGGTAGGTCCTTAGGTCCTCTTTCCAGCATAGTATGATTCGATTGCTCATTCTATTGACATCATCTTCCAGGGTTTGGCCCGTCGTCGCCACTTCAGCAAAAGCAAACCCAGCGGGTACGTATTACTGCGACGGACGCTTCTGCTACGCCATCGCAACGCTAACGGTAATATTTACGCCTTCAGAAACTCGTAGTCACATCATCTCAAAGCGGTGGCAAAGCGGAGGATGCAGAAAAGCAGGATTGGAAATTCGGGCGTAACGAGGGGCCGATGACCTGGCCCTGGAAGCTAATGTGCGCCATTCTCTACATGCTGCCATGGGTGGATGTGACGGAAAAGTCGGTTTATTTCGTGGAACGCTTCCCGGCTTTCATCTGGACGGAGTACTTTTCAGGCGAGTGCTTGTGGAACTTGTAGCTGGACCACTACCGCACCGCAACATAAATCAACGTGGACTTCCCCCCCCCCTCGCGTTCTTGGGCTCCCTGCAACCGGTACCCGTTTTTCTCTCCTCCCTGTAGAGCCGTTCGAGCACTGGTATAACATCCATGAGTACGCCCCGCTGTTCATATTCTTCGCTACCTACCTGGGTATCGTCCGCAACAAGAAGATCTCACACGTGGCGCGGTATCACGTCATGATGGTGAGCACTGCGAAACCCCTCCCCCTTCCTCACCCCCTTCCCCCACCTCCTCCCCCTGACTTGGAGGATGGAGGGGGAAAGGTAGCAGTCGGCGGGGCCCATCACGAAGGAGTGCGGGAGAAAGTAGCAAGAAAAGTAAGAAAAGGGAGTGGCAGTGGCGAGGGAGGCCGTCCGCGCGATACCCGAGATTGTGGATGATGCTACAGACGATACCCCATAGTGGGGTATGAGGCCGCTCGTCCTCGCACGGCGTGGCGCATCACCTTCAGCCCCTGTAGCAGGGCAGGCAGGTTACCTGCGACGGCAACTCATGAAATGAACACCCGAGCCATGTTTCTCAGCACAGCTCATGGGCTATGGCACGCAGCTTGACGAGTTTTGCTTCTGGATGGGGTCCTTCGGGGTTCCCCTCCTTTCCCGTCCTCTCGATTTCCGCCTGCAGAGTGTCATGTTGGACATCGTGGCAATGATTCTGATCGTGACGGAGGAGAACCTGCCTACCGGAGTGCTGTGGACCCCCTGGTCTGACCTCTTCTACGCCCTCATGTTTTGGTTCATTCTCCTGCTCGTGGTCTACTGCCTGTTCTTCTGCTTCCTGTGAGTCGGGGGGGAGGGAGAGGCCGGCGGAAGAAACGGGGTGCGCGAGGGAGCGGGAGGACGCGGTGGTGGTAGATAGGGGGAAATAGTCGGGAAGCACTCCACTAGCAGCGCAACTGGGGGTGTCTTTTTTGAGAGGAGGACTTCGGACTAGGGGGCAATTGGGGGGAGAGGTAAAGCTGGGCGGGGAGAGGGGAAGCTGGGATTGGGATCTGGACCGGGATCAGGGACGACCGAGGACGTCCCACGTTGGGTAGGTGGAGGGTGGGGAGAGGTGCAGGTGCAGAAAGGAAGACCGCATCGAGTTGTGGGCTTATAGAGGTTGTATGTATTTCTGGGATAGGGGTTTGAGAGGCACCTGGAAAAGGCCTTGTTGATGTTGTTACAGGGTGGTTAAGCTTCACCAGTGGCCTCCTTCCGGAGGCAATTCCCTGCTCTCCCCTGCTAGAGGGGCACCCTAAGCCATTCAACCCAATCCGACTTCAGAGTGTACTCTTTTGAGTTTGGCAACTCACCACCAGCATCAAATCAAATCTAGCGGATCAACGGCGCATCAACTTAGTTCCTGGTCAGCTCGCGAGTTGAATTTATCACGTCCTACACCGTCCACAAGATGGGGGCCACCTCCCATTTCACCACCTCTCAAACACCCGAGAGGTCGGCAGGCGGATTTGAACCCGGGTCGACCGGGAGCAGAAGTCAGGCCTTAACCTCTGCCAGCCGCCTGCCTTGTTGTCATTGGGGTTTGCTTGGAGGGTTGGAGAGGGCGGGGCTTAGCGGGGGGGCATGAGAGGGTTGAAGGTTTACGTCCAGGTGGCAACGTTGTTGCTAGGCAATCAACCTGTAGCTCCACCCCTGCGCCGGAACACCGGAATCCCCCCCTCACCCGCAAATATGTCGGCGGTTCTTCCTTCGCGTGTTGCATCCTGTAACCCCTTCCCCCAACTGCACGCAACGGTGCTTCGCATTTCAGCAACTGCTTTTATTTTTCTATTTATTGTATACTAGTTTATCATTCCCCCGGGGCTAAATATACAAGACGGCCAACTTCGCTTTGTTGTGATTTTTTATGTCCACCTGCCCAATGCTGGGTACCTCTCCCTACCTTCTGCTGATTGTGTTTTTTTTACACATCCGCACTACCCTACGCAGGGGCTGGTACTGCGAGATTCCCCTCATATCAGAGGGCGTGTACTTGCAGATCGAACAGGCCGAGCAGCTGGGCGCTTAAGAGGGGGCTGCGGGCCGTCTGGTGGATGAGGTCATTTTCGTTGCGGCGTGGGACACGGTTGCCGTGTTTGCCGTCCCCGCTTTTTCCTCACATAGGACGCCTGTACGGCTCTGGAGAAGAGGGAGGGCCGTGTAAGCGGGGTTGTGTGGCAATGGTGGCTGCGTTGCCGTGCCGCTCTTCCTGTTATGACCTGTCTGGTAGCCCAGATGTGTGAGAGCGCATTTGATACCCCGCCACCAGCTTGGCGCCGTGATACCTTGACACCTAGCTGCATTTCCCCGTCTTGGCGCTGACAGACAGCCATATGGGATTGCACCTGAAGCAGTGGCTGCTGCCCCGGCACGGGCGCCCCTAAAGGAGGGGGTTTGGATGGGTGCTTTGTCAAGGAAAGGCGGGTAGCGCATGTAGCCCCGCGCCTTGTGTTTCGTAGCGGGAAGGACGGGAGTTTTGGGGCTGCTAGTTACTGCAGACCACGGCTATTGCGGCCAGCGACGGCGCAATTTATCCGCATGAAACAGACCCGGGGGCCTGCCACGTTAGGGCTAGCGGCCGTTAGGGCTAGCGGGCAGCGTGGGTTGTGTCTCGCTAGTACTGTAGACAGATCCTCCTGTTGCATTGCGGGTAAGGGTTTCGGATACCCCGTTTCGAAGGCGCGTTGGAAGGCAGCATCCGCAAGTCCCATGGCGGCGTCAATGGTGGGTCCTGTGAGTCTTGAGCTTCAGGTCGTATCAGCGTTGCATGGAACTGTGGGGTAGAGGGAAGGGAAGGGAATTGCGTTGCGTACAGATTCCCCTTTCCCCGCGCTGCTTCCATGCTCTGGCCTCTTCTAGTGCCCTGATGACATCCTGGCAGCGCCCGCTGCTGGACGCCGCATCCCTTCTGCGACGGACGTAATCCGCTGCGATTGCCGGTCAGCAGGGCCGTGTGGGCGCCTCGTTGCGTAGGGTGCTCTGCTTTTCGTGGGCTGTGCGCCCGGCATCTGAGCTTAAGTGGTAGGGGAGGATTGCACGAGTGCGGGAACGGTGCATGAGGTTGGGCGGCTGCACATGATCGCCGGCGGCTGCCTACCAGAACGCTTCGTCTTTTTGACTCCCTTTTTGTGTGTGTGTGTGTACGTACAGTTTGTGTTGTACGACCAGATCCGGCGTCCACTAATAGGCTGGAACGGCGCCTCGTTATACAAATTTTGAACCCAGTTTGACCGGACCGCCCGGGGTGTAAAGAGTGAACACAAGCAGCGTTCGCCAGAAGTGCAAGCAGCAACAGCTTTTGTGGGGATTGTAGTGCATCGTGGATGAAATTTGACAGCTGTGACGTGTTTTGCCAGCTTTAGGAGCAGATATCACGGCTTCTTCAGGTTCTGCACACTGCACATTTTCTCACAGTCTCCTCCTATCGGAATGTCATTACCAGCGTGTGTTGTGCCGAACGCACTTTTGGGAGTTGTCGCATTACTACCTCCACGAAAACAAATGTCACAAATGTTGGTGCTCGTTGTCGGCATGCGTTGGGTCGACCTAATGTTTGCACACGTGGCGTCTCGCTAGCCCAGTCCTCCGGTCTCTGAATACAAAGTGGAAGCAAAATTGTAAATTCATGGCCCTTCGATTGGACAGGTTGCCTTGCCATGCGGTTTATCGAAGTTCTCACCTCGTTTTAAAGCTCTGCTTGGTGTGATCCCCTTGTGGCCTCCTGTGGTTCTCAGACATTTGTGGCATGTGAGCGTGTCCCGTTGTTTGCCATGCATTGATGGCGTTCCTTCTCTCTAACAAACTCTGAAAATATATCACACATCTAATTTCGCCTTGCTGGCGGGATCTCTGGTTGATGCCTGTAGGGTTTTTGTGGCCTGTTCTAGGACTTAAGGGACATGGTGCCCCTGCGATAGACTGGATAGTCCTCCGTGCCTGTAAGTTGAATGACCAAATTGGTTTTTGATCGCCCTTGTACAATCGAAACCTGATGAACTTCAGCAACCGTCGTTCCAGCCCATTACGGGTGGCTTTCATTACCGAACTAAACTCAATGAATTGAGCCCCAAACAATAACTGTCGTCAGCAAAGTGCACTTATGTAGGAATAAGAGAGGAGGGGTACTCATGCATAGCACGGCCGTCGTACCGTACTGTGTAGAATGCTGGAAAAAAGCTCTCTTTGAGGCGATACAATCCGGTTGGAGATAACAATATCGGTTGTAGAAAGTCGTCATCTGATGCAATCGCTTAGGAGCCATACCTGTCGTCGGACAGCTTTGTCGAGGAGTCCAAAGCTTCAAGCGATGGGCTTATTCGGCTTCAATAACGTTTTTAGCTTTTTTGGTAAACCCGAAGGATGCAAGCTTGCTGCAAAGGAAGCACCCGCAGGGTTGAAGCTTGCGACGTTCGCAGGTAACGTGACCTTAACGTCCGCCGCTAACATAGCGATTTATACGACCTGATACCAGGTGTATGCTCTATATTTTATTTTTAGTATATATGGCTCGCTACCACTTGAAAATGGTTGTATGTAAGGTTGTACTTGGCCGGCCTGCATCCATAGGTGGATGCTTCTGGGGCCTGGAGCTAGCCTACCAGCGAGTGCCGGGCGTCATCTCCACCACCGTGGGCTATACGGGCGGCTCAGATCCGGCGCCCAACTACGACTCGGTGTGCAGCGGTCGCACGGGGCACGCAGAGGCTGTGCAGTGTACCTACGACCCCAAAGAGTGCACTTACGAGCAGCTGCTAGACACGTTCTTTGCGCGAGTGGATCCAACCACTTCCAACCGTCAGGGCAACGACTGGGGCACACAGTACCGGTCAGCCATTTACTTCCATGATGAGGAACAACGGCAGGCGGCAGCAGCACGCATGGCAATCCTCAGCGACCAGCTGAAGGCAGGTGCGGCCCCTGCACGGTGGCTGGGCAACCGGCTGGTGGTGGAGCTCCAGCCCGCGGGGGACTACTTCATCGCAGGTGAGTGGCTGTAACTGCGCTGTGTGGCGTGGGGGGAAGTGATTGCAGGATCAGTTATGTGCGGAGATGATAGCAGGATCACGATTCGACGGCTTCTGTTGAGATAGCGCGTGTACAGCCCTTTAAGGTTTGGTATGATTCCACGGGAGCTGAGTGAGGGGCACTGCCGAGCCCTAGGTGGAGCCGCGAAGGATGGATGTGGTAATAGCCTTCTTGCATCATGTGCAACACTGTGACGCTGGAGCAGCCGATGACAGCGCTTCACGGTTCCGGTGCTTGGTTGGGGTCCAGTCAATGTGTGAAGGGTTTTTCCCAAGGCCTTCCTTGTGTTAACGAACATTGGATGATGGGATAGGAGTCAAATGTGGAGACTCATGAGACTCATTTGTGGAGACTCCTGCCAACAAATGCATGCTTCCCTGGGTGCCCCCGTTGCGCAGAGGATTATCATCAACAGTATCTCTCTAGAGGAGGTCGTTTTGGCAACGCTCAGTCTGCGGCGAAGGGCTGCAAAGATCCCATCCGTTGTTACGGTTAACACGTTGCGCTGAAGAAGATGCACAACTTCTGATTCACATTCTGAAAGCCTCGGAGATGCATTTGCCCTCGCTGTGGCGAAAGAGCTAACAGTTGGTAATTCCGAATTGGTGATTGCGTCTGCAGATGGCCGTGAAAGGCTTTGCTCCTGTGTTGCAGAACTGTTATTAAGATGACTCTTTTGTTATTAAATTTTATTTGTTTCAGATAAGTAATGTCGCTCGGTAGGGCCGAACTTCGCTTGGGTTGGCGGAGGAGCCGTATCGTTGTACAACGGTTGGCGTTGGTGTTGATGTATGACGTCCATCGTTGCCTTACACAAGCTTAAATGTGGCTATCTTAATCTTGACTTTTTAATGCATCGGCAGCCAATCCCTCACCTTATATATTCAACTTTACGTGTTCGAAGGGTCGGCATGACACAGGCCGTAACTGTGTAACCTTCATCCCCTAGTTCTTTTCAGATTAGTAAGAATATTTCTTTCTGTACATGTGTTACTCACGCGAATCCCTCTGAACTTGGCATACTGTACAAGCCCGCGACTGCCGCGAATTGAAATATGACACGATTTTTTCAAAGTTTTTGGCACTCCATTGTATGCGGTAGTTAGTGTAGGGTTGGCCCGAGATGCGCGCCCTCCAACGGACTTTCGCTGACGCAGCCAGCCCACAAAATTGTTCAGTGCGATGTCAACTTCAGAAGCGAAGCCGTTATTGTGGTTTGGGTGCGCAGATGGAACACTCACGAAAGAGGAGGTCGCGATGCCCCGCATGCGACTGGCGCGGGAGTTGCAAAGCATCGCAAACTATATGGCGCAGTGCGATTTAGGTAAGCTTGCAAGTGCATCCCTCTCGTGCAATTACAATGCCTGCTTAAGCGTCCTGACTTTGTTGCCGCCTGCCGTACAGTCGTGACCCGTCCAGCTGCTTACAGTCTCCGTGCCCCAACCACGACTCGCTGCCCTCCCTGTATCCTTTCCCATGCTCCAGAAAAAGCGAACGAACCCATTGTCGTGCTCTTTAGCCGCCTTTCGCCCGATGTCATACGTTCTGGCGCTGCATTGCCCAGCAGCAATGAGTCATCCAAGGACTCTCCTGTTGCGTTGCCCCCTGGAAGCGACATCAGCGCAACGGAATATTGGCGCGTCAAGGCTCTACGCCAGGCAATTGCGGAGGCGCGCGATAAGCTCAATCCGCGCTTTGCGATGCTGATCTCCGTGCAGCAGCCGTGGCTGTGGACGTTTGTCTTCCTGAGAGGCCATGACCAGCTACGGCCGGCCCTGCATCGCCTGGCGCCGAATGCAACCCAACTGATGGCCGACCGGCGTCAGGCTGTAACACCTGGGGTATCAATGATTGATGACCTCACACCGGCGAAGGAAGTGGTGCAGCGGCTTCGCCCTCGCATCGTGCACGAGCTACGGCCGCTGCTGTTGTGGATGGGTGAAGAGGACATGGAGAATCCAAATGAGCGAGTTATAGTGCTATTCGTCTGTGCAGATGTAAACTTGCTTGCACAGCGCTTCATCATTGCAGGCAGGGGTGGGACAGCAGGTGGAACCAAATTAACAACGGCAACCAGCTTGTCTGATCTTAACGATGTCGACCTACAACGCACACTGCTAGCCCGGGACAGGCTCTTCGACGTGGTGGACGTGCTGCAGCCGCGCCTGCTGGTCCTGGTGAACTGGCTGGCGGACACGGATAACTGGATATTGGTGCTATGCAGGCGAGTAAGAAGAATAGCGCGACACAAGGGTTAAATAGTGATCACCGGACAGGCGAGCTTGCACCGATGATATCTAATAGTGTACCGTCCAGGCAATCATAGCTAAATCCTGCAACTGCTGTCCAAAAGCCTAGGTCTGCGTTTCAGCGCCGGTACTACCCAAACTGCCAGCAAATCCTGCATACCAAGCTGCAATGTATGACACGACTATTCCCGGCTTATTCCGCCATGCAGGGACCACACGCGACTGGTCACTGGTATCAGCAAAACGCTACCTAACCGAGGGTTTTGTATCTGGTCACAGCGGCGACCACCACAGGCATCAGAGACCACGGTCAGTGACTTCTGCTACTCGAACGCGTGCTCGAAGCGGGGGCAAAAACAAATCGTGCAGTTTTGCCCCAGGTGTCTTACGGCTAAATACTGCAGCTCTACATGCCAGGGCGAGCACTGGAAGGCGGGGCATTGCAGGTTTTGCCCCCGGCTCCAAGCCACTAAGCTGAAGCGTAATGCAGCAACGAATAGCGGCACGGCAAGGGTACGGGCAACTGTACCATCCATAAAGAAACGCTAAGTTGGCGCAGGCGTGTGAGCATTGATATGAAGCCAGATCCGGCCAAGTCGGTGAATGCACGGTCGTTTTCTTGTGTAGCCACACAAAACTCACTTATGCGCGCACACCTCTGCATGCTTAACGAATGCCCCAAAATTTCTTAAATACGTTTATGCAATTGAGCCGTTGCACCCGACAAGCAACGCCTTATGAACATGTGCTTGGCAGTTCTAATTTCATTCGTTGCATTTGTTTGCACGTAAGCTGCTCACGTATGTGCTGTAACCCCTTTGGAAGGTAGCAATCGCGTGGAACTTGGCAGCTTAGTCACGAAGCTGTGAGGTTAATGCTGTCATAATAGTAGAGACAGTGTCCAGAATCTTGAGGGACGTGGACGTTTTCAGAGCATGTCCTCGGCCTTGTACGCCACCATTGTTTTGACGTTATGGACCTGCAGAGCAGCTCCAGTGGTTTTACAGTTGACTTGCATCGTTAAGAGTTTGAATTCACGCACGCACGACACTTACCTTCGTGCTGAATGCGCGCAAGGAGACAATTTCCGCATTCTTGATATTGCGTGCGTCGCTGTCCTCCCTGAAGGCAAGGTTGCATGGGTTTACGCGCATGTAACAGTGTTCTTATGCTGAGGTTAACAGCCAGTATCAGAATGCTCATTGCCAACCAAGTCGTACGTTGGAAAGCTCTGGACGGCACGTGCCAAACCCCAGTAAACTTACCATTCCGCCGGGATCTCGTCGATGTGGTCAGTGTACACCAGGATGTCGATGGAGCCTGCGAGCACACGGTTGGTGCCGGTACCGGTGGCAACGCTCCGTGAGTCGCGTATAATTCAGATGCGATTGACTACAGTATTTGGGTCGCAACCACAGGAGCGCTACACAAGCGATGGACACCAGTTCCGTAGCAACACAAAAATCATGACCTTCTTGTTTGGTCTAGGCGCAATACAATGGCGCAACTCACAGCGGGTGTCAAGGAGGGGTAGGAAGGAGACGCTCGCGCAAATCTGCAGGCAGGAAGCAGCTGTCAGTCATCGATCCACCCGAACAAGTATGTATCCACACAATCGCCAACGTGCCTGGCGCAGGATTCCAGCGATCTCCCCCTTAATTTCGCTCTCTGCCTTCTCGGGCGGCTTCCTGCACGATTTGAACGCACGCAAGAAGGCAGCTCACGTGGCATGAAGTCTATGGCGCATGCGTCACTTCATGCCACCCTTAATAAATAGGTGGCATCTCACCCGCCCGCCACAACTTCCTGGTTCGTCTCAATGTCAAATGTCCATCGCTCCAGGACCTCAGATGTGTTGACATCGGTGATGACCAAGACTAGCTGGCGCAGGTTTCCGGTTTCCAACCACGCTACAATAATGGCTTGAAAGCGTGAGGACAGGCCGCGATGGAAAAAAAGCTTGTAGAAAGCGGTTATCCTTACCTTTGGTTTGCGATAGAACAGTGCTGAGATACTTGTTCAGGCTCTCGTCGTTGCTGACCCAGAGCATAATGCCATATTCTTTCTTCTGCTTGAAGTCCTCCGATGGGTATACACCACGCTGGTAGAGGATACTGCAATCGCCACAAAAGAAAGTGCCCTTGCCAAGGGCAGCTGACAGCTCATGCGCAGCCCCAAAAGAAACGCAACGAACCTTTGGACCGCATATTCAAAATACTGCGTTACTGTTTGCGCAGAGCCCTTGAGGGTGATCGTGCTACGTTGAAGCTGAGTCTGGCACTGCAAGGACATTTCTTGTAAATAACCTATTGATGCTCGAGAACAGAAGCAATGATCAAGGCGTCTCGTGTAGTCTTGGCTCGGTTGTTGAGATGTACACGTGAACTAAAAACTATTCAAATGAAATGACTTCCGTACGGCACCCAATCCGCGGGTAAGGAGTTCCAAGATCCGGCAATCATTTTCTGACGAAGTTAGTTAATTCTATTCTGCCTCCTTTGTTCTGTCTTAGACAATCAAAAGTCTCTTTCCTTGTTGTTGTGTGACGTGCGCCGTGATGTGCATGCGATGAAACGTGCGATGAAACGTGCGATGAAGCGTGCCAGCCACCTGCAAGCTGGGGAAAGGTGCTTGAATCATTCCCTGGGCATAAGCACCTTAACCAAACTTGGTATCAGGTGTGGCACGGCCGGACTCTTATGTGTCTGAACTCTGAAGTGTGTCTGAAGCGTGCCATGACATAACCATGTAGGCTAAGTACTACGCGCGAAGCTATGTGCGTTGACACCAAATTTTGACACGCTGGCCCTGGCCAGCCGCCCCCATCTGCGTCCCAGTTAGGTATGTCCTTGTTGTTCATGCCCCTGATGCAGGCCAGGCATCCCCCAACGATGATTACAAGCCCATTAGTATAGTCCATACAGTGGCAGTCATAGGATAGGCGCCAGTCAGTTCTGTACATGCACAACCACGCCTGCTAATCCCAGTCTACCAGCATCCTGTCCAGTCCTACATCGCACGGTCCGTTTTCAACCCCGGTGCATTTCCCAACTACTTTCCTGATTCCTACAACAGATACAATTATCATCGGTCACATGCCAGGCCTTTTATGACCTCCGATCACGACGTCCGCCCGAATGGCAGTGCTAAGTCCATGTTCAGGTATTCAAATCGTCGAAGTCCTCGACGTCATATTCAACCTCGCTTCGGGCCATGCGGCGTGGCGGCGGTTTTCCGGCAGCCGCAGCCTGCCGCCCCACTCCCCGCTTCCCCGCTGCTGCCGCCGCTGCCGGCACCGACGCCACTGGCCCGCCCCGCTTCTTTGACGCAGCCGCTGGGGGCGGCGGCTCATCGTCTCTGGACGACTCACCCCCGCTGCCTGACGACTCACTCTCTCCCTCCGACCAATCTGCAAGGGCGCGCTTGCGGTTGGCCAGGATCGCAGCCGCCCTTGACCCTATCGCTGGCCTCGTCCCATTCGCTTGTTTAACGGGGACAGCACTGCCGCCGCGCGTGCGCCCCATTGCATGCACCTTCTGGCCGTCCTCGTCGCTGTCACTGTCTTCCTCGGCTTCGGTGTCCACCCCGGACCTTGACCGGGTTTTCTGGCGCCCTGCTGCTGTTGCCGACGCCGCCACTTTGGCGGCAGCGGCGGCTCCGCGGGTTCGCTTGGCAGGCCGGACATCCTCCTCCTCCCCAGACTCGCTCTTGTCACTGCTGGAATCGTCATCCTCTTGCTCCTTCTTCAACCGACTGGACCGGCGCGTCCTTGGCGCCACCTCTATTTTTTTCTGCAAACGAGCTGAAGAGCGACTTGGGTTTGTCCTGCGTTTTCGCCTGGCCCCATCCTCCTCCTCGTCCTCCTCATCGTCCTCTGAATCCTCGTCCTCGTCCTCGTCGTCCTCCTCTGACGCCGAGGCATCCTCGTCGCTGCTGCTGTCAGCCTCATCATTATTTTCATCATTGTCCGCCGCTTCCCGCTCCTCCTCCTCCTCGGCCACCTCGCCCTCCTCCGACTCCACTTTGGCCTTCGCCTTGGTCTTGCCGCCTGTTACTGCACGCCGGCTCTGGTTCTTGGCTGTGGCAGTTGCAACACGCTTGCCGCGCTTGCGGTCGGCCACGGCATTTTCCGCGTCCTCCTCCTCGTCGTCGTCGTCGCTATCCTCGCTCTCTACCACGCCACGCTGGCGTTTCTGGCCCCGACCGCCGCCACCACCGCCCGCGTCCTTCTGGCCTTTACCACCACCAGCGTCTTTGTGTGGCTTTCCAAACGCTGCTTGAGAGCCAAGCAGAGCGGCTGCCTCACGGCTTCGGACGTTCGATATGTCTGCATGCAGCAAACGTGATGCGAAGTAAAGATCATGTTTAGCAAACTGAAGCTACAGCGTGAGAAGTTATCCGAGCAAGACAACCTAGATATTACAGGCACATAATTAAAACCCAACCTTCAAGTATGGAGCCGGACGATTAGGAAACTTAACATTATCATGCTCGGAAAGCTGAACAGTAATTATCCACCTGCCAAATGCAGGCCATTATCGGGGAATCAGTAATGGCCTGCATTTGGCAGGTGGATAATTACTGTTCAGCTTTCCTAGCTGGACTTCTACCACGGGTCCCACCAGCCTCCAATCAGTCAACTCACCAGGCAACGCTGGCGGTGCCGCCGAACCGCCCCTGCGCGACGGGTACCGCTCCTGCGCCACAACAACCGCCTGCTGTTCTTTTTCCTTCTTGGCCGCTGCTGCCGGAGCCTTGTCCTTTTTGGCGGCGGCAGCTTTGCCGGGCTTCCCGGTGGTCGTCTCCACCGCGATCTGGTGGTGCAGCTCCCGCTGCGGGATGATCTGCTTGCGGATGGCGCCCTGCAGCCCCCCAAGGCGATACCAAACTGCCGCCCAAGTGGTGCATAGTTCCGGGTGCTGAGCGGGCATGCAGTAGAGCCGCCAGTGAGGTCGGAAGGCCTGATGCAACGAAGGTGACCACAGCGACACAGGGGCAGGGATTACGACGCCATGTTGAGCACGTGCTTTGGCAAGGTGTTGTCGGTGCTGGAAATGCGAAGGCGTAGGGCCCGGCTGGGGTGTACAGGAGCAGACAGCCTGTCGTGCGTGCCAAACCTCAGTGAACAAGAAGAAGCGAGCAGGAGACGCCCAACAGCAGCTAAACCTACTCTCGGTACTCGCTTCATCAAGTAAGCCAAAACACCGACATGTCACGTTGCCCGCGGTACTCCGTGACGAAGGATTAGGCGCCACCACTGCCTTCCTGCAGGAATAACAACCACCCAACTTCGCCGCGCACCTCATCGACTAACATCGCCTCCAGAACCACTAACGCCGCGCAGAGCTGTTGCGGAGCCGTGGCACCCTCCACAAATGTGCACCACCTATCCTGCCGCGCCGCCGAGCCCCAGAAACGCTTGAAGGCCTCCGCCGGCAGGCTCCGGTGCAATGCCAGTAGCTCTGCTCGGAGCGCAATAGCCTCCGCGGGTTCTTCGGCCGCGGCGCTAGCCTCTGGCAATGCCGCGGAGCCCTGACGCGTGGCGGCGGTGCCGCCGCCGCGGCGCCCGCCGGCCGCCACCACGGTCACCGCGGGGAGGAGCAGCAGCGGCTGCTGCACCTGTTGGGTGCTGCCACCGCCTCCCTCTTCAGCTGCCACGGACTGTTGCTGCTGTGCCTGGTCTTGCTGCTCGCCCTGTGGCGGCTGTGCTACAGCAGCAGCGGCCGGCTTCTGCTTGCCACCCGTGGTCGCTGGAGCTTGGGACGCCGCGATGCGGTCACGGGCGCGCAGCAACGCTGTCCGCAGCGGCCCTTCGCGCATGCCTTTGGGATTTAGCCAACCAATCAGCGCGTTCAGTTGCTCCGGAGTGTGGTGCACCGACCAGGATTGCCCCGGAACAGCATCCACCCCGATTGGCACCGTCCGAGGCCTGGGTCGCTCCTTCGGCAAGCCCCACTCATCCAGCTCCTCCTCCTCCGGCTGCTCCTCCTCGCCGGCCCCAGCCGCCATCTGCACCATCATCTTCTGCTTCTTTTTTTCATCTAATGCCGCCTTCCGTGCCTGTTGCTCGTCCTCCTCCTTCTGGCGCGCCAGTTGCCGGTCGTTGAAGGCTTGCGAGGCCCTCGCTTGCTCCGCGATGGCGTGCCCCGGCGGAAACTGCTCCACCACGACTACCCCTTGGGGCCCGTTCGGGTTGAGGTGGTCAGCACCCAGCCACCAGTACCTGCCGACAAGGTACGGGAAGCATAACTTTTATTGGAGCCACCTCCAGACGTAGTTTGATATCCGTGGAAAAAGCGGCGAAAAACGACTAGATTATCATTGAGAGCTTAAAAATTAATCCAACATTTGTGTAACGCACGCACGTAGACACCCCCACCTGCTCCCATGCCGGTCCTCTCCCAGTGCCTCCTGCCGCACCGCCAGCCCCTCCATCTGCGCCTCCAGTGACATCAGCCGCTTCAACTCCGCCTCGGGCAGCACGGACAGGTCAGTGGGGCGGCGGGATCCACGGGACTTTGCTGCTGCACGGGAACAAAGACCGGAAGGCGGCGGAATCGAATTATGGAAGGTAAAGATGGAGCGTGCGCAGAAAAGTGGGAAAACTTCCATTGCGTTGAGCCCCTGCCACAAGTGCAGGAACGCAGGTTCAGGAGCATCGAGGCGGCCGGTACATGGGCGCACATTTGCAGATAACAGGCTTCAGGCCAGGGCACTATGATATGCTGCGAAACATTGGGCTTTACTCCCGCATATGATAACGCAGGCAATACCGCGTGTCGTCCTCGCAGATTGCCCACACACCTGTCGCCTCGCCGCCGTCCTTGCTGTCCTTCGCCTCCTGAGTTCCGCCTTCCTCGTCGGCTGCTTCCTTTCCCTCCTTGCCGCCCGGCTCTGCACTTTTATCGGCCTTGCCGCCCTTGGATTTGGTCCCTTTCGACTTGGCCCCCTTGCCACCCTTGCCCGCTGCCGCTGCAGCGTCCGGATTTGCACTGGCATCGCCGTCGCCCTCTGGCTTGGGCGCATTTTCCTTCTCGGCCGCAGCTTTCTTCGCAGCCGCTTGCTCCTCCTGCAGCAGGAAATTGAACGCGCTACTCAAAACCTGGCCAACATAAATCATACACTCCAAACAGCAGCTCAGCTCTTCAGGCGTTTGAAAACATTTTGCACGAATGTAAGCTGCGTTATGTAAGCTGCGTTACGATGCACAACACGACAACAATTTGAACGTGGAGTTGATCATCAGGCGCACCCTTCGCTCATCTGTCGACGACGCTTCCTATCCCCCTGCCCGCACCCATGCCTACTCTTCCTTTGCCCCTCTACCTGAATTTGTCGGGCCTTGGACCGAATGGCGTTGGCCTCCACTCGCGCCTTCTTGCGGGTCTCCACGATCTCCTCCAGGGAGTTCCGAAGCGCGTTGGTGTCCAAGGCCAGATCACACAGCGTGGAAAGCAGGGCTAAACGCCGAGCGGGCGTCCAGCCGACGCAGCCGACGCCCCCTACAGCAGCAACCGTAGCGCTGACGGGGCTTCCGGTGGAGTAGTCGTAGTTTCCAAGCAAGTGGGCCAGCCGGAGTAACCCTGATCAGAAGGGGACGACAGGAAGAGTACAACACGAAAAGCGAGGGCTGATTGGGTACCGATGGATTGTATAGAAGTGAGCTTAAGACATGAATGCGGTCATCAGGGTCAAGTCGTGCCAGCTCTAGCTCTCCGCAGGGATCGGCTGGCAGCGGCAGCTGACATGAGGCGCCCCGCTTCGTATTTTGCTTGTATAACCAGTAAACCGACACACACGCCCACGGCTCACCCAGCCAGCTGCTCACCTGCCAGCTCTTGGAGCCCTGGCCGGCTGTTCGCACGCAGTGTGACCCTTGGGCCCTCCGGCACATCGGCCGGTATGCTCAGCGGTGCTTCGCCTACGTCAGCCCCCGCCGTGCCGCCAGCGGCAGGCAGCGCCGGCGCTGCTGTGTCTACCGCCGCAGCCGCGTGGCCGACCCGCGACTGTAACCGCCGCGCCGCCGCCCGGTCGTGCAGATCCGAAACGAGATGGCTGTGACTATGGCAGTGCTGGAAAGCGGGCGAGCAGGGAGACCTGCCGGAGGCGCTGCCGTCGCTAGGAGAGATGGAAGCTCCACCGGCTGCAGCTGCTGACGATCCTGCCGCTCCGCCTGCTGTGCGGCTTGGAGTGGTCGCGCGTGGAGTCCCGCGACGCTCCGCCGCTGCGTCCACGTCCATGGCGTCCTCGCTCTCGTCGTCAGCCTGCGGAAATGAAGGTTCGGCAGTCGAGAGGGACCTGGAAAGCAGAAGTACAGAAACGATGGATACGGACCGGACGAGGCATAACGAAGGTTTGCTTATTCACTGATTTAGTTATTCAAAAAATGCAACCCGTGCAAGAAGACGTGCGCTGGCGGACTGAACCTGCGCTTACATTGGACTGGGCCGTCCAGGGAAGACAGCCGAAGGTGCGATTTTAAGCCAGGAGGGGTGGCGGAAGCGGCATCATGGTGGTGCAACGGGCAGAAGAAAATCGACAACCGCATGGTAAAGTGGATGGAAGAAGCCGCATGCAGCGGCCTGGGCATTGTCATACCTTGGGTAATCCCAGCCCTCGAGCGGTGCAGGACGGACAGAACCATGCTCCCGCAGGGACCTTCGCGATGGTAAGGAGAGGGGTAGAGAAGGTAAAGGTCACTATGTCGCATGAAACAGATGCCAAATCACGCACATTGACCCTCTGCCATCGAGAAAACAAAACGAAGGGGTTGGACAAGCGCCTAAGGGCCAATCGTAACACTGCTGATGTGATAGTCAGTGAACGCCAGGCGGCAGTACAGGCAGCAAAAGTATTTCAGTGGCCGATTGTCAAATACCAGGGCCTAGACCTTGTAATACTTGTACAGTCTCCCAACGTCCTTGTCTGTGTCAGCATTTAGCACAAAGACTAACACCCATGTATGCGGTTTGCCCCCTCGCGCACCTCCAGCAGCGGCGGCTCAACACAGTAACAATGGTATTCGCCATCACAACCATCGCACAGCAAGATGCGGTTCTTGTCCTCGTCAAGCCAGCAAACCCTAGGGCAGGAAAAGAGTAACCGTAAGAGATTGTGAATTATGTTACAACGGCTCCTTTGACCACAAGACCGGATTGACATTTCCTCCGCGGAGTCCCAGGGCGGGTGCTGCTGCGCGCCGACACACACCTAGACAGGCAATTGGCGAGAAAGGGACTTGCCGCGATCGGAACATGTGCACATGTCCAGAGGAGTGAGATCCCACCCGTCGTCTGAGACCCGATTGAGCACCCTCCGGAATCCCTGCCTTGTCAGACTCAAGACGCGCTCCTAGACCGCCAACGTCACCCGCTTGCCTGCATCCGTCCCGGGGATTAAAGAGACGGGTAGGGTCGTCCAAGCTGGATGGGTCACCTTCCTCGTCCTCATCCCCTGCCGCCATAGAGGCCGCCTGCCCGCCCTCCTCCGCCTGCTGCTTGCGGCTACGCGCTCTGCTGCGGCTCTTCCGAGGCTTCCCAGAGCCCTTTCCGGGGTCCTTCCCAGTGCCTCCATCACCGTCCCCGTCAGCGTCCTGCATCTCCGTGTCGGCGCTGGGCTTGGTTGCGGCGTCGGCGCTGGCCGGCGTCGGCGCCGGCAACGCCAGTGTCGCATCAGGGTTCGCCAGTAGTTCGTTCAGTTTGAGTTCCGCCTCATCAGCCAACGCGGCCCGGGCGTCCTGCCAGACACACAGAGCGCGCCGCAGAGAAAAGAAACCGCGTAAGTAGGAGGAAAAGACGCGCAGGGCCATATCACTCTACGGATACCGAGAACTACCGTAAGCACATTCAGCTGTCAAACACAACTACCAACATTACCTCCCGAGTTTTAACAGACGTAAGAGACCAATGAGAGGCCGCATACCAGGTACACGTGCTGTCTGGCCAAGGAAACTAAGTAAACACATGAAAACTGTCAGACACAGCAACCCTGGTGTTCCATGGGCTCCACTCGCCAGTCCGCCACAAAGCCTACAATACTCATTGCATTACGCCGCACATGTATGCCAGGCCATGTAACCCAACCCGCTTCCATCACCCAAATCCAAAGCTCCCCCCGTACCTCGTGGCCGGGAATGCTCTTGCCCTTGGGGCAGCTCAGCGCCGCGCGCCACAGTGCCAGAGCCGACCTCGCATCCGTTGCCAGCGCCTGTAGCCAGTCGCCAGTGCTCTGGTATAGCCCCGCGTCCAGTCGCGCAGCCACCATGTGCAGGTCAACACCCCTGGGAGCACGCAGCACCTCGCCGAACTCGGGCGCGTAGAAGCCCAGCTGCTTGCCGTCCTCGGGCAGGGTCAGCAGCGCATGCAGCAGCCGTCGGCCGCGACGCACCTGACCCTCACCATCCAGGTGCTGCGGCAGCGTCAGAAGCAGCGGAAGTAAACAGCAGCGAGACCGCAGAGAGAGCGGCGAGACCGCGGCGTCAGCAGGACAGCAGCATAAGCGAGCAGGCGAGGTGGCTGGACTGAGAGACGGGCCCTCATATCCGGTCCTTACCCTACACTACCCTACCCTAGCCCCACACCAGCCTACATGGCTGTTAGATACATGTTGCTAAGCGTGGGCCCCTGAATTTCCCTGTAGAGCGTATGCTTCTCTTTTAGAAACGTTCTTACCTGCAAGTCAAAGGACTTGACGCCCTGAAGCGCCCGCTCCGCCGCCGCGCGAGCCCGCGCGTCGTCCGCCGCCAGCAGGGCGTCTGCCGCCCAGCGGGAGGAGGCGTGCGGCAGCAGTGCGATGCGGGACAGCAGGTGTGGGAAGTTGAGACCCGCCAGCAGGTAGTGAAGCCAGTCCTGAGGGGAATAGAAGGCGGAAGGGGAAATAGCGATGTGAGGACGGGGAGAGGGAGGGGGGAGGGGTTGTGCAGTTGCAGGTTGAAAGTCCCTGGGGCTGTGTGAGGGTGCAGTCGAGTGCGGGTAGTGATATTTCCAAGTCAGAAACGATCCAAGGATAGCTATGCACGGGTACATCGTGAATCATGGGGCAGAATAGGACTGGGATCAAGCTTTAGGGTCGAGTTTCAAAGTCGGGGTTTCGACGTTCCATGGGTGGACCGGGCCTCGACATGATTGATGAGGCAACCCGAAGGCAGGTTGTGCAGCAGCATACATAAATTTAGGTCGGTGACCTTACGGGCATAACGAGGAGCAGACATGTACCTGATTGTGCAACCTCAACACCAAAACAGACCACAGCCATCTGCCGTGTAACCATTAGACATCCCCTACCCTGCCCTGCGACGACAACAAGCTCCTGATGCTCTCCCAACAGATAAAAAGCTCGCTTGCACGCCCCTGCTAACAGACCCAGACGACAGACCCCAACACGCACCGCCGGTTCCAGGTTCTGGAGTTGTCCCGGCAGCTGCAGCGTCGCCAGTGCTGAGGAGCGGGGCTCACTGGTAGCCAGGTAGCGAGCAGCAGCTGCGGCAGCCATGTAGCGACGAGCCAGCTCCGGCCAGGTGGCGGCGGTGATGGGGGGCGTGGCAGGGGACAGGTCCCGCCGCTGTGAAGGCACACGCGCGAATAATGGCAACGGCGAGGGCGCAGGCGTATAAAAAAGCGGTTGTTAGTACAGTGAAGCAACAGCAAAGATGCTCTGTGTGCATGAAGTTTAACAAAAGAAGAAGACGGCCATGAGAAGACGAGCAGCAGGAAAAACACTAATGCACTCCTCGTCCGCCGCAAAGGGAGGTACTGGGCCAGACGATGCGCATTGGATACAGACCCGCAGCAGCACATCACATAACTGTCCATCCACACGCACCTGTAGGTTGGATGTCTCCGCGATGTACTCGAGCAGCTCGTCCAGCGCCTCCCCCACCAGCAATCGCACGAGTGACAGATGCAGCTCGTCAGTGGCGCGGCGGGCGGGGGGAGACAGCCGGGCTGGCGCATCCGACACCATGGCCAGCAGATCCGCCAGGGAGGGGACCCGCCCTTCAATACCCAACAGCTTCCTAGGAGGCCGAAGGAGAGGAGGACAAGGGAATGTTGGAAATGAGCATGATGGCAAGCCAGCTAAATTGCAAAAGAAGATGGCAGTGTGCATGATCCTTCCCAAATCAACAGAATTGATGACATCCGCAGGACGCCGTTGGCGGCACCACTGACTCTATAGCCTCGGGCACATTTACCAGAAGGACACATGCATGTCTCATTTATACTATTAGTATATTAGCCACACCTGTGGTCCCAGATGAACTGGTACACTGCGAGCAGCTGCTGGACCTCCTCTGTGCTAAGAGCGGCGGCCAGATCTCCGTCAGCTGCAAGGGCGCCGCTTAGAGTGTACGATAGCTCCAGGGACAGGCCTGGCGGCGCCGGCGACTCTGCGTTAGGCAGCGCCCGCTCATCCACCTGTTGGCCTGCTGGCTGAGAGGTTGGTGGAGCGGCGGCGGCGGTGTCTGTGGCGGCTTCCGTCGACGCCGCGGCGGCGCCCTTGGCCGCGGCACCCGCAGCATCCTATGTTATGGAATGCGGCAAACAAGGAAAGAAGCTCAGTTGCAGTGTGAGGAGAGTCCCGGTACCGGACCTGGATACCAAGCAGCAGCTAACGCCCGTAGAGGGTTCGCGAGAATCTCTTTCCAGACGTTTTTGAGGCGTCTAGGGATTTAAACGTGGATGGGTCGGTGCTGTGTCGCTGGGTCGCGTTCTCGCCAGTGAAAGCCAGCCGGGAAGTTGGGCCGTATGAACACGGTCCCTGCAGCAGCAACAGTAGCAGGCACATTCATGTCTTACCTTTTCCTTCACTTTGGTGGCTTTGGATTTGGATGGCTTCTTCTCCTTTTCCTCTTTGCTCTTCGCCTCCTTTTCCTTGCCCTTTGCCTCCTTCTTTGCCTCCTCCTTGCTCTTCGCTTCCTTATCCTTGTCGGACGCCCCGGCGGCGCCGCCTGCCGCCTTCTCCGCGGCTTTTTCTGCAGCCTTCTCCGCAGTCTTCTCTCGCCGCCTTGCAGCGGCCCGGTCGGACTTCTCCATGGCCTTCAGCTGGAGAGAACGTAGGGCCCACAAAGCCAGGACACGTGGCGGGTGGCAAATTCAGGACCCCAAAGGATAACGAGGAGCAGCGCGCCTATGCGCAAAGGTGGCGTGCAGCAGACAACCCTCACTAAACAAGGGAACCACGCTTGTTAGAGCAAAACACACTCGCCAAATCAAAGGCAAAATAAAAAAAAGACGATGAGCTCTATCTGCATGTTCAGGTGCGACTGCTGGCACAGGTGTCCGTGCGAAGTAAGAAGACACCGGTAGTTCACCGCGAGAGGACAGACCCACCGACCCACCAGCTTCTGGCGCTCTTTTTCATCCGGCTCCATCATGACCAGGGACACCCGCTCTACGAGGCGGTCCAAAACGCCCCGGATCTGGATAAAAGAGGGAAGCAGGGGTCGGCGGACGGGTGTGCAGATGCACATCAAGCAGCAGGAAAGAAGCAGCGAGTGAGTACGCGCGCACCAAATACGCTCTTGGGAAATCCATCAATGGAAGCCAGGTACGTACAGAATCAAATCATACCAGCAAATCATACCGACATACTGTGCAAACGTTCTTCTTTCAAGTAGCCAACAAAGACATGCAAGGCCAAATGGCTAACGGGGACTTAGAGAGCACACAAGACCAGGTAAAAATGGCTCAAGGCAACAGCAAGGCAAGGCATGATTGGCAGGGCAACGAGGTGGTCATACTGACTGGTGCCATGCATGTCGATACGGTATCTGCACAATTAGGTAACCGGAGGGCGCCAATCGCCATAGATGTGCATGTTCAACGGGAGGTGAAGTAACCTGATGTGGACTCCTCCGATACTGCCGCCCCCGCTCACCTCCAGATCTTCACGCGTCATCCTGCCCGACTTGTCAATCTTGCTCTTGCTGCCGCCGCCGCCGCCCGTCTTGCCTTCCGCATTGGACTTCGCGGTGGATTTCTTCCCTGCGCCGGTGGTGGCCGCGCCAGCAGCTGCGCCGCCGCCGCCGCCGCCGCCACCCGACGTCGTCGCCGCCGCGGCGGTTGCCAAACCCTCCAGCCCATCCCAAGACGCCGGCTCTACCGGAGCTTCCGCCGTGGGCGACGGCGGCGGCCGATCCACGAACGCCTCAATCGACAGCTGCTGCTGCCGCTTGCGCTGCTTGGTCGCTGCGGCGGCAGCACGCCGATTGGGCGCCGCTGATAGTACGACATTGCGCTTCGTAGCGATGCCCGTGGCCTCCAGGTCCCACGAGTTCCGCTGCTGTACGAGCAAGTAATCCTCGCAGGACTCGACTCCAGGAAGGGCTTCTAGCAGCTGCAGCACGCGCACGTCCGACAGCCCGAAACAGTCCATGCCCCACACTTTGCCCACCGGCGGCATCGCCGCCAGCGCCCGCTGCACTTCCGTCGGCTGAGCACCGGCACCGCTGGGCTTGGCCCGCTTGCATAGCGCTACTGCGGCGGCCTGGAGGTCAACGACAGCTGACCAGGCAGCGTCGGGCGCAGCGGCTACATGTACGAGCAGCGGCTCCACCGGCGGACTGCTGCTGGCCGCAGCCGCAGCGGAAGCATCTGGATTCGGCTCCAAGAGCACCGCAAAGGAGGGCCCCTCACTATCGCCCTCGCCGCCATTGTTGCTGCCCGTACGGATTTCGCTGATGAAGCGGTACGGCGGTGGTGGCGGCGGCGGCAGTGCCGGCTGCTTCGCTTCGCCGCCTTCGCCGCCAGCTGGCTCCGGTGCAGACCCCGCTTCGCCTGCTTCCTTGGGGGCAGGGTCGTCTTTCTTCTTCGCTTTCTTCTTTGCGCTCCCGGGGCCGGACGCGGAGTCGTGCGGTGGAACCCACGCGGCTTTGTAGCCCAGCGGCCAGATGTGGGTCGCGTCATAGAACCCAGGGGCCTTATGGAAGGCCCCCAGGCTCAGGATCGTGACGCCTGAGACACGCAGCCAGGTATTTGGCAAGCGGGTTGCGGGTTGCGAAAAAGGAAAGGATGGCTAGGTAAAAAATCATTTCAAAACCGGCAACCATACATGCATGCAATCAGGCCGATAGACAAAACCGGCACAGACAGGCAAACCAGCGCACATAGCAGTTAGGTAAGCAGACAGAGAGCAGAGTGAAAGGCACTCAAAAGCACTCAGGCATAACACTACAGGCATGAACAAAACGATCTTCGCAGGAATGCTCTCCAATGCATTCCGACGTGACCATTCCTGGAAGGCATCTCGTGTGCGGCGGCCCTACGATACACCCCAGCTCTTTCTCACCCCTGTCAGTGGCGAAGGGCGGGGTTAACCCCAGGTCCTTCGCCCGCTCCTTGGCCGCCTTGAGCGCCTCCTTGCGGGGAAGCTCCAGCGGCAGGGTCCACTTGTTCCCGCCAGCGGCAGAGCCCGGACCCCGACCGGTAGCCGGCGGCGATGTGGGGACTACTGTTGCTGCACCCGCCGCTTGGGCTCCCGGCGTTGCGGCGCCCTCCTCAGCCGGCTGAGCGCCAGCAGCCTTCTTCTTAGAACCCTACGCATAACGCAGTACGGTGGCGAAATCTGTAGAGACAGCATTGGCAGTGCCTCGTTTATTGGTATGAAAGGTATGAAAGGAGCGCCGGAGGAGGCTTCAGGTGTGCACCCACGGGGGATGAATGTGCGGCGCAGGGCACGCCTGATACTGGACTATGGAGACAGCGACAGGGGAGAAACCCCACTCTTAGCCTTGAAGCTGCGCCCGCCCTTGAAGCTGTGACGGGTACTCTGTCTAGGGCGGTACGTGAACGGAGCCACCAACGCCCACCTCCCTCCCTCCAATGGCAATGGCGATCCAGCCCTCACCCCGGTACACATGCCGTAACGGAAACGAACCCGTACCTTGCTGCTGGCAGCCCTCTTAGCTGCGCCGCCAGCACCTCCGCTGGGGTCCAGTCCCAGTATGCGGAGCACCTCGGCCCTGGACCTGAGGCCCAAAGCAAGTAGGTGCTATTATGATTGGAAGGGTATAGGGGTATAGGGACTGAGGCAACCCAGGTAGGACAAGGCTCGTCCGGTGGAGGGGTGCCATATGCCCAAACCAGGCCTAACAGGAACAAGCAAGGCATAGCATGATAACCCGCCGCGGTAGGACACGCAATAAGACGGCTGCGAGCAATGATGAGGCTGGACTCCGGGCATCACCCGGAAAGGGTTTCTGAAGACGATCGATGATCGGCAAGGATCGACAGGGAAAATCCTACACCATTCACCATACCTGATCATGCGACCCTCAGGGCTCTTGTAGTACAAGTCGTACTGCCCGGCTGAATTCCCCCCTACGCGCATCTTGTAAACTCCCATCCATCCCTGGGGCAGCGTGCCGCCTGCGGAAATATACCGTACATTGACGAACAAGATTAGAGGTGTCCGAAAGGGCGCTTTTTGTAACAGCGCTTTGTCATGTGTATTTCATGGGTGAGGAGCAGCCTCGGGAGCTCGACACGTACTGCCCCGTGCGCTCTGACACTTAGCCGCCGCAACCATGCCACGTCACCGGCTGGCGGTGCACCAACACGCACCCCCTAAGAGCCAGCCAATCGGCACCTCTGCTGCCGCACCACCTACCCAGCGTACCTCCGATGTTCCAGCCCAACCCAAACGGTTGCATTCATCCAAACGGGACGGGGCTAAACCCTACAGAACCCCAAGCTGACAACCACACACGCACCCAGGCTGGCCACGTAGGCCCGGAGCTTCTCCGCCGCAGCTGGGTCCTCCCGCGTTGGTCGATCCGCAGGTGCCTTCCGGGCGCTGGCATTGCTGTTTGCAGCTGTGCCAGCCGTATCGGCAGCTGCGGTGCCCCCGGCGCCATGCGTTGCCGACGCGGGTGTTTGCGCTGAGGCAGCACCTGCAGCAGCTGCTCCGCCGGTACTGCCATTGACTGCTGCTGAGTCAGCCATGGCCTCGTCGTCGCTGGCCGCCTCGCCGTCGCCCTTCCAGTCTTTATTGCCTTTCGACTGCTGCTGCTGTTCTTCCTCTTGCTCTTCTGTTTGCTGTTGTGTTCCATCGTTCACAGCTCCCTCCGCTGCCTCCTCCATCTTACTGTCCTCGGAGGCCATTACGCTGATCCTCTGTAGCCAGCAGCCGTCGCCACCGGCACGCGGATCCGGTCAAGTTAAAAAAGAGTCAAGAGGACCAGTGCTTGTCAGCAAGCACGAAGGTCCAAAAGGTAGCGCGTTAAGGTGTTCGCATGGCTGCCCAGAGGTTGGCCGTGGCCATGCGGCGCCCTGTCCTGCCCTGCACCACCACAGGCCACAGCGTGCAGCAGGACCAAACACGTCCAGTCGGCAACCCCCGCGTTCATCCCGCGATGGCTTGGGCGAAAATGATGCGCGATATGGAGATGACTTCAGGGGCAGAGGGGGATGGGCTTTGGGAGGTGTACGGAAAGAGGCGCCGGACCGCGGCAACACAGCACGGAGAAGGCTGAGAGGAAGAGGTAATGCCGTTAATGGCGGTTGCAGGGTCGCCATGAACCATTCGAATACGTTGCAAGGTGGGTTGCTACTTGAAGTGGTGACATGGGAGGAGGGTGGAACATGCCAGGCCACTCCACGGACAAGAGGGCACACCGGGGAGCAAAGCTCGAGGGAGGGGTACAGTCAACAACGATGCAGCCTGACATGCTAGAATTGGCACGAGCACACATCCCGCACAGTCAAACAGTAGGACATCACTATTTTACATACATAGAATATTATAAATTGTTTTGGGGAAAACAGGACTGGAACCGGGAATGAAAGGGAGTGTTTTCGTGCTATGAACCCGCGCGCAGCGCGCCAAACTACAGCCGCGCAAACTGGCAGTAATGAGGGTAATGGTAAAAGGTGCAGGTTACAGATGCCACGTGTTTTAGTTAATTCAGCAGGGTTAAGCGCCCCCTGAGTTAACTTCACCCTTGCGATTAAAGAGCTTGCTGATAAAGGTAAGAGACCACGAAACACGAGTGGCCCTTTCCCCTTCTAGGGGGGGGGTGGTGGCGTCAAAGCCATCGCTCTGCTTGCAGCTGACAAGCGCTTGCAACGTGGATACAAGGGTCGTTCTATATCAAGGCCTGACGCAATAGTCGTCCGAGACCGGGCGTCACAGCGGGCACGGTACCACATACAAATAACTGCCAGCGCCGCAGGTAGGATTATAAGGACAGTGAAAGCGCTGTATATCATTATCAACTACCAAATACGCTTGCAGCAACTCAATGGAAAGCCTTGGACAGGTTGCGCCTTTGTTTGGAATCCTCCCAAAGCTTGTGGCCTACCCCCGTCCAGTCCCACTGCCATAAGCAAAGGCTTACGGCAAATAATAACGTCTCGCCAAGGCATGCATACGCACCTTTTCAAATTGGAGGGGACTTTCCCGCCACGGTGCCCCGAACAGCTGCCGCTCCGAGGTTATAAGCTGCTCTTGATACACGATCCAATAATCTAATAAGGTTGAGAACAGAAAAATGTGAGCAGGAGACCACAGCCTTCTTCCTACTCTGCGGCGTAGATGTAACTGTATGCAGGACACGTACTCGGTTAATTCAGCTATTATATGATGCAGCTTGTCGCGAACCTTGTCTGGCTTGTCAACGTTGGAAGTGATCACCTACAGTATGGAACGAATGAAAAACAATTCGGGTTGCCGTACGGCTTGGTGTGCGGCAGTTCGCAGAAAAACACGTATGTCGTCGTCAAGTGTACGCAACAGCATCCAAATGGCTCAGTTTGAGATGCAACGCGCCGGGCGCTGCGCTCGGCGCTGCCAATCGGCGCTTGGGTCGTGGCCAACGGCTCTGCGACTCCAACGCCCAACCCATATAGATCAATGTCCCGTAAATTACAACAAACATTCAGCCTATGGGCAATTCATGCTGATAACTGACGGAGCTGCAACGCCCCGGCTTAGCAGGACGATGCTCCGGGCCTCGCCGGCGATAACCGAGCAGGCCCCGGCCGCAGCGGAGGCTAGTGCACAGTCATACATCTGCACCAGTGTTACAGCTACGAAAGTGGATGAATTCATAGCGGAGATCCAGGAGGCAGCTGCGAGCGGCGTCGACATCATTGAACTCCGGCTCGACTTCCTCACCGATTTTGATCCAGAGCAGCATCTGCAGCGGATCACGTCCTCCTGTCCTTTGCCGTACATCGTCACTTACCGCCCCGTCTGGGAGGGGTGAGCTTGCGGGTCAGGAGCGCCCATGTATGCGGGGCGCGCTGTAGCTTAGAGCCCCGTTGCCTGTGCAATCGGGGGCAACGCGTATGAGCCGTAAGGCGTTCAAGGCTTGTCCCCTCCAAATGGACACTTTTGGTCGTGAAGCTTTCTCCGACGAGAACGCGCTCGGCCCGGATTGCACAAGCAAGGGCTCCAGGCAACTCGGCAGGCCTAAGAATTCAAGCATAGCATAACAATGAACCTTAGCGGGAACGTGCCGCAGCCAGTCCTGGGGATGCCAAGGCGCAGTGTGTGTGGGGGGGGGAAAGTGAGCGGGGAATCAATGAACCACCATCAGCGGGAAAGGATTTTATATGGATGGGGGGCAGGGGAGATGCAGAGCTCGGACGCGTATTTCCTTTGACGTGCGTTGGAAAGAGAGTGTGTGTGTGTCTATATGGTGTGGGCTGGAGGAAAATAGCCAAGGGGTTCAACCCAACCACCCAACCCAACCCCACATGCGTCCCCATCGCAGGGGCAAGTATGATGGTCCGGAACCGGAGCGTCTTGCCGTACTCAAGATGGCAGCGCTGATGGGTGCGCCGTACGTAGACGTGGAATTCAAGGCCTCGCCGTACTTTTTTGCAGGTGAGACTGGGTGGAGTCAGGGCCGGGCCGTAAAACCCTAAGTTCCGCACAGTTGCTGGGGCCCCCTCGTCCATATAAGCGGGGGGCGGGTCATGTGTGTGGGGGGTGGATGTGTGTGAGGAGAGGGGGGCTGAGGGGTGCGAGGTGGGATAAACGACACGAGGAGCCATTCACGTGCGGTGAGGGGATGGGTTGAGGCAGTGCGATGGCGGCGGCGGCAGTAGCGGCAGTAGTCGCCCGAGCAGTGGCAGCGGCAGCTGTAAAGACATGCGCTGGGTGCGGGTTGGCGTTGCGGCACCCTGCGGCATGGGATGGCGTCAGGGAGGCGTTCCGGATTGGGGACGAAGAGGTGGTGGGCGCAGCCAGCGGTGTTCCATACCTGTGAGCCCCTATCAGCATAAGCAGTGGCTGAAGAGGAAGCATCGTAAAGAAGGAGAAGCGGTGCGGCCAGCATCATCATCATCAGCAGCAGCAGCAGTAGCAGGAACGCAATGACCAGCAGTAGCATCTGTGGTGGAATGCGACAGATGTAGCCCGGGCCTGGCCTGGGCTGACTTACCTGGCTCAACAACAAGGACCTTTCGAACCCTTCCGAATACCTTTCTGTATCTGGGCCAGACCTCATGTCTGGTTCCCTGTCTGCCGCTCCCGTCCTCCCTTCACTTCCTCCCTCCCCTCCACCCCTCCCTCCCTTCGTGGTTCGTCTTTCTCTCCCTCCCTTACCTCCCTCCCTCCCTTCACTCCCATGCCTCCCTCCCTACCTACCTCCCTTCACTCCCTTACCTCCCTCCCTACCTCCCTTACCTCCCTACCTCCCTCCCTACCTACCTACCTACCTACCTACCTACCTACCTACCTACCTTACCTACCTACCTACCTACCTACCTTACCTACCTTACCTACCTTACCTACCTACCTACCTACCTACCTACCTACCTACCTCCCTTACCTCCCTACCTGCCTCCCTTCCCCCCAGACCCCCACGAGGTGCCCCTGTCCACCAAGGTCATCCTCTCGTACCACGACTTCCAGCAAACCCCGGAACCTGCCGTACTGGATCGCCTGGCCTCCGCCATGCGGGCCGCGGGAGCTGATATCGTCAAGCTGGCGGCCATGGCCAACGACATAACCGACGCAGCGAGAATGTTGGACCTGCTGCGGAAGAAGGACGGTGGGGCGGGGGACTCCTCACTGTCTCAGGAAGGCTGCGCTCTTGCCACCATATCCGACGTTTTGGGTTTTGTGGCTGGCGATAAAAAGACATTTCGTGGCTTGGCCAAGGTCGGAAAACCTACACTGCAGTCCTAAAATAATGTGATGTAGAAACTGCGGGCTTTTCAAAACTCCATTAGAAAAGCACGGTGTTGCTGGTTTCTTAAGACGGCAAAAGCCTCTTGAATTAAAGTTGTTCTTACGGTTTCTGCCTATCCATGATTAGCCGCCGCCGCCGCCGGTCCCTACAGGCCCCATGATAGCGCTGTCCATGGGCGAAAAGGGCCAGATTGTACGGCTCCTAGCAGCCAAGTACGGCGGCTACCTTACCTTTGCCGCCATGTCCCCAGAGCGCGCTTCCGCGCCCGGCCAGCCGGACATTGGCAAGCTGGCAGGGCTGTTCGGCTACCGCCGCCAGGGCCCCGAAACCAAGGTGTACGGCATCATTGGCAACCCTGTATCGCACAGCAAGAGCCCGCTCATTCACAACACGGCATTTCAACACGTCGGTGCGTGATGGGCCCTGCGCCAATGAATGAGGACGGAGGAGGGCGAGGAAGGAGGAGGGCGAGGAAGGAGGGGAGAGAGGGGGGAAGGGCGGCAGAGAAGGGGGGAATCGAGGGAATGGAGGGAGGGAAGGAGGTTTCCTTTCGTTGGGAAGAACGAAAGATGGGCATGTCTTCTTCCCGCTGTTCCTATCCATCCGTTTGCCCTCCTTAGCGCACTCACATTCACACAAACAAAGTTGTGCATGTGACATCTCCAATCCGCCTTCTTTACGTCTCGCAGCTCAGTTCACTTAATCACCGACACACATACATACGGACATTTCCTCCCTCCTCAGGCTTTGACGGCGTGTACGTGCCCCTGCTGGTTGATGACCTGGAGCGCTTTCTGACCGCCTTCAAGGACCACGAGGACTTTGCTGGCTTCTCTGTCACCATCCCGCACAAGGTGACGGTTGGGGTGACGCTTATGGTAGTTGTGGTGGTTATGGTCGTTGTGGTCGTGGCGGCAGTGGTGGTGGGGGTATGGCGGTTGTTGCTGTTGTTGTAGTTGTGGTTTTGTGGGTCGATGAAGAGGGCCGCCGCAGGGAAACACAGCGCGGGGGAGTAGTAGACCAGGACGGCGACCCGGAGGGGGGGCGCCCCAGAGAGGTCATTTCTGGTTGATTGCCAACCAGAACACCACCGCCGCCACCACCCTTTCCTATCAGTGAATCAATTGATTAGCACACGTGCGTGGGATGTAGAGCGCGGGAAGGCGCGACTTGTAGAGGTGGAGGTGGAGGTTGGGGTAGAGGGTGGAGAGATTGACGTAGGGTGGAGATATCGCCCAAGGGGGAAATGGGAAAGAGGGAGCGCTGCTCAGTGTTGCACACCGTCCACGTTGGCTTACAAACGCGCAAACAACAACAACAACAACCGCTACTATCACAACAACAAGCAAAAGCATTACCGCTCAATCTAAACAGATTAAGTCGGATGTCGGCGCCTATCTGCCATTTCCGTACTTTGCGTCCGTACTGCGTACGCAGCCCAACCCGCCAACGATGCTTCGTTCCGCGCGCGCTCACATGTACGGCACCTTTGCACGGGAAAACACACACCCACACCCACAGGAGGCGGCCCTAAGGTTGGCGACGGAAGTCGACCCGGTGGCCCGCCAGATCGGCGCGGTCAACACCCTGGTCCGGCAGCCCGATGGGTCGTTCAAGGGCTTTAATACAGATTGGCTAGCGGCCATCTCGGCGATCGAGCACGGGGTGGCTGGTGAGCCCGGCAGGGCGGCAGCAGGCGCTGTCGAGGAGGCGCCGGTGGCCGGAGGGAAATCTCCCCTTCAGGGCAAGACGGTGGTGGTCATAGGGGCGGGGGGCGCCGGCCGGGCCCTGGCCTTTGGTGCTGCTACCAAGTGAGTGCCTCCGCCTGTCTGTCTGTCTGTCTGTCTGTCTATCAGTCTGTGTGTCTCCCCATCTGTCTGTCTGTCTATCTGTCTGTGTGTCCCCCCATATGTCTGTCTGTCTGTCTGTGTCTTCAGGAACTAAGCCGCGAGGAGGAAATGGCGGTGCCTGTCTGTCTGTGTACATATCTGTCTGTCTGGATGTTGTTCACCCGGCGCTGTACGGCGCACTCGCACCCGCAACCACATCCATTCGCGTTATGGAAACCACAGCAACAGCGCAACCTCGTCTTAACCTGGATTTCTTGGATTCCCACCCACATTCGCATCGTCGACACCACACCACCTCACCGCCCCAGAGGCGCCCGGGTGGTCATCGCCAACCGCTCTCGTGAAAAAGCCGACCTGTTAGCGGCGGCGCTAGGCAGCTCCGCGACCAGCTGTTCCTGGGAGGACCTGGTTTCGGGGCGGGTAACGGGAGACGTCCTGGCCAACAGCACCTCCCTGGGCATGACCCCCCACGTGGAGGAGAGCCCCGTCGGACCGGAAGTGGCGGCAAAGGTGCGTGGGCGATTACCAAAAAGTACTTCCCTGTACCAAAAAGTACCAAAACGTACTTCGCGGGGTAAGAAAAATGCCGTACATGCAAGGGCTTTTAACTTATACCAGTTGATGGTACGTTATGTCCTGGCAGCGGGGCAACACTCAAGGTCTCAAGCGCGCTAGCAGTGGTCGGGTCGGGTCGGGTCGGGTGACTTGAGGGATTGGCGGGTGGGGTGAAAATAGGCCCAGGGCGGGCCGTAATGGGTCTCACGGGCCCCATGTGCAGTCCGCTCTCGCATCTTCTCAGTGTGTGGGCCGCGTGCCGACCGAAGCTGGAATGGCCTTAGGAGAAAGGTTTTGGAGAAAGCCTCGTGTGTCACCAGCGTTGCTGATACGCTAACAGCTGATGTATCTGGTTGTATTTGGTCGTTTGCATGCAGAGGCCGATTTTGCTCGTTTCAGATATAGGTATTTTACTTTTTACTCATGATGATGATGATGATGATGATGATGATGATGATTTCAGGGCTTTGGGTTTTCTCCTCATCCACCTTGACGTCGTCGCCGTACTGTCCTCCGCGTTTACCTCATCGACTTTGCAGTACAAGGTCGTATTCGACGCCGTATACAACCCGCTGTGGACGAGATTGCTGCAGGACGCTCGCGCGGGTGGTGCTGTCCCCGTGGACGGACTGCAGATGTTCGTCGGCCAGGCGCTTGAGCAGTTCCGCCTCTTCACCGGAGGTCTGGAACCGCCGGCGGCACTCATGGAAAAGACAGTCATGGACAACTTGGGGGTCTCTGGTGGCGGCGGGGCCGGGGGGAGAACTGACCAAATGACCAAATAATGGGTAGGGGTAGGGTGGTACGGTGAGGGGTTAACAGGGTGAGCGTCTTCCCCAGCAGGGGGGCTTGTGAACCGAGCGGAGCCACGCACTCAACATAGCGCTTCTATTGGCTGCTTTAGCCCGGGGGGGGGTGTATGTGGCTCCAGAAACCTGTCGGGTTTTAATAGGGGAGAAAGTGCGTGTGTGTATGTGTGCGTGTGTATGTGTACGCCGTTTGACGGAGCTGCGGCTTTATCCAGGGGGTGGCAGGAGGTGGCGGGTAGGTAGACTGAGGACGGGACGGAAGGCGCGACGGAGGGGAGTTGTAGTAAGTTGAAAGTGCGAACCGTGGATCTGTCTGATCGGAAGGCGCGGGGGAGATGTGCAGTCAGCCGTCCTAGTCAGTCAGGGAGAAGGAGGGAAGCGAGTGTTGTGCCTTGACCTAGCTAGCTATGGAATCGACGCGACCATCCTACTTTGGACTGATTGCGCCATGTTGTGCTAAGCTCGTTCCACGTGGCCGAGCGGTGTCCAGACAGTCAAGTCCATCAGGCTGCCAAGGCAAACCCAGAACGACCTTTGTATATGTGTGCTTGTGTGTCTCTGTATGTTTCTCTGCGTGTGTCGCACCTCGGCGGACAGAAATGGTATCATCAAAGCACGATATGGATTAGTCCCAGCGATGCCCGTTAATTTCAAATACTTACGGCAACGGCACTATGGAGCTGTTATAGTCGGAGTAGCATGCCGCCGCGCCCGCGAGCTTGGGCCCATACACATATATGATGTGTGAAACAGGGGGGGGGGGTAACTTCACCCGTGGCAGCTATCCTGCGAAACCCTGGCTTCCCCGGTATTTTGGGGCACCCACATCCAGTCACCCTAGTCAACTTCTCAGTGGATAGCTCAGGTTCCGCACCCACCACCAGCATTCAACGGAATCTGCCGGGTCGACAGCGGCCCAACTCCATCCCTGGTCGGCTTGCAGGTTAACTTTATCCCAGGTCACCACCGTCCATCAACTAGGGGCGCAATACCTTCCACCATCGGAAGGATTTTAACCCTGGCAGGTCTCCATCCCGGGATCTCCCGGGGGCAATGGTCGCGCCTTACCAGTAGTCCCAGACCTATATATGTGTGAATATCATGTATGTTCATCACACCTTCTAGAGTTGCGTTACCACTCTCCAAACGCGTAACCCCGGGGGCCCATACATACCTGGAGTCCTGACGAGGGGCCCAAGAGCCATTCTAAGGCTATACATACATACGGACACTTGTGTGTCTTGTTTATTATTCTAGGTCCTGTGATAACGAAGCACAGAAGGAAAGTTGCGCGATAATGTTGCAGCAAATCCATGCTTCTCATCCGTACATTACATAACGTAGCATCCAGCCAAACAAAACTTGGCACACAAAACGGTTTCTTCCTCCAGTAATATACAGGTAACCTTCGACCGATGCTGGACAGATGTGTTTATAACTCCCAACAAAGGTCAAGGCCTACTCATCAGGCGCACCTCCTCATCAAAGCAGTGCCTCAGCTGATGCGCCAGGGTGTGACAACCGTCGCACCTCTCCGTGCATGATTGTCCGCCCTTACTATAACCCTACCTCTCACACACACCCTATCCCAGCTTGCATGTATATACACACCCGCCCTGGTGCCGACCACCAGGTCCATTCCATGCAGCAAGCTGGGCTAAGTTGCGCGGGCTGGGCAAAGTCAAATTTCAAATTGAACCTACGATTAATCGACCAACTATACAACATCCTAACCAAACATGTATATCATACATCCAAAAGGGCCGATTGTAAGGCCACGCAATTGCCCTGCGGGTGCCTCGAAATCAGTGTATGGCATAAATCACAGCGGTGCCAACCAGCAGCTAAAATTACGAGCGTGAAGAAACGCTTCAAAAACCAAGCAAAGTACTGTCGCTGCCACATGTAGCCGACGGGGAAAGGAGTTTCCACGCCTTGATTGCCTGTATGTACGTATGTAGCTGCTGCTACTGCCGTAATCGCAGCGTGTACTCTCCCGTGGAGACCCTTCGCGTCAGGGGCAGACAATCGGTGATTGGTCTGGTCTATCCATGCATGGATGATGATCAGGGTAGCGGCGTATCTGTACAATATATGATTATGGAGGTGCATTGCAACACCACCAAGCACGTGTACGGCATTCCGTCCCAGATGTTATCGCGTCAATGCAGACACAGCCATCATGGGGCGGGGTTTCCTACCCTGTTAGACGCAAGTCCTGCTGGAAGAGGCGCGCCACTGATGAATGTGACCTCGTCCCCCTTTCTCCGCATTATGTACCCCCCATGGTCTCCCCATCATGGCCAGGATTAATAGTGAACGGCCCGTGAGCATACCCTTCCATGGCCTGCTACTTATATAGCCCTCTTGGCCGGCCGGTAGTAATGAACATGCCTAGCCAGCGGTCCCTTGCGAACTGTACTGCTCTCTCCAATGCACAAAGCTGTGTGCAGTCCCAAACTCCATGCTACTAAGTTTTGACGGAGGCACGCAAGTACGGGCGTTCTGCGGGCGTGCTTGCCTCGCCTGGGGCTACGTACCATGCCCCTGTACTGTTGGTCTACAACTAAATGAAGTTGCGTGTATGTATGTATGTATGTACGTGTATGTATGTGTATATGTGTGTGTTCAAGCCTCTAACCAAAACATGCAGATGCAGATGGAGTACTACTACTACTACTCGTGTCCGTAGGAAGGAGCTCCGCTGACACAAGAATCCATGGGGCCTAAACCCCTTATCAGGGGTAACATGGAAAACATGGAAAACTTCAGAAGGGGGAAGTCGGCGATATAATCACAGCGCAGGCGTGCAAGTCCAGGGACATGCATCTCCGATCATGTATCGAAGGGAAAGCTTAGTAATAATAATGATAATAATATAATTACGCAAGAACAAATGCGCCTTATCTGGTTGGTGTGTGAGTGAGTGCGTATATAGACCTGCCTCCTCTTCTTTTTTCATTCTTCTTCTCCTCACACGACCTTCTCTGGCGCTTCCGTTGACTCTCCCGCCGACTCCTGTGAGTCCTTAATTAATACCTTCACGACACTGTGCAGCCACATGGGAAGGTATCCAGCTTGACTTTGCCGCTGTTGCCGCTGTTGCCATCGTCGTCGGCGTCGCTGGGCCGCACAGGCGAATGTGCACCGGCGTGACGCACCGTACTCTTCCTCCCGCCACCGCCACTCCCTCGGACCCTCGACAACACCAGTTTAGAAAGCCACGAGCGCTGCTGCCACCGATGCGCCTCGATCTGGTGACCCCGGGATTGAGGGAGCAGTATGGTCATCTACCCGCCCAGGTATGTTGTTACAGGGTGGTATAGCTTCACCAGCGGCCCCCTTTCCCGAGGCAGTTTCCTGCTCACCACTGCCGCCCAGGTATGTATGTACCTTCTGTACTTGCACTGCAGACGCTCCATGTGATGTCGAATCTGATACCAGATTCTTATTGCAGTAGGCTGTTTTCATTCTGTGCGCCACCACTAGAAGTGCTGAAGTAAAGAGCAAGACCTTTCCACGGTATGCGCTTAGCAGTGAACGAGCATTGGCGGCGCGTGATCCTATCTACCTTTTGTCCTATATTTGTCGGGCTGTCCACCCATCCATCCGCCGTCCACTCACCTATCTTAAACAAGCGTTCCCTTGTCGGCCCGTGCATGCATCCCTTCTATATCCATCCCCGCCTATCCATCCCGCTTATCCGCACCCACCATCGCTCCGCCACCTCCCCGGCAAGCCTCACACTCTAAAACTCACCTGGATCGCGACATCCAGGAGCTCCTGCAGCTCCCGGAGCAGCTCCTCCGCCGGGGGCCGCTCACAGGGGTCATGGTGCCAGCAGCGGCACACCAACGACCACTGGGCGGCAGACAGGCGGGAGGGCCGGGGCGGCCGGAAGCCGGAAGCCACCTGCGATGACAAGCAGCGATGGGGAACACGCGGGGAAACGAATGCCGGCTTTCGGAGCCACAAATAGTACGGTGTGTACGGGAAATCAGGCGGGAGTGGGACGAGCATGGGTGCAGATTATTACCCCGGGGTAATGCGCAGGCACATCGGGGGACATGTACCGTCTGAGGGGAGAAACACGGCCGCCCGAAGAGGCTGAAATAGACACGGCTCAAGGCGTTGAAGCTAGCTGAGTGATAGGAGCATGTAAGGGGGAAAGGGCCGGCCCATGGTAGGGCCATAATCGACATCCCCTGCATAACAAAATCGGGTGTGTGTGTATAAATGCGTATTTTTGTGTGCGATTGTCTTTGTGTGGGAAAGCGGCGACCAAGCGAAGGAGGAGATTCAAGGCGGAGGAGATAGCACGGTGCGTTCCTGCAGGGGGTCCCCGTGATTGATATCCCCAGCTCCAGACGTACTCCACCTCTGTAACAGCTTACCCGCCACGTGCACCCCACCATCCTCCACCATCACCCATCCCAACCTCACCATGCGTGCAAAGTCCTTGGCTGTCGCGATCTTTAGTCGGGCGCCACGGACTGTGTTGGTGTAGCTGTACAGCAGCACCTCGCGGTTCAGCAGCTCGTACATTAAGACGCCAAAGCTAAACACGTCACACTGCATTACGTGGAGGAAAATGGAGATAATGGCGGACGAGGCGTCCGGCAGGTCGGAACCAACTAACGCGTTGTAAATGATTTTATCAATAATACCAATTTTTTGGTAACCCTGCTCATGTCAGGCAGGTAGGCAGACGGTAATTTGAACTATATTGTGCACACACACTTACATACATACATCGCGGCCCACAGTGTAATCTAAGTCTTATGTACGTACATACATACATACGTACATACACACATACATGCACTGCCCTACCACCGCTCACCCACCTTTTCGTTGTACGGCTGGTGGAGGAAGACCTCCGGCGGCCTGTCGTGCACGTAGCAGCCGAATCGCAACCACGTCATCAAATTCGCCACCCGGATCAAATGTGGGACGGGGCAGGGCCACCAGGGTTCAGAGTCCATAGTAGGCAAGTCGCTTCGTTAGTTACGGGAGACACGTGTGTGTGTGTGTGACGGCATGCGTGTGAATGTGAATGTCAGTGTGCCCAAGCGTGGTGTGAAAAGGCGGTGTGAGACGCGGTGACTGCTGGGGACTCAGGAAGGGAACTAGACCACCTGGACTAAGAAAGGAATATACCGCATAAGCCGCTCATCCACCTCGCCCCCCTGGACCAATAATATACACCCCGTCACCTGGCCATACCTTACTCTCTGCCACCTTTCTTTCCCGCTGAGCTGTGCCCCCGGCTGTGACGCCGTCCTGCCCTTTTCCCCCCCACCCCCCTGTCTCACATATACATGAAGCTACCCGCTTGACCCGTGAGGTCGTACACCCAATGGAACTCGTCGTTGTACGGCAGAAGTCCCTCGGGAGGTGTATTAAGCAGCTGGCGCATGGAGCTCACGCGTCGCATGTGGCAGCCGAGGTTACCCGGGTTATCCACAACCACATGCAGCTTGGAGATGTCGGAGGCAGAGGCGGCGGCGGCGCCGTCGTCATCGCTATTGCCAGCAGCGGCGGCAGTGCCTGACGAAAACCGCAATAACGGATCAGATACGTTGTGGCGAAGGCTCGAGCGGCGTGTGTGGTCTTGCCGCCGCTCCGTGAGGTTGCCGCCGCCACAACCATCGCCAATACCGCTTTGTGTTGCCGCCAGGCTGTACCGCCCAAAGCCGCTGTTGGCTCTGCTACTCAAAATAGCAGGTTGGGATTTCCTGCTGAAGAGGCTGACGAAGCTGTCCTCCTTAATCTTGACCAGGCTGATGCTCACGGAGCCGCCCTGTACGGAACGGTCGGCGGCGGCAGCAGGGCCGGCTGCGCCGGGGGCCCCACGTCCATATGCGGCTAGCGGGAGGTCGCCGGCAGCCGCCGCCGCCGCCGCCTGTGGCGCCATGTTTCCCACCCGCCCGGTCGCAACCGCCGCCGCCACCGTCTCCACCGCTGGCACTGCGTTGCCGTACATTTGCTTTTTGACGTCATATCGAGGTGATACAATATCATCGGGCATGCGTGCGACGCGCGGCGTGACCGGGATGTCTCCTCCTAGCTGCGGCGTCCCTCGTCCGCTGCAAGTTAAAGGATACACAGTATTGAATTGTCGTGGGGAGCAGAGATGGTGCGTGCATGTGTATGGAGACAAATAGCAGGTTGAAAGAGAGTACAATTGAAAAGCAGCAATGAAGGACCATCACAGCCATGCTTTAAGAGCTAATACTCAACAGTAGCTCGAGGATTTAAATGCAGGAACCAAAAATGGACTAGTCCAGGGAGGGTACGGCTGTAGAAGTGGCCGAGGCGCTGGCGCTGGTGTCGGTACCGGCCGTCAATCTGTCGCCGCCGGAAGCGTACCGTACGGCAATCTGCGGTGCTCCCATGTGGAGCATCTGCTTGGCGGTAGGATACGCGACGGTCAGGCTCCTCACGCCATCGCCATCAGCAATATCACCGTCTCCAGTGCTGCCACCATCGCGCAGGCCGTTAGTCACTGGTCGACTGGCGCTCGTCCCACCGGTGAGTGGTAGCGCCATCGCCGTGGCCGCCGCCGCCGCCGCAGCAGCAGCAGCAGTTGGCTGCAGCGACTCATGTTCCCTTACACCGAAAGCGGCAGAAGCGATGGCTATATCAGTACGACGAGCTGTAGAGCACCAGCTATCGCGGGAAGTCGGAACAGGCACTGACTTCCCGTGTGCCGCAGCGGGGCCAGAAGCGGCAGCCGGCGGTTGAACGTTAACAGCGGTAAGTCCCGCCGACCAGTCAACGCTGCCGCCCATATTGTCGCTCGGACTGGTATTCACACCATCGATTCTGGCGAAACCACAGTCGCCACCACTGCCGCCGCCACTGCCGCCGCCACTGCGGCCGCCGTCCCCTCTGGTGGCGTCCCCCACGTTGACTGGGGCGCTGCAAAGCCCACCCGTCCCCTCAAATGGCGGCAGCAGGAAGCCCAAACACGGCGACTCTGCAAGTGACTCTGCAAGTGACGGCGTGCGATATAGAGGATTGTACAGCTGCAAGTGCTGATGGTGCGGAGTCGAGGGGCCCAATGTTGCCAAAGCCCTGGCTTCAGCCGCAACCGGCAACATAGCCGCCAGGGTAAGGCCGCCGCGGCCTATTCCCAAATGCGAACGCCTGTCCGCATACGACGATGGTGCAGCCCCTGATCTCGGCTGATGAAGCGGCCAGGAGGCGAGGCCCCTTGGCCGCTCCGAAACTTGAGCTGCATCCACAATGCTTCTCTTAGCCGCCGCAGCAGTAGGCCTGGGTGCGGCATCGTTCTTCGTGGCAGAGGAAGAAGGTGGAGACTGAAGACATGTGTGCTGGGGCACGGTCGCGGAAACGGGTGCTGCTGCATTCAGCGCCGCCCTGCGGCCGGCATTGTGAGGCATGGACCGGCGCTTAGGATCGGGCCCTGGCTGCGGTGACGAAGGACCCCCCTGGGGGCTGGCATGTAGCGGTGCGAAGCGACGCTTATGCTGTGCAGCGGGAGCCGACACTACAGCTGCCTCGGCAATCGTGGCTGTAGGTCTGGCGGCAGCGGATGCCCCTGCCGGCGCAACGTTGCTCGGCCCAGAGCTGTTACTGCCCCTGCCGTTACCACCACCGCTCTTACAGCCACCGGGTCCAGGGTTGCGGTTGTCCATATACGGCAGCCGTCCTGACGCCGTACTCAGGAACGTGTCCGCGTCCCCGTCGCGGCCTTCGCCGGCGCCACAAGGGCTCTTCTCACCTCGGCGTGGGCCGTGTCCTCTTTTCCTGCCATCGCTGCATGAACGGCCGTGACTGGCATCGCCATCGTCATCATCACTGCTGCCATGCAGCTTGCCTTCGTTGTCGTCGTCAATGGAGCCGATGACCCCGAGCCTCTCTCCGTCGCGTTCTGCTGCCGACGCCTCAGTTGCGATGGGATTGATGGCGACGAAGGTAGTGGCGGAGAGACCGCTGGGCGTCCGCCGCCGAAGCATAACGGAACGAGACTCGACGAGGGGCTGTTGGAAAGGACATATCCAACACCGCAGATGATGATGATGGTGGTGATGATGGTGGTGATGATGGTGGTGATGATGGTGGTGATGATGGTGGTGATGATGGTGGTGATGATGGTGGTGATGATGGTGGTGATGATGGTGGTGATGATGGTGGTGATGATGGTGGTGATGATGGTGGTGATGATGGTGGTGATGATGGTGGTGATGATGGTGGTGATGATGGTGGTGATGATGGTGGTGACGATGGTGGTGATGATGGTGGTGATGATGATGATGATGATGATGGGGGGGAAATGGTGGAGGGCAGGAAAGCGGCACACAATGACCCACTTTGTAATCAGCACATTTTAGTTGGTACAGCAGTCAGGGAGCCCTAACCACAACACGTTCCAAAACCATGCGAAACAAGGAGGATGGCAACAGCTGTCAATCCCCTTAAGCTTGTGTTTTCCCCTGCAGCGAAAAGCACAAGCTGATCCCTTGACCTCCAGCTCTATTGCCTCACCGCATGTAGGCCCAGATCCGTCACTTTGGCCACCATACGACCCTCCTCGCTGTCGTACTTCAGCAGCACATTCTCAGCCTTGATGTCTCGGTGTATGATGGGGTCCCGAGCGTTGTGCAGGAAGGTCAGCGCCGCAGCCACGTCCACTAGCCAGTGGAGGGCCTCGACGTCGCTGTACGGGCAAGAGACCTGAGCCAGAGACTGTCTAATGTGGCTGTGGATTGTTCCCCCCTGCGCGAGGGTGTTGTCGAGGAAAGGAAAAGAATTGAAGGGATCACAGATCGGAACTTAAAAACTCTATCTTAACGTTATCCCAATGCAAATGACCATGAGCAATTCCTAAAGCCCAAATAAATCTAGCTGGCCACTAACGTCAGCGCTGCGTAGGGCACCTGCTTCAACGGAAAGCGAGGCGATGGAGACGAGCGAAACAGATGCGCCAGCAAGTCAGCCCAGTTGGAATCGTAGAAATCAGAAAAACGAGCGACCAGGCGACAAGCAGTGGCTAAACGGTCGTCAGGTCGAGGGATGGGAAAGGGCCGTAAGGACTAGATAGATGGAAACCCCAACTAGCCCGTGGCGGCAAGTGGACTTAGTTGAACGAAGGCAAAATTGCGAAATAGAAATTTGTCAGGCATTAGTTGAACGAAGGGATCCCGGGAACATCGGATAAAAAGAAGATGCCGATGATTTAGTTTTCCCACCCGGGAGGACGGCCGTAGGGAGGGATTGGGGATTTCGGCCCTACTGGGATTTCAAATCATGTATTCAGTGCGGAATACGGGCTCCTGAGCCGCACCGAGACTATGCTTGCTTGCAAGTGAACCAGCATGGGAGCGGTAAATGCTGCCAGCACCGGGCTGCATAGGCCATATCTGTAAATCGAGCAACCTAACCGCCCCAACCAGACATCCTACCTCGCAGTACTCCAGGACCATGGCCCAAGTGGCTTCCGGAAGATGTCCCAATCCAGGAAAATTGGCCGGTACACGGATTAGTCCCAAGCAACGAACAAGGTTGCTGCGGGGGATTGCGCGGGAAGCGGCCCGGTGGGGAAGGCGCAGCCGAGTAACAAGAGGTGGGTGGGGCGGCGTAAGTGTGCGTCATCCTGTGTGCGAGGGGTCGTCGGGCAGCGGTGTCAGCCGGGCACCGCTTCCAACTTCAAATGTAGTGAGATGCTAATAGCCGTGGGGAAGAAATCGGCGGTTAATATATACGATGATAAAAGGAAAGGACTCGTGCATGTTGTGAGCGTTTTGAGCGGTGTAACCTGGTATCTTGGGGACTTTTTATTCGACTTGCTCTGCCGCTACCCTGCAATAGGTTCCGCAACTTGCCTATGTAAGCCAACAAGGGGCTCAGCTTAGGATTATCCTTAGAGTGCTGGCGCTATGGGTCCATTCACGGAAATTGAATGCTGGCCGCTATGCACATGTCTGGCCAAGTGCACAGCGCCAAGGTGTCGAGAAATCACTGAGGTCACCGGATGCATGCGGCAAAGAACTGTTTTCCTTTTCGTAATTACAGAGATGGTTCAACAAAATGTTTGGACATCGTTGACGAGATTCACGCTGCGGTTTAGCGCAGGAAGCTAACGACTTACACGCCGGTCCGGGAGGCCCCCGGCCGGGCCAATGAAAGCAAAAACGCACAAAATGTATGTTGGACATTATGATAGGGCCTAGCTTATGCGAAAGTCTGCTGACCTTTTCCAAATCGGATTTGAGACGATACGGTAAGGTGGCTGCCGATATAGAAGCAAATACAGTAAGAGCGTACCTGTGCCTTAATGCCATGCATGAAAATGCCTCGGTTTGAAGGAATTTCTCAACATCCCTGCGTTGTCGCGATGAGCGATGTTCCAGCTTCGGGATCTTCAGTGCAACCCTTTGCTCTTCGCCATTAGCATCCAGAATATATGCAGCATACACTTCCGCAAAGCCACCGTTGCCAATGATTCTTGCTACTCGGCAACATTTGGGGTCGAGGAGAGGGGCATCGAACGGCGTCTCCCTTCTGAATAGCGAACTCTTGTCTCCATGCAAATCATAGCCCAACATTCTGCCGTTCCAAAGTCTGCCTAATGAAGGGCCTTTACTCTTGGATGGAAGTCCAGCTACAGTACACTGATACTCGGATTTCGCATCTGCTAAACGAAGCACACAATCTAACATGTTATGCGCACAAATTTCCCAACATTGCAATGCACAGAGGTGTGAGCCGAATGCCTAAATCGTTGCATCATAAGCCTGCAGTACGAACGGGACACTTAACGGGCTTGCAGAGGTCCTGCCTCTATTGTCCTATTCGCTTAATTCCCCGCCACAGTTGCAAACACAATGAGAAATGAATCCTTGCCCACAGCGGAAATTTCAAAGGATTTGGCCCCAAGGAGCTGGCCTTCGCTTTTCGGAATTCGGCAGGTTGATGGCAATCACAAACAATGAACTGCGGATTAAAATCTAGATAAATCCAAAGTTTTGACTCCAATCCCGTTGTCACCTGTAGCAATTGTTTTATCGACGCACATTATAAAACGAGCCGAAGCAATCCGAAAGACGCATCTGATGGGATACAACAAACGCCAATATTGCTAGTAGCAATTTAATCTATGTTCGTCTGATAGTATCATATGCGACGTTGAAGTGTTCAAGTGAAGACAAGCTGCAGCTTGTCAACAGCTGTTGACAACTTTCGTAGCAGGTACGGTAACCGTTGCAGCCTCAAATGTTCGTCTTCCCACGAAATCAATCCTACCATAACGCAGCCGTCGTATGTCATCATTACTTTATTTAGCCAGTTATGACGCGCACTTGTTTTCTGCTGCTATCTACATCATGGTCGTCACGGGCGTCCCCCGTCTACGGTTATCAAACTTGCCAAACGGGCAAATATTCGTACTCGGTGTATGAGCTTTGTTTTGGAATTGCACAGCAGCTGGCTGAGAGCTATTGGGGCCGACGGCAAAATCGTGAACCTCCCGTCCATATTTACGAGAAAAAACATTCAACATAGTGCTTAAACTTTGAGCATGTTGCTGGCGCACCGCCATAACAACAGCAACATTGATGGGTGCACAACCACCGCTTCATGCCATACTGGGAAATCCGATTGCATAAAAAAATAACCTAGACAGAAGAGAAGGATTTCGGAAGGACGCCCTGAGGAGGCTTCAACAGCGATACACCTGACACGTGCCGGACTGCGGTATACCGGACCGCGTGAGGGAGTCTCCCTGTAAGCTCTCCACACTAGCTTACAGAAGCTGCTGGAATGCTCCGGCGGCATTACGGCTTACGGTCATAAAGGCTTAGCGAAACCGGAAGAAGCAAATTGGTGCCTGCGGTGGCTTGCCGGCCGTGAAGCCTTCACACGGGTGAAACACACACAACCGCACGGCAGGGCATATCGGGGAATCAGCTGCACGCAAACTCACGCAAGGCTGTGTAGATAGCACTGCGATAGCGCTGCTGGGTTGATGTTGCCCCTTAGGGGCGGCTGATAAGGTATGCTTGCACACATTTCTTGTCCCACGAGTGCAAAAGGACGTGCGGGTTCTGCTAGGCACACAGCTGCCGGGCTGCCATGTACTCCCTCGCCCGCATCCAGCGATGTCTTCGTTCCCCACCGCTCACAAAATTGAGGCCATACACGCATTGGTCGTACGAAGAAATGGTCAAAGGTTCCATACCGTCGTATGACGTGCTTCCTCCTTTCAAGGTTAGCACAAATGCTCTTGGTAGGCTCAAGTGCGAATATTGAAGCAGACCCCCCCGATATCCTGCTGCTTAAGCAGCAAGTAGCAGCAACGATGGAAGCAGCGCAATCCCCGAAGAGGCCAGGGGGAGTAGGGGGAGTTATGATAGCCCTCCTCCGTTATGCCATGAAGATCAGCAGTTGGCCTTGCAAGGCCAGGAAAAAGACCGATGGCCCCCCCTCAGAAGCGCTTTCCAATGAAATGGATCACTTTGGTAGTATATGTCCACAGCTGCGCGCAGCTCAACGGTTTGCGCCTGTGCCTCGATGCAGCCGTTTTCACACAGTAGAATTGCCATGCCTAAATTATGGCAACGCAAAAGTATGTGATTGCCCACGCAGGCTTCGATATGGCTATGGATGCATGGTATGCATATATCGATCTAGGTTCAGTTACTCCTGCCGCAACATTTAATCGCCGATCTGGGCTGCAGTTGGATTTTATTTTTAATCAAGTTGATTTATCTCTATTTCTGTCTCCATCGGGACGGCGGCTGCGTGTTGTGCATAAACAAGTTAAAACGTGCGTCGTCCGGTCCTATGCCTTTTTCTATAAATCGTAAAAGCAGCATCTCGCTGCATCAAGGCAACTAATCCGTATAAATGCGTTCAAAAATGCTACTATTGTCCATAATGTGCTTGTTTTAATGTTCATTATGGCCGGACGTGCTCGCCAGCAGCTGTCCTTCTGGCACCTCCTTTCGGCGGAACTTCTGGAAGTGATTGCGAGCTTCTTGCCGCGAAACATAGTGGCATGCACGCTTCGACTTGTTAACAAAGACTTGGCTAAGATATTTCAGGGTTGGCGTGGCGTCAATAAGCTGTCGGAGCCCACGCCCCACCACTTCTTCACCTGGTATTGGAGCCGCCCCGAGGCAATGCACCATTTGACGCTCAAGCAACGCCAGCAGCTCCTCATCCTCACGGCTCGCAGTGGTAGCCTAGAGAACCTGCAGGCTGCCATCATGGCGGCAGGCTGTTGCCTCGTTGAGGACATCTTCACCGCCGCAGCTAAGTGTGGTCACTTGGAAATGTGCCAGTGGTTGGCGGCCAAGGACTACCCACGCAACGTCGTCGACGCGGCCGACGAGGCAGCCCGGCAGGGCCACCTTGAGATAGTCCTGTGGCTGGCAAAGCAGGCGGACATCTCAAGACGCGTCCATGTTGCAGCCTGGATGGGAGCCGCCAGTTACTCTCAGCGGAAGGTGTGTGAAGGACTCCTGGAAAATGGCATCCCGTGCTGTAAGGGTGCCGTCGAAACTGCCGCCTGGGCAGGCCACGATGACATCGCCTTGTGGCTGCTGACGAGGATGCTGTTCCAGCAGAACGAGCCGCATGATGACGATCTGCACGACGATTACGGCAGCGACGATGACTCGAACGATGATGAGCATGAAATCGAGCATCTGATGTCGTTGGAAGTTGGCTATGCCGACGCGCAGCAGGCCTCCAAGCGGTACAAGCTCCTTCGATTCCATAAGAAGATTCTCGAGGCGGCCGCGTGTGGGTTCGAGCTTGAGGCGCTTCAGCGCGTGCACCAAACCTTCCTGAGGGCCCAAAGCAGCCATAATGTACTGAAGTTCAATTTACACGTTATCCCCCGCTCCCTGGAGTCTCCCACAAGCGACTGGTCTGAGAAGGTGGCGTGGCTACTACAGGAGGACTGCGAATTTCGCCAAGATTGGGTGGCCTGGAACGCGGTTGTGCATTACGACGACGCCATCAAGCGCGTGGAGGACCTCGCACTGGAGAGCCTAGCGAACTACCGGATAGCCGATTTCCTGAAGACCGCTGTTTGCGAAGGCAATCTGTCACTTTTGGAGTACCTGCGGGACGTCTCGCCTTGGCTGGTTTCGGAGGTCCCGGGATTGGCCGCAGTGGCAGCGGAGGCAGGACGCCTGGATATTCTCAGGAAGCTGCTAGTGATGGGCTGGCGCTTGGAGCCCGCAGCCGTGTCCGGCGCTGCGCAGGAGGGCCATCTGGACGTGTTGAAGTGGCTGCTGAGTCCGGAGGCCCAGCAGTTCGACGGTGGCGCAGTGGTCAGGCAGGCGATGGGACCCTGTTTGGCGGCGCGCGCGGCGAAGTCCGGCAAGGTGGAGATTATGGAGTGGCTGGGGCAGCAAGGCTGCGTTTGGGACAAGGAGGCCTTCAAGGCGGCGGCAGGGATAGGCAAACCGGCGTTCCTGGAGTGGATGGCGGCCCATGGCTGCCCAATGGGGGTGAGCGGCGGTGGTGGATCCCCATGCTGAGGCTGTACGCTGGTTGTTTGCGTGCTAGGTTTGTACCCTCCGCTTGCTTAGCTGTGAGCCATCCGGCAGAATCAATTGGCACTTCATTGTCACTGCTCTTTCACATGCACGGAATGGGAGCCAGCACGTCTGGCGAGGATGTTGGAACGTATGTGGGCTCACCGCAATTCAGTTATCCCCTTTGGGCGCTAGTCTGGACTGATAGTGTGATGTCTCCTGTTCTCCGTGGCTTTTAGGCGTATAGATACTGCCCTTGGGCCTTCGGCTCGTATGGGTAGTTTTAGAGGTATGGGTTCACGCACCCCCCAACCATGTAACACACACACATGCACGCTTGTGCGATGGATCTGGGATAACGGAGGGTATAGTTGGAAAAAACGAGATTACGTAATCCTTTTCCCTCCTCCTATATGTGCAGCTCACGGGCGAGCCCTATGTTGTGGCGGCCAGTAGTGGGGACATGCTCACCTTCCAATGCCTGAAGCGGCTGGGCTGCCCCTGGGACAGGGGGACGTTCCAGGCGACTGCGGGGTTGGCCAGCCCGGTGTTCCTGGAGTGGCTGCTGGCCAAGGGCTGCGCCACGGGGGTGAGCAATTTTGGATAAGCAACGGAAAGTTGACAATACGGCAATGTTGTTTAGATACACAGGATTTGCCAGGTGCCATGATTAGAAATGTCCCCAAGCACCAACACGTACTGAACGCAGAGCTGCGGGTTATCCGGTGTGTATTGCATGCATCCTACTTCAAGCGCATAGTAAATGGAAGTACACATGCTCAATTCTTGTTTTGCCACAAGGACAGAGGTTAGGCTAGTCGTCGCCGGCCACGTTAGTTTGATGGTACAAATGAAGACACTTTCCTCAAAAACGCCTGGTGACTGGGCTGGGCTTAGCCGGTTGCCGTGACCATCCCTGTCTTTTCATCGTCTGATGAGCAGGACAGGAAGGGGCCACTGAAAGCCGGCGGCCGTGGCGACATGCTAAGCGTGCAGTGCCTGAAGCAGGTGGGCTGCCCCCGGGACAAGGAGATTTTCAACGCAGCTGCGGGGTTGGGCGACCCGGAGTTTTTGGAGTGGCTGGTGGCCCAGGGCTGCTCCATGGGGGTGAGCAATCGTGCGTATGTGTATCTGTGTGTGTATATGTATGTATGTGTGTGAATGTGTGTGTAGAGAAATGTGCGCGTATATTCTATATAATCTGAGCCACGCGGAGGAAACGACGAGAATGGCATCACAAATAACTGTGTGCTAATGAAGTAAGCCACGCAAAAGAGTGTGTGTGTGTGTGTGTGTGTGTGTGTGTGTGCGTGTGTGTGTGTGTGTGTGTGTGCGTGTGTGTGTGTTGCACAATTGGAAATGCGTTAACCCCGTACCTACAATCCGGGGGGAAGAGCTTCCTGCCTGCCGCCTGCCAAAAAGCACTTTTGGTGCAGAGCCGCACAACGTAAAGGTTGCAAGGAGAGCTAAAGGACGATGTAAAGGCACAGGAACTTGTAGCCAAATTTACGAAGGCTGAACAGGTCGTGCGGTCAACAGTATCCCAAAAGGGTAAAAAAACAACTTCTGTGGGACCAAATATGTTCCGGAATCCTCGCTAGCTAGGCGTACGTGCAGCTGCACGGTCCCGACTCGTTGCGTCCATGCGGCTGACGGCTGAACCGACTGCAATCTGCTTCGCCTCCGTCCTGCGCCAGCTCGCACACTGGACACGCCCTCTAGCAGCACATGTGTCTGTTTGGGTGTCCCCAAAGTGAGTGGCCATGCGTGCGTACATAGCTTACCACAGTTCTGTGTGTGTGTGTGTGTGTGTGTGTGTGTGTGTGTGTGTGTGTGTGTGTGTGTGTGTGTGTGTGTGTGTGTGTGTGTGTGTGTGTGTGTGTGTGTGTGTGTGTGTGTGTGTGTGTGTGTGTGTGTGTGTGTGTGTGTGTGTGTGTGTGTGTGTGTGTGTGTGACGTGGTTGGGGGTGCGTGACCCCATACCTGTAAAACTACCCATACGAGCCGAAGGCCCAAGGGCGATATCTATACGCCTAAAAGCCACGGAGGACAGGACAGACCGCACAATCAGTCCAGACTAGCGCCCAAAGGGGATACGTTCCAACATCTTTGACAGTTGATGTACGAGCCTGATTAGCTAAGCTTGAAGCGGTATTAGTTGTACTCATATCCTTAAGCATATCTTTAAGGGCCAGATCCTTTGGTATATCCTTTGATACCCGCGCTAGTTGGCAGCATGTTTTACAAGCTGTAAGCCAGTGACGGTTTTGCAAGTGTTGGGTTTACCAAATGATCGCATGCGTCGTGATGCTGCTGCTGCTGCTGCTGCGATGGATCGGGGGATTTACGACCGCGCGCCGCGCGATTAACACGAGCGAAGGATCGCACACCACGGAACGGAGCTTGGCAAACAGACGAGACGTACAATATCAACAAATTGCAAGCATGTCATGCCAACTGCCTTTCCCGACAGCCCCGACGAGCTCGTCTGCAAGGCAACTCTCGCCTCGCTACACAGATTTCACCGTCATGTTACCCTCGTATGTTCGGTGCGACATGCACCTTCCGTTGGCTTAGTTGATGGGGTGTTACACTGTGGGCGGCTCGCCCGAGAAAGGACGAGCACCGGGGGCCCTGACCGAGGGGCCGAAACATAGCGCAGGGACGGGCGCGCGGCTTTACGTCCGTCTGTTCCTCCGCGCGCGCCTCACTCCCTCACTCACGCCAACCGGGACACTCTCCCAGCCCCTGGCTAGGCATCACAGCGGTACAGAAGGCTGCGAACCGAGCTAAGCGAGAGCCGCACGAGAGGCGCCACTTCGCCTGGCCTGCCTATTCGTGCGCTCTCGTCCCTCTTGACCGCCAAAACAAGAATAAAGAGAAAACACCACCGGGGGCTTAGTGTTTTAGCGTAGCTTTGTTTTGGCATTGTCCCAGGTAGCAGGGCTAGCCGGGCTCGCGACCCCGCTGCGCTAACAATCCCAACACCCGTCCTACACTATGCGCATGTGCGTCTGTCGGGGGGCGCTGCAGTTGTGTTTTCGCCTTTACGGCTCTCGGGAAAGTTGCTAGGAAGGCCTTCATGTGCCATGCGCGTAAAAGGAGTGTTACGAAGATGTTTTCCGATCAGGATTTCCAACGCAGGTTCGCCACCGTTGATGCACTGTCTTCCACTACAGGCACACACTTAACCATGTGTTTGTGTGTGTTACACCGCGATCTGGAGTTGTATTACTCTCCAGAGGTGTGACGGGCCCATACACATACGAGCCGGGTCTTAGGACCAGTAGTCGAAGGCTATCTGAGGTACCCTAAGTCCCAAAAAAACAGAAAGGAAATAGGCCTGTTTATTTATGTTTGCACACCTCGAATGTTTCGCCACCGCGACGCACGGTCAGTTAGCCGTCACCATCCCTATCCGTTGCGAGTACGATTAAAGATACATCCTTCCTAAATAAGAAAGGCCCTCATTTAATTGGTTCGCTTGATCCCTTTCCCTTCGTCACCTACCCAGGACACGGGCGAGCCCTATCTGGTAGCTGGCATACGTTGTGACTTCGCCATCCTGCACTGTCTGAAACGGCTGGGCTGCCCCTGGGACTCGAGCGGCGGCACCTTCAGCCGGGCGGTGTACGACAACGACCACGGCAACGAGGGATGCCATCTCTGCGTCCTGCAGTGGCTGCTCGCTGTGGATTGTCCAGTGGATTGGAAGGAGGCGCGCCGTCGCGCCGTGTTGCGGCTGAGCAAGGAAAAGAACGATGACACAGCGCGTCGCGTTTGTGCCTGGGTTAGACTGCAGGCAATAAAGGCGGGGTGCCGTTGAACCCGGGAGAAAGCAGCAGCCGCGGTATACATGCTTACCCGTCAAGCGCGTCATGCGCGGATGGCTGGCTGGCCACAGTGCAACCGTGACACCCGGCGGAGGTGTTGCAAAGCTGTGGATACGGCTGCATGGGGATTGGCGGATGGAAAGGTAGTGCACGGGGAGGATGGAGGTTGAACAGGTGTTGAGGATATTATATGCCATGGGGCAGGTCCCCTAGGTGCTCTTTATGTCTAAGGCCTTGACGTGAACAAATATGTTGGGGGGTTTAAGGCGACGGAAAATGAAGCGCTACATACTCTAGTTCGGTTACATACCTCGTGTAGAACCGAAAGTAGTAGTGGGTAGTTCTACAGGTATGGGATCACGCACTGCCATCCATGTAACACGCCATATATACACACGTGTCTCTGTGGCGGCGGAATCGGTAAGGGAATGGAGTAGATGGCACACGGATAGTGGCGCACGCGGTTGCTTGCCACCGCATACCGCATATACGTAGTGCCTGTGAGTCATCAAGCATGCGCATGTGTTGCCTGTTCTTGCTTTGCGTTAGCAAGGTGCGCTAGTAATGTTGGGGCCGGGGTGGGTGTTTCTGATGGGGACGGTGTTAGGTGGTGTACATCGTGGTGGAGATTAAGTGGTTTCGGTTGCAAGAGGGAATATGTCATATATGTCGCTGCTGAGATTGCGCGGTGTGGGACGTGACCAGAAATAAGCAATGTATGTCGGGGCGGGGATTAGGATAGGTGGTATGTGTCGGGGCGAAGATAAGGTACGCAGCGCGGTGGTATGAAGCGTGGTGGTCATGAGATGGTGTGGTCACGGCGAGGCTCCGGTGATGGGGATCGGGGCCGGAGTTAAGGATTGCTGCTGGCTCATACGACGTATCGTTAGAGGGGCCGCGTGTGTGTCCTGCTACCTGTCGGCCATGCTCACCTAGCTACCGACGTACCTGTGCTGGAGCGACCAGGTTTGAGATAGACGGAAAGGTTTTGAGGCTGCGCGCCTGTGCCTGAGTTAAGGGGCCTGCAGGTGGCGGAATGGGGATACGATGGTTAGCTGGTGCTTGCTTGTCTCCGGCCCATGGCATGAAACATGCCTCCTCATATCGTTGTTTGGTGATCTCCCATGACCATGCATGCGGATGCGCAAATCACCGCTTTTCTGTTTTCAGGTTGAGCGAGTGGGCGAGTAGGCGAGCAGGCTACCAACCTCAGCTTGCTTACCACTTGATCGTTGGCTGGGGCTCATTATCTGGGCTTGTTTCTTGAAAACAACAAAGCTTAACCACCCTGCTGAAGCTTAACCACCCTGTAACAACAACAAAAAAAGTATGCGCGGATGGGCGCAGATGGAGTAGATGTCGATCAGGGGCTTTCCTGGACGCTGAGATGCATGCTCCTGGGCTTGTTGTCCTGTGTCCAAGCCGTAACTGTAGTTTTCAGCGCCATGCTCTGCACGGCACGGGTTGCGTTGTGGCCGCCGTCGTACAGCAGTCGATCTCCCGCGTCTCACGTGGCGAAAGAAGCGGTTGCACGGAGTACCGCTACGTGGCGCGTAAGAGGAATACAGCGAGCCTTCAGATGAAGGAAGAGTTTGTTGCGTTCCGCTGTGTATGCGGTACTGCGCTCGGTGCCTCTGACAGCAGCAGGGACAGTACTATCCACCCAGGTGTGTGCGAGGTGCACCTGTCATGCACTGCTGGGCGTCTGTGGGGCGGCCGGTCACAACAAATCCTAGGATGGCGAAGGAGGCTACGTTATTGCATGTGCATTTGCATGTGCATGGTGCTTAATGCCTGTAACAGGAACGAGGTAATAGTCGGCAAACTCCCCCGACAGACACACACACACATATGCACACACACACACACACACACACACACACACACACACACACACACACACACACACACACACACACACACACATATGCACACACCTCAACCACACACACACACACACACACACACACACACATGCACACACCTCAACCACACACACACATATGCACACACCTCAACCACACACACACATATGCACACACCTCAACCACACACACACATATGCACACACCTCAACCACACACACACATATGCACACACCTCAACCACACACACACATATGCACACACCTCAACCACACACACACATATGCACACACCTCAACCACACGCACACATGCACACACGCACACAGGCAGGCGTGGTGAATCCCTAACTTTGCACTGCCTAGCTAGCCCGCTAGTTCCTCCAACCCTCGTCTGGGAGCTGCTCCCCGGAGAAACTCCAAAACACACAATTCATCATGTGGGTTTCCGCGCTCAATCTCAAACAAGCCACAGGTGAATATGCTAGGGCAGGGCGGGAAGGGAAGTTCAGGACCAACCGATGCCCACCAGAGCGATGATCATCCCGTGATATCGATAGCAGTCTGAATGAGGAAATGCCCAGAGGTGTAAGGATACTAAGTGGCCATACATATCCTGTGTGAGCGGGGTAAATTTTTTAATATATCATTTTGCATGAGACAAAGCAGCGGTAAGGCAGGGTAGTCATTTGCTGGCCCGATGCTCTCCCAATGCTAATTAGGCTGAAAGGTGGTTGCTGCGGAGAACAACTTGGTCAACACGTACCTGGGCTTTATTACCAAATTAAACAGGTTAGAAGCTCGCCTCGATAAGGATAGCTGCTTATAAACTAGAACGATGGTACTGGCGGCGTCGCTTGACAATCGGTGCATTATTTATTTGCTATAACTTCTCCCCAGGTTTCGGCACTTCGAGTGAAACTCTCTGCTTGCTCTCCTTAATGGCATCCTTGATGGCCACATGCGATAAACAATTATCTATCCAATCCGCATCCGCACGTGGCTTAAATGCAGTTCGGTAACGCGTCCAACTTGGACTTGAAGATTCCGGGCGATCAAGCGCCGTTCGTCCGACCCCACCCCGACGACTCCTTCCCTTACAAAGCAAAGTATCCATGCAGGCTATAGCCAAATTCACCTGTCCTATATTTTGTGCTTGGTGGGTTAAGGTTCCAGTCGCCCAGCTGAGGTTCCCAGTCGTAAACAGGCTCGAGGGCACTCATAAGCGCAAACGTCTGCAGCAATCTACAGACTGCTGTTCCGACATTATAATAAATATTACTTAGATGGTTTGGGCTGAGAATTTATTTTAGAATCCAACATCGAGCCGCGACCCTTAAAGCGTACTTAAAGCATCATGAACCTGCGGGACGAACGTCTGCAACCGGCGGCGGCAACTTCAGCGAACTGCTGCTGACCTTTCGGCTTCCTTTACCCTTGATTCAATCATACATACAGACGATTGAATCAAATTGAGAGCCTCCAAACATTAAGATGCTTAAGGCGCTTTATCAACGTGCTACTCTTTCGAAGCGCTTCAAAGGATTCGCAAGCTTTTACGGAGACAATAGGAGACATTCAGGCAGACAACCACGGTACGATTGTGATGCTATCATCTGTTTGTGTTAACCGCGAGTCAAATTTCCAGCTGCTGCCGCCGTACGTAATCCAAACTTTAATGATGATGCGTCCAGAAACCTGGATGCGAAACCTAGCAGGGCCGCATAGCAGAGTCCTTGCCCGTTTCGCCAGATCGGGCTAACAACCGTGGCAGAGGGCATGTATGGGTGCCAAGAAACCGACCGACGGGTGAGAAGACGCAAGGACCTAGAATCCTCAAGATCTTTGGACACCTTTAATGCAATGGCCAACAGTTTTGGGAATACAATTCCCATATGCATGGGAATATGCATGCTACGTTTCTGGAACCGCCTCCAAAAGCAAGTGGGGTCCATTGCTCATGCAGTTTTGCGGCAGGAGATAACTGATGCTCTGACCAGCCCGGAATGGGAGAGTTGGGAAACCTCAATGTTACGACTGTTTTCCTTCTTGGAGTGCAATATTTGGAGCGGACTACCGCAAGAAGTCATGGGGGTAAAGGAGCGTGTTGACTGGTTGTTGAGTAGACCTCTACCCGAAGGAACGATGATAACGGCATTAAGAGAGCGTTTGATGAGCGGCTGGGACCATGCGCGTCTGACTGTCTTGCCAGAGGAGTACCCATCAGATGGGAAGCAACCGGGAGTGCAAATGGCGAAGTATAAGCACTGGATGGGGCTGCCCTTTTCGGGAGCCGCAGCCGTCATGTGGCCAACAGATGCTAAGGTTTTCATTCCTCGTTTAGCACATCGTAAGCGAATGCAGTTTCGTTTATGTTGCTGGCTTTGGAGGACAACGGAGCACGAAGGGGCAAGTACCATGTCCCCAGGGGGCAGCGGTTTTGCCGCTGTTGTGCTACTAATAGCCGAATCGAGGATGTAAAACACGTGTTATTGGAATGCCCAGCCTATAATGATATTCGTGCTGAAGAGGGATTCGATCATCAACAGAGCATGTGAAAGGAGGCCATGACATGGGAACCAGTACGTCTGGCGAGGATGTTGGAACGTATGTGGGCTCACCGAAACTCAGTTACCCCCTTTAGACGCTAGTCTGGGCTGATGTGCGGTGTTTCCTGTTCTCCGTGGCTTTTAGGCGTATAGATATTGCCCTTGGGCCTTCGGCTCGTATAGGTAGTTTTACAGGTATGGGGTCACGCACCCCCAACCATGTAACATACACAAACATGCAGATAACCAGCTGAGGATCAAACACGGACAGCCGGCTTATGTTTGTTGAAGCGGTAGTGGCAGTACAGGGTTGGCCGCTGGCGACAGAATCTGGGGATGCTGTCCGAGCCGCTGTCGAAGGTGGCTTCCTTTGGCGCACGCTTTATGCTAGCTGGCGGAAACCCAGGCGATGGGCCGGGCGGCGGGGCCATGCGAGCTGCTAATTTAGGGTTTGTTGAAGGTATTTCGGTCGGTGGTGGCCGCAGCAAAGCTTACAATTTCGCACATATTGCTGTAGAGCGGGCCGTGAAGGGATTGTCCAGTTGGCTGCGCGAGGCTGGCCCTGGTTGGGGTATTGTTGTAATGCAGGTATGGGAAGCCGATAGTGTCCTAAAAGCCCTTTGTAAGCAAGTACGCTATTGCACCCGGTGTGCACACCACCCACGCAGCACAAGTCACAAATGGCTTCAACCCTCCTGATGGCAATCAGCTTGTATACATTTATTCTCAGAAATTTTCCAAGTTCGCATGTGCAGAATTGTTCAATGCAGCTATCAACTCGATAATCGGCGCATAGCCTGCAAGTAGCACAACTGTGTCGAATGCAACCGAACATATGAGCAGCTATGAGCAAGCAACGCAACCGAAATAATAAAGGATAACCCATGACTAAGTTAGCTAAGTATATATCAGCTTAAGATGTACGTGCGTCGGTTCGTTAGGTAGTAAAAGCCGCCCTGGTAAAAGCTACATACACGCGTGCTGCAGAAAAATCACCTACCATATGAATGGCAAAAGCATATGAAGCAGCTGTTAATCTATGTAAATGGCCGGGATCTTGTGCATTAACCTCACCTGCCTGTTCGTTGGGAAAAGGCACACCGGGCGCACTGCAACGACCGTACGTACATGGAAACGCGTCAGGCCACACGGTGCTATGTTACCCATGCTATGCTATGATGTGCACAAATACGTAAGGCCATGCACCAAATACCGGTCCATGCAGCTTGTGCTCGCATCTGTCTCCTTGCAAAAGTTCGCTCTCTAGCTAGGTCAGCCGGGCATGGGAAGGCTGAAATAATAACTGCATTCCAACTGCAGGGGTACATTGGCTACAGCGAAACGGCGCGTAGTGCAAACAAATGGGCTATGCACGATCTCTGGAGCAAGCATGCCCTCACTAGTACTCATCTTGCCACAGCGCCTGCACAACAACGGAGGCCAGGAGGCGGTCGATGTCCACCGCGATACGGGCGGGGCTACCCGCGTCGTTCTTCACCTCTCCTGCGAGCCGTGGGCCGCCAAAGCCGCAGCCAGTACTGATGGGAATGGTCCCTTGACTGCCGAAGCCAGGGGTGCTCGTGTGTCCTCGCCGTGAGACTTGAGCTCCCGTCTGATGCGATTCCGTACCACATGCTGTGTAACTGGATGCGAATAGAACCCCCGGGCTACGTAGCACGGGCTCAGCTCCAATGCCCGCCGCCAGCAGGGAACTGGTACGGTCCCAGGAGTCGGCAGCAATGGAACCCACCACAAACGCACTGTCATCAGCCTCGCTACAGCTGCTGCAGAAGCGGGGGCTACTGGTTGAGTGCGGGCTGCTACTACCGCTGCTGCAGCACCCGCTGGATGAGGCTTCTGGGCTGTAGCTACCTGGACAGAGCCCATCAACGGTGCCGCAGCTATAGGGACGGAACGTTTGCTCGTCACAAGTGTTTTCATCGTCACTTGAAGTCAGCATTGCAGGGCTAGGGGTAGGGCTGGGCTTCGCAGGCGTCCGTGAGAATGACAGCTCCCCAACGCGCTCCTCCATAATAACGCTTGGACACGCCTGTCGGCGTAACCGTTGTTCGAGGTTGCGGTAAACATTCCCTTCACATTAATCATTAGTATCAATGAAAACGTTGACTGCCTGAGCAGTCACTGCCGAGATAGAGCTCACCCTGGGCAAGAGTATGTCAATTGCAAGTTGACCTGCGTTCTCTCGTTGATCGGGCCGGCTTAAAGTCGTGGATTGTGTCCAGAGACAACTGAGCCAGTCCGGGACGAAGTAGCATGCTGTGTACTGGTAACCCCCAAACATTCTTAAGGATTCAGCTTACAATTCCATGATCCTTGTATGTAACCGATTATTCAGCCGATGGACTAGTTGAGTTGTAAAGCTTTGCTTGACGAAAGCCAGGTATGAAATTCATACCTGACATTCAATGTACAAGCTGAGCAGCAGAAGGACGGGGACGTAAAGCAATGGAGCAACTGTAATCCTGACGTGAAACTATAATTCTCCAGTAAATCCTTCAGCCTCCCATCGACGCCGGATGGCTGGTCAAAGCAGGTCAAAGGTACAACGGATGCGAACGCAGGGAACGAGCCGAAACGGAAACCTGCGGAAACGGAAACCTGCGTAAATAGGTTTCGTCACGCTTTCCGCAGCGGAGCCCAGATTGGCGGAAATGCGGAAAGAGAATCCGCATTTCCGCATTTGCTGTACGGCGGAAACTCAAAAGCAGATTCCAGGCATGCGTTTGCCATTTAAAGACTGCGTTTTACACTATGGAGTTATTAGATTAAGTCAAATGTCAACAACTACTGGCTCCGACCTGGGGGCTGCCGAAGTCATAGAGATTGACTGTGTTTCTGCTCAGAAGAAGGGTGGAAGGCCCGTTGACGACGTTTGGAAACATTTTGATAGAGGTCCTTACGACAAGAGCAAGAACTGGGCTCTTACCCCATGTAACATACGAGTGACAATTTCTGAGCATCCCAGAGCAATCCGTCAGCCAACAACACTATGGGGGTGGTATACGGTACCTTCGAGCACAATTGGAATTCACCAGATTCTAGATCCCACCGGACAGAACCGCACTGCCACAAGCTGGTTTCAGACTGTCCATGTTATCGCCACACTGAGAAGAGCTAAAAAACATCGTTACATGTTCATTTTATAGTTTTCGCAGCTTTCCGCAGTTTCCGCAGCCTTTCCGCAAAGGGCCTCCCGATTACGAAAAGTTTACGCAGACCTGGTCAAGTTTCGGCTCGTTCACTGTGCGAACGGCCTGGATCGGGCTAACTGATTCCGGCCCTGCCAGCTGCCAGGAATCTTGGATTGTTTGGGCCGTATAAGCTCATGATGCTGCAAGACGCTCCAATTAATTACATAGCTTTGCAAGCAGCGCGTGCGCTCTATATATGTTTAGAAACGCCATGCGACGCCACGAACATTGTTTCCCCATGATGGTTCTCCATGTCCAACAGTTCCTATCGAGCGGAACTTCGTTAGGACAGAATACCTTCCATGAACCTCACCATGGAACCTGCAGCCTTATATGTGGATTTGTACTCCTTAAGCCGGCTTCCCAGAAGATCTGTCATCGACTTCCTGACTTCGGAAGCAGGCCATGGTATTAAAGCCTGGATATCAAATGACCTTTTAAGTATTCGACCATAAATCCAGCCTCCCAGCCGGAACTGGATCCCTAGGCCCCTGACATGCATCGCCGTTTACTTGACTTCTCGATTTGCAAAACCTACGCTTCACCTATACAACCTACATCATATTCTCACGACACCGCAACAACAACGTAGCCTGCATCCCGTCATGCTGCACGCCGGAGTCCACCAAGTCGTCAGACACAGACGCATTACCTCAAAACCCTCAAGCGACATGGACGCAAAAAACAGGCCGGGCTCCCTTCGGACATGGCCTTCTTGCTCTCTGACAGGCCTCGCGAGAGTTGAGCATACATGCCAGTGATACCCTCGCATGCCACATCAACCGCCTCAAGCTCTCCACGCACACGGCCCCCCACAGACAACTGCTTCGAGCCGATTCAGGCATGCATGTTCAAACCCAGACCACGTCAAGTTATATTTGACCCGTAACCAACGCTGGCGGCGGACTGGATTAACACTAGGCATGTCCGCTCTGTAAGAAACCCGGCAACGGAGAGCACACCGCAGCACATGTTTACGTACACACCGTACTCTCTTCTCTGTGCGCGACAAGAACGCGCCGCGTGACGGATCATCGCTAGCCACCGGCATTCATCAGTTGACGTAAAACAAATGGAAAAGGTCCATACCTTCATGTTAGGATGGCTTTGCGTTGCCAACACAAGCGACCCACATCCATAACGACTGGCATCACACGACCTCATTACCTGCCAACATGCATGCAAGTTGTCTTATGCCGCGCTGCACACGCGCACAGTCAAAATGCAAGAACCACTGGACTGATTGTACATGCGAGTACTACAGAAATGCGCACGCGGAACCGTAGGCACTCATTGTGAGCCCCTTCAACTCCACCGCGCAGCAAACCCTTGTCCACGCCTGCGGTGTAGCGACCCAATAAATGAAAGTCGAACGTGCACCGGTACCTAAACTTATGTCAAAACGCAAACACTGGTATATAATGCCATCCCCGGGGAAAATTGTGTCACTCCGCCAAACCAAGCTCCGGGGTGGGATGAGGAAACCCGGCACGGGGCATTTCGACCATGCCCTGCACCTGCTATGAATGAACTGGACTGCGACGATATGGCAGAAGCACAAACAGCCTGTGTCAATATTTGCGTAAACAAGACGCAATGCTTCCCTGTAAAATCATTCCCAAGTACAATCGAAGCCATGTCTTCCTTGCATTACTAGGCCCAAGGTATCACTGCCTTAGCCAGCAAGCTAGGCGCGCCATCCTGCACCAAACCAAAACATCTGTACCTCACTGCCACCGAAGGGAATCCCTACTGCCTGGAGGTCTATAAATATACGGTGGCCGCGAGGGTGCGCTGCATTGCGACTCAACAGAGCATGCCTCCTGCGGCCTCCGAACCTCGTCAAAACTTGAATGCAACCTCCGGCGCCATCTGATCTCTAGCCTTTGTCTGACGCGTCCAGCTGTATGTTTTCACCGCGCCACGCACCACAGTAAGCGGTGAGCTTTCATGCGAAGTTATGTCGTCAAGCGGCGTCCTCAAAACTAAGTAGCGCATCGAGCACCACCCTCTCAACCAACACACAGAATTGGCGGTCCAGCCACTGAGGGCACACACCAGCCACAGGGCTACCTCCACTGCACCGCCCATCCTCCCGGGCCTCGTCACACAACTCGGTGCCAGCTCTGCCACCGCTGTTTCCCACGTTCCCGCAGCGCAGCGGAGACAACGTGCGAGGTGGAAGCGCTGCCGCTGCAAGGCAGCTGCCGCAAATAGCCGCGAAACGCTGCTCCACATCGGCCGCGCAGGTGCAGGCGCAGCAAGCCAAGGCAACCGGCGCCGCAACCGGAGTCCAAGTCACGCAGCTGGTGATGAGCCCGTGACCATGCGCGGGCGATCTTTCGGGCTTCCATGGGTCTGACGCACTTCCCGGCAGGGTTACGGCTTCTGTCAATGACGCCGAATGTTCCTTCACCTGACAGTGACGCAGTCCGTCATCCACCTGCTGCGCTTCGCTCAGGAGCTCCGGCTCGGTGTCCGTATGGCTAACGTCGCTGCCGGCATCGTCGCTGTCGCCATTGCTGCAAGTTGAGTTGCTTGCGGGCGACCCGCACGGGAACTCGCTGCCGTCCTCGCTTGCGCCTCCTGCGCTACTGATTATATGGGGTGGCGGATTGCTGCTCGCAGCGGCGCCAGTTCCGATTGCCGACAGCACCGCTGCCGACTGTACTGTGCGCGGCAGGGTGGCGCCCAACTTCGCAGATGTGGGTGGGCGAGGCCGTGGCAGGCCGGGCGGCGGCCGAAAGTGGGGACGGATGCCATAGTAGTGAAAGTTGTACGCTATCGCACGGCGGCGATACGCGATAAAGTGCTCGTAGCTTGGAAAGTACACTCCATCGAGCCAGAAGCCTGTGCTGTCTGAAAATGCCAGGTTCTGATAGGACATGGGAGGGCATACGCTCGTCCCGTACGGTAATCCCCAAGCAGATGCGGCTGGTGTCCAGTTCGGAGCTACCAATCCCGGTATGCCGCCGAGAAAATGGACTAGTTGGGGTGTGAACAACGGCAGCGCTGCAGGCACCAAGTACACGGGCTGAGCTGGTGTCGGCATGAGCTGCTGTTGCAGCTGCGGGGGACAGGGTACACCCATGAGAAGGTGCAGAGCGGTGAGGACTTGGGCGCAGGAGCCTGGTACCTGCTGCAACTGCGCGTATGTGCACGATCCTCGCGCGTCCCCAATACCCTCAAACGGGGTATAGCTCAGCGCAGGATTATCCAGCGCGCGGACGTCGACAGCATGTGAAGCAGAAAGTGCAGGCATAACGCTTCCAACAGAAGCGTTCAATGCGAGTGTGTCGAAATCTCCCGGAAGCCAGCTGCCGAAAACCAGCGGATTTCCGCCCGAGGAAGCGAGGCCGGCGCAGCTCACACCATCCTCTTTTCCTGTGCAGCCCATACTGTGCAGCTGTGCCAAACCTTCACCGAATGAGAGCTGGAGCTCCTGCGGCATGAGAGTCTCGTGCTTCTGTTCGCCCGTCTCGGGTCGCCTGCTGGCAGCTGGTTAGAACCTGTTATGGTTAGCACAGCAAAAGGAGGAGTGATAACCTTCTTATCCATGGTTTTCACAATTTCATATATCATCAAGAAAGGTGCATGTCCCATGCAGAGGCGCCGCGTTCATAGTGCCTTGAAAGCAATTGGGGGAGAGCTGCCCGTGACTTGCAGCGGGGCTTACAACCCACTCTGCCCCTCAAAAATTGTAGAGATCACTTTACGAAGTATGATCGGTAGCAATTAGACTGAACTTGCACTACTAGAGCGCACCGGTCGACCAACTGTCGTTACCCAACTTGCCCGAATTTGATATCCAGCCAGCTTCGGTACACCAACGTCTTCAAGCACATTACAAAATACACAGAATGCTAAATGGTCTCAGACCGTGCTTCAAGATGCTGTTCTAGCCAATACCCAAGATTGCCAAGCCAACGCGCCGCGCCCAAGCTTACGCACCTATGATCAGGTGGTTGCTGATGCCACAGGTGGCTGCTGATGACACAGCAATCAGACGTTGAATACAAGGGTCGGGGGTTTCAAAGCTAATGTTGTCGCAGCCCGTGCCCGCGGCGATGAGCTGGTTATCCTGGGCACACAAGGAAAAAGTGTTGCTAAAATCAGGTTGCAATAAGCTTGTTGCAGTTGCAAAGGTGCTCTTTACAGCTGTGTTTGGAGATTTTTTTGAAGTTGAGGCAAAGCGTTCTTACCACAGAACAGCGTTTCTTGGTAGGGCCTGCACGTACTGCTATAAGAATGAAAGAGTTTGAGTAAGATGAATTGGGCTTCAGAGGTTATACAGTATTCATGTGGCTAGGTTGGGAATGGGGACAAAGTACTATGACACCAGAAGTCACGAACGCTGGCATGCACAACTGTCCCCATGAATACGCTGGCAAGGTATACAAGAATGTTTCATGGCCATTGTGACGCTTATGATAAATGCTATTCAGGTCATTTTGCCTACCGACACTCCCGCCAACTCGCAGGAAGCAATCCGGTGCAGCTTACCAGTTTACAGACAATAAAATTGAAGTCGTTAAATCGCGTCGCCTGTTAAGACGCTGTGGGCAATCCTCCGGGGCACGCGACGCAACCGCATTAGTGTGGCTCGCTTCAACACAGGAACCTGCAATGAACCATATGCATACGCGTGTAAGCTCTTCGTGTCTTCCGAAGTAATCCTGGGTGATTTGCAGCGCCTTCGGAAAAGCCTTTCATACCCCCCCCTCGCACCGCGCAGCTCGAGCAGCAATGGCTTATCGTGTAGCAGGGCCCCCGGCTCACCCATATCCTCCCAACCGCACGCCTACTCCCATTTTTTGAGGTCCTCCCGGTCTGCAAGACATGCGCCCCGTAGGCTGCGCACACACTGGCTAAACGGGCAACTGAATTGGTCTCAGCGCCCTGATCTGCAACTCAACTGGGCTTACTAGCGGGCAGGCTTTCCAATGGCTTTAATGGGATGGTCACGTTTACTTGTCAAGCGCACCGCACTGCTTGGATGGGTCTTCGTGAGCTCCGGAATATCTGCCTTCCCCTTCTCGTACTCTCCAGCTGACAGGCTCTTACTACCCGGATAATAACTAGTGTTGCGGTGACTGTACGCCCAAGCGGTTCAAGTTAAATGACTCTATACTTACACCTTGCAAAAAGGCCTTTGGTTAGGCTGGATGCGGAATATAGCCAACTTAGCAACCAGATGTGGGTACCTGCGGTCTTCGCTTCGAGGAAAGCACGGAAGTACAAACGCCACCGTTGCGAGGAAACATTTACCCCAATGGAAATGCTTTTCTGGATGTCAAGACCACCACGTATGACACTACACCATGGCCACATGCGTGCAACAGTTGTTATGTTTGCTTTGTTGTTTTACATGCCAAGACCACCGCCCAACACGACCCCCCCCAACACCACCGCTTCGCGCAATATGCGCGCCATGTCCTCCAAGGGGCGCACGCTCAGGAAGCAGAGTCATGAAGGGTAAGTACGACTTGAGTACGACACAAAGAGGCTTCCGACGTGGCGCAAAAAGAGGTAATTACAAACCGTCTTCCATGCATAGGAAACGGTTTGTGACACACCTCTTTTCCATACACTCACATGTACTTATCCAAGGAACGCACAGTCCCGGACTGCAGTCCAGAGCCTGTGGCCCCCGAATATTGCAATGATAGCCCGCTGTAACAACAACAAAAACAATGGTCAACCCATTCCATTCGACCTGCTGGGCGAAACAATTGGAACTCAATTTGTCGTTAAAAATCGGGACAAAAAATTGAGTTTCGTTTCGAGGGAAACCCTCCTACGAAAAATAGTTCGCAAACTGCACAAAGCTTGGCATCCTAAGGAGCCTCTCTACTACCGATATCCCTAACACGTGCCGCGTGTTCGCTGGGTGATCTGCATACCTACAAACCTAGGTAACCTTGAAGTCCGACATGGAAATCAGTCATGAAGCCTCGCCCTGCTGGTTATTACCAGCGACCGACTGCAACGTACGCAAGGCCGTATGATGGCGGTTGATCATGCGCCAGCCAGTCATGTAACAACCGCAACGTTTCAAACCCTTTGCAAAGCATCTCCATACACGCATCACCATGAGATATGAATTTTGCTTCAAATGATAAAGAAAGAAAAGCTAACGCACGTTAAGAACCGATTGCAAACGCACAAGTTCTAGTATTGTGTCGTACCTGAAAATCTTTTTTGAATGCCAAGCGATTAGAAACTTCAATCTATTCGTCCGTCAAAATTTACGTCAAAATAACGACAGTCATTGTCCAAATGCCAAGACAACCCTTCCTCAAGGCGCGAGAAGTTTTCCGTAGCCTCGACCGTAGCCTCGGTCCGGACAATTCACACAAGTGAGGCAATGTGAAGCGCTGCGAACACAGCCTGCACTTTTAAAAAACAAACAACACGCCCGAACAAAGATTCAACTACGCGAGGGAACCCAATGCCATGCAACTTCCTCCTCTTCCAACGTCATCTCCACACAACGACGGCCGGATCCAGATCCAACCCCTAATTAGTTCCAGAAGAAACCAGAAGAAACGATAAGAGAGAAGATAATCAATACTGAAACCATACCGCACTATTCCCGATAAAAGATCTGCACACTTCACTCAACAAACCACCAATTCATGGGTTGCGCCCGCCTCATAGCCCACCTTTTCTCGGTACCGTCCCATGGCCGATGTGTTATTGCCTTTAGATCCAAACACAAACGAACCATTAAGCTCCCGCAGTCTATTCCTTCCTAGGCGCAGAAACACAAAACAACAACAACAACACCCAGTACCACCGTAAGTGAAGCCTGATGATGCTTAGCGTAAGAAACAAGACATACGGTGGCACAGGGGCGGCTCGCTCCTCTTCCCGCCACATCACATCATAGAGCGATGCGCGGTGCCACTGCACACGGCGCGCCGGCACGGCCGCCCACGCACAAGCACAGCGCGAGCCAAGCCTGTATGCCGTGTTCCCTTCCTGACGGAGTCCGAGCTCAAAGCGATGCTTTCAGAACCTATGCATCCCAGCGCACGTAATGGAGTGTTTCACGACGCAACACAACACAGCACAGCACAACCTCACACACTCATAGCTAGCACAGAGTTATGGCTTTTTCTTAAGGACTATGAAAAAGTGCGGTATGTACGTGTGCTTTTTGGTGCTCGGACTAGGAAAAAATGTCGTCGGTTGCATGTACGATAAATGCACGATCTCGCATGCGGCAAGTGCACTGGAAAAAAGCTTCCTCGGGGGACTCCTAACGTAAGTGCAGCTCCTGACACTTTTATTGTTGCTTCTTCCGCAGGGGTCGTTATGAGACCAACGAGCGCAGTCGTACAAGCATTGGCAAAGCACCACATCGCGTCACTCCCGCTTCCGTCCGAACCTGAACTAAATTAATAGGCATGCAGACACCGTCTTTACCTAGACATTAGACTCCTTGTTACGTTCGTCGGCACTTCCGCGTTGTTTTATCATTTATTATTTAGGATACGGATCTTCTCTCGTGCTTCCGCGTGCACCCCGGAACCCAAACAATTATGTGTGTTTCAGCCTGCAGGCCCGAACAACTAGTTGAGCCGAGTCTGCTGGCTTGCTGCCGGTTCCTGGCGGTTTCGCCCCAACCCTCCCTCCCCCCCCTCTACTCCCCCCCCAGCTTCAATCGCGTGTGGTTCGTCTTTCCCCCCCTCTACTCCTAAAAAACACCCTTCTGAAATGCACTGATTCACACCCACCGAGGACAGACAAAGCCCCATGCGCGACAATGCCCGGGACACGTTCATGCAGCTCTCTCCACACACAAGAGAATACCCCACTCGCATATACACACACGCCGCAACCCCATCATCACGCCAGCCCAATCATATCTTCAACCGCTACGCGAGCGATCACCCCATCCCAACCTGTCCTCTGCACCCTCCACCTCCTCGCCCCCCTCGCTGCCAGCACCAAAGAGCGTCCCCACCACCACTGCACCCAACAGGTGGTCAAGCTGCAGCTCCATCCACTTACGCCTCAACACCGCTGCCTCTTCCTCTTCCTCTCCATCGCCTTCCCCATGCCCCCAGAAGCTCGTCCGCCGATCACCGCAGCCCCCAGCCGCAGAGCCTAGGTCAAGCTCGCGCTCCTGCAGTAGTACCCGGGCTTGGTCCAGGCAGCTGCCGCCGCCGCTGTCGCCGCCACCGGCAGCGGCTGGCGGGGCCACGACAACAGATGACAGCCTCAGTTGCGCCTCGAACTGCAACTCCCAGGACGCACAGTCAAGGGAGCGTACCAGTACGGCTTCGTCCGTACTGTCTTTCAAATGGTCCGAAACGCAGCCATGCGGGCCCAAGTCCCCGGCCTCGGTGACACGCAATGATGCTGGCGGTGACGGTGATGAAAAGGACGGAATCGATAACAATGGCAACGTCAGCGGCGGTGGGCGCACAGGACATGCGACTATGCAGGTAATAACGGGGCAACCTCCGCCATCGCAGTCTTGTAAGTCTGCGCCCGAACCTTCCAGAACCTGCGAGTTCCCCCTCTCCTCCCGCTGCACCAGCTTTTCCTCCGCATCCTTGATGCCGTAGACGTCCCGATACACTCCACCACCGTCCTCGACTTCCCCAGCCTCACTACTTGGACTGCTACAGCTGCTGGTCGACGGATCCATGGAACCCAAGCTGAGACAGCTAGAGCTGCGGCTGTTGCCGTGGCTGTAGCCGCCATCCGAGGACGTCACCGTACGGCAATCCGAGTCGGATTCCCTGGGACTGGACGGTATGCTGAAACAACCGGCGCTCGTACTGCAGCCATCGTCGATTTCAGGGTCGGCTTCGGAGCCGCCGCCGTTGCGGCTACAGCAGGCGCCTGTGACGATGGCGCTAAGAAGCAGGGCGGCGGAAGTCAAGTCCGGGACTGCCCCGGCGGCGACCGCCCCAACGGCGCACTGCGCGCTGTAGACTGAGACATGGCCGCACCTGCTGCTAATGTCAACTTCGTTGCTGCAGCTATCGATGTTGCTAATGCTGAGGTCGTAAAGGTTGGGTATACGACTTGAAGCGTATGGCGATGGCGCTGAGCCGGAGGGTAACGCTGGTACCGACTCCTCGCCGCCGCCAACAGAGGAAAATCCAGCTGATGCTGCTACTGTCGCCACTGCTGGCGATGAGAATGCTGCTGCTGGCTTGGCCGCTGCAGAGGCCTCCTGCTGGCAACTGGCGGATTCTTGCTGCGAAGGTTCGTCTGGGGTTGCGGAAGGCTCCATTGCGGAAGGCTCCTTGGGTGTATCTATCCAGGAGGAAAAGTTCCCTGCCGCTACATTTCGGTTGAACCACTCCTCGCAGTCCGCGTCGAGGTCATCGTCGCTGCATCCGCTGCCGGCAGGGGATGGGAACAGCTGCTGCACCGAGGTAGTCGCGGGCGACGCCAGCTGCTGTTGCTCCTCATGAAGCCAGTCAGGAAAATTTCCATTTGTGACGTTGCGATTGTACCAATCGTCACAGTCATCGTCCAGGTCGTCATCTGTGACTGCGCATAGCGATGCTGGGGCCGACTGTTGGCGCGGCGGCCGGGGCAAGCCGGGAGGCAGCTTGACGGGCAGCCGTCGTGCAATCCACTCCTGATAGGAAATGGAATGTTGCGGACTGAAGTCATAGCTATCGCTGCTTCGTGCTACTTCAGAGCCTGCGAGATCGCGCCGATTCGCCGACTCTTTATTGTCAACGAAGTGGACGATGGCAGAAACATCAGCTGCACATGCACACTCAGATACACTTAGGACCGATGCAAGCTCCTGCGGTTCCCAATCGCCGAAAACAACGGCGTCCGAATGCCGGCACCTGTCACAGGCGGACCCGGGCGGCGGACGACGGGGCCCCGAGTACTCCTGCGGAAGGCGATACAAGCACGTGCTTTTGTGAAAATGGGTGGCATGCGTCATTTTCTATGAGAACTGAGCAAAGCACGCCGCCACGGTCGAAGCGTTCGGGGGCGCGGCACCGGAATATTGTTTGGAGTCACCAAGCATTCGCGCGATATGCATATAAAGTCGTTGGGAACTTTGTGCGAGGATCAGATCAATAGCCTTTTGCTGTAATTCACTGTAACAGTTAACCAGGTACTCAATAAAAGTTGAACCGTCTTAGCCTACCTTATTTAAAACAAAGGAATCCGTCAACCTGTTTTCGGTTGACACGCCAAAGGAGGCATTGCAATCAGTCATAACCACCCTAGCTTGGAAAGATAAAAGGGCATAAAGAAGACGCTGTCGACATAAATCCGTATCGTTTGCAGTCGTATATGGTGTAACTTAGATATTCCGGGTTGAGCATTGCCATAAGCCAGGGCGAAAGGTCCAAACCCCAGTCAGAAGTACGATTGGTTTCGTAGCGGATAAGTACAAGCACGCTGCAGGTATCCTTGGATTTGATGTAAGTCATAATAGCACAAACGTCTATCTCAGCTGCATCCTGATTTGCGCTTTTGGGATAAGATTTCCGGTTGCCTGAGATATCACCCTCTTTCGCTGACAGCTCCCAAATCGCAGCAGCATGTTTAGACGTGCTTAAATTTATGGTACCATTATACCTCTATGTGTGGCCTTTTTCCCCGCAATTAAGCCAATTAAGCGAAGGATTCTTCGTCAATGGCGTAGCGCAGTCAGGTTCCTCAATTATTACAAAACTACATACATACTTCTCGGAATCATCCTTTCAAGCATGCCTGTAGGAAACGAAAATCTGCCTCTGCCGTCGGCAAGAACGTTTGCCCGTGCACATGTCAGAATGCCACCGACTTGTACCACAAGGCGTCGGTCGCTTGTAACGATGCGCTATGTTTGCATGTAATATGGGATCAGAGGATCAACGATCACATATACGTGCTGCAGCAGGATAAATGTGTGACAGCAGATGCGAAGGTTGTCTTGGATGCGACTACCGAAGCGTCCCTCCAAATGCCGATCAGAATAAGTTCGACTGAGGACCGCGCGGCATCTTCTGTAGGAGCCCTGCAGCTTCAACGCTTCTGGCGATCTGTGGTGATCAACTTGATTGCCAAAATTAGAAAAGCTCCATGTAGCCTTCGATATTCTGGTAGAACCTGCGACATGAACTTTAGGATAACCTGCCAAGGGTTAGGTTGTCAAGTATCAACAGAAGAGTGAAATCCAGCGACGAAAGATGGGGGCCCTTGTGAAGCAGCTGCCCGCGTTTCTAAAGCACGTATGGTGTTGGATTGTATGGTGCCCAAGTACGTTTGCGAGGAAGATAATGTGGCCAGGCTGGAGAGGAAAGTGCAGTGGCATATTGGAATGTGAGATTAGCGTAAGCGAGTTACAGGGCGTTTTATTGCACGGGCGAATTTACGTGCAAATCTTTCACCGTAGCATCAGTCCTCAGTTCATTTCTTGGAACGAACATCAGCATAGGTGCAAGCCCTCTCGCTTGGGGGGATATGCAAACAAACATCCTGATAGGGGTAAACTCGCATGCTACCGAGCATTCAACCGAGCACATGCATGCTTAGTTGAATGGTGAGATGCGACCCCCCCTTCATTTCGTGCTCGGCAAGCCTGCCACCGCGTACCGGATATGTTGGCGATGTTACAGAACGCTGCACCTTGGTTTCTGTGCGCAATGCATACGTTGCTCGACCCCGCCGACCAAAACTACACGTGCCCAACTGAAAACACACCGGTGGTTGTGCAGCAGCTCTTGAGGCTTTGTTGGCTGAAATCCATCCTGAGACGCTGCACCTCGGTACCTGTGCGCAATGCGTACGCTGCTCGCCCGCGCCGACCAAAACTACATGTTCCCATCTGAAGACAATGCCGGTGGTTCTTAAACAGAATTTGAGCTTGCTGCTGGCTCAAGTCCTTCCGTAGTTGCTGCAACACGGCTAACGCAGGCACGGCCGAATGCGCTGCGAAAAGCTGTTCCAAGCCCTCAGCGGCATCCATTTTACTTGCAAAGTTCTGAACGACTTTCGCGATTCTTCTCTTTACCTAATTCTGCGTTGTTGATATTTATTTCGTAAGAGTGTAACTTGAGTTTAGTGGGAACAATGTGCATTATGCGCTGCGCTACCGAAAGCAGGCGCCTTATGGCTGATTCTTCGCCGACCGCTTCATCTTCCGCGGCAGTTTCACGAGCCCAGAGTTGCAAGCTACGACCGTGCTTTTAGTTACTGCAAAGCATCCACGCAATAGTCCAGCCTGCATGCCGCGTGCGGCTGTGGCCAACATGCCCACCTGCGCAACGCGCTGGCGCACTGGTCCTCATCCGCCAAGAAATTTTATATACATTTGTACAGGCGCATTTTGCGAATCGCACGCGCGCATCTGCGCGGCAAAATTCGTTCCTGACTTTTGGGGCGTGATGTACGGACCTTTTATTCGCGAAGTACGACCGGACACATTTCTGCGAGGGGCTGCTTAAACACGACACCGGATGTGGATAGTGACGCGCTGGATACATGCACACCTAGCTTTGCAGTGCTGCTGCGCGCAACCCGATGCTTTCATCGAACAAACTGACTGCATGTTCCGAGCAAGGACCACATACCTCTAGTAGCTGCTGTAGCCACTTGGCCAGCCTGTGTGCACCTATATCCTCCTAATACGCACGAAAACCACCACCCCGCTGGCCCCGCAGCCAATACTCTCCACTACCTAGAGCGTTACCTAGCAAACTGTGAGGTTGTGAGATATGACGATAAACGTGAAGGGCGCTTCCACTCAAATAATAAACCGGAAAATTTCAGACATTTTACGATACGTGAATTGGGCTCTTAAAGCAAAATCCACGCCATGACCACTTGCGGCTTCTTGTGCACTTTTCAACTGGTAAAGCTGTGCCTCCAATCCCTTCGCCTCCATCCTCACAGCAAGCCGCCAAGCCAGGCTAGAAGGACGGACAGCACAAGCCGGCGATAAACCCTTCAACGCCGCACCCTTCTGTGGTGCAGTAATAACACAGGCAGCAGTATCTTCAAGAACTCCATGTACTACTATTATGTTTATTTGCTCCCTGCTTTGCCCTTCAACTCTACATATAAGGCCCACGAAGCCTCCCCTGCGTTCCGGGTAGCGTACTCTGCGTTCCGGTACACCAAATTTGACCTCCAGACCACAAGCACCGCCAAGCGGCCTAAGCCATCCAAGGTTCATGGAGATCTCCCTGGAGCATTACACCCGACGAAACACGACGCGATGCGATCCGACCCAAAAGCCCTCTCCCCTGAGTGTGCCAAGAAAGTCAATCAAAGACCTAGCTGCTAGGGCTTTATGAAACCTGAATGCAAACACAGATTTAGCTTCTATGTCCATGGCCGCTTCCTGCCCTAGCACTCCTCCAGCCGCCTCCCCTAGCTGTCTTAACACCTCAGGCCGTCGCCGCATCCGCGAAGGTGCGGTCGCCCTCCCCGGGCTCCGCCTCAGCCTTGGCGGTGGCAACGCCTGCCTCCGTTGCCTCGGTACTCAGCGGCGGGAACTGCGCGCCGGAGGCGAGGTCTGGCGCCTTGCCGCCGTCACCGCCGCCCATGGGTGCAGTGTTGGACGGCTGCTTTGCCGATGGAGAAGCCGTTGCGTCTGTGTAGGGTCAGTCCGTCAGTCCGTCAGTCCGTCAGTCTGTCAGTCTGTCAGTCTTTCTGTCTATCAGTCAGTCAGCTGTCGCGTGTGTGTAGGTCAGTGTATGCATGTTTTGAGGGAGGTCAGGAGGGCTGGGATTCGGGCAAGGAGGGACAATATCGCCATCCAAGAAGCATGAAGGTCCGCATGAAGGTCCGATGGCGTCCCAACCGGGAAACCGGGCATGGGCTGTGTATGGCAGTTGTTGAAGGATGAGACGGGGTTTGGGCAGCAAGAGGTGTGCTGAGTTCAAACGCAAATCAACAACCCCATATCATGAGTACATGCGCACCTGGGACGTCGTTACCGTTACAAGTTTAAACACAGAAAGGGGAGGTGGAGGCGGAGGAGGAGGGATTCGGGATGGCGGGAGGTGAACCCCTGAGCAAGACCCAGCAGCACACGCCGCCGTTTGTCGATAGCGCGTCGCCGGCCATGCCAAGCGAGAGCGGAATCCGCGTTCCCTAGCGTGTTGTATGATATAAAGCTAATTCTACCCGGATACAATGTGCTGCGTGACCAAAAACCTTAACGACTTTTAACGTCTCCAACGGGGACCATTTTGTCAGCAGCAAACCAAGCTAGCCGTTTCTTCAGAGGCCGAATACAAAACGGGTTGAAGTCTTTAATTTAAATTCATAATATAAAGGGCGAGGTGACTAAATCTCTTCCCGGTCACATTCTGTTGCAAGGGGGGACTTGAGGGTCCGCGGTCGTCACATCACTTTGAGGCCGTTGCAAGGGCTCCCGGGCCAGACGCTGCTACGTCGTACACCATCTTACCCGTCGGCAGCTCCTTAGCGTCGCCGCCGCCGCCGCCGCTGCCGCCATCTTGGCCAGGCTTGGAAGCCTCGGTGCCGCCGGTACCGGCTGCTGCATCAGTCACGTACGGCGCCGCGGCAGTTGGATCCGCAGGCTCGACAGACGGGTCGGCCGCCGCCGCGCCGCCGCCATTGCCGCCACCGCCGCCACTGCTGTCGTCGACACCCTTCGCCGCGGCAGATGAGCCATGGGACTTGTCCGTCGCGCTGATTGCGGCGGGCTCAGCGGTTGTGGGCTCTGACTCCCCGGACGCGGGCGCCTGGAGCCCGCCGGGGGCATTATCACGGGGGTATGCAGGGTGAAGCAGTGGTGGAAGTGCAAATGCATTGCTGAAAAACAATTGGTGAAACGGATGTCCTTTACATTTTCCTCGTAGGGAATGTTCGAAGCCAGAGGCACAAGGGGTTCGATGACAAGGAGTCTGGCGGCAGTTAAATGGCAAAGGCGTTGAAATGTTTTCCTTGGCAAGGCCAATAACTACTCTGAGACCCATGTCAAATACAAATACAGACATAATTAATTATTAAGAATACATAGTAGTTGCTTTTGGCGAGGCGCGAGCGGTGTTAACAGTGAAATCATTAGCGTTAGACTGGGACGAAAGTTCGCACGCGGACGAATTCAAGCGGGGCGACGCGCTGGCTTAATATATAAGGAACACATTAGGTTACACTAACAAGAATAAAAAATCTTTAAACATGGTAACTCCAAATGCGGCGATCCCGTTTCCAGGAAGGGCAGAAAACTGACCCGCGGGTCGCAGCGACGCGCGGCAAGCGCCAACGACGCTGCTGGACTTCTCGACACTACAGAAGAAAGCCGCACTAATATTCTTATTATAGATGTTATTTCAAAGTTAATTGGTGCAAATTTGGTGGAGTTGTGTTTGTCTGGCCCTATCCTGGCCGGAACTGTATCGATGTTGGCACATTCGAGCGCATTTTAAGGGGTGACAGTTTTGGCTCCATTCCCTCGCAAACCTTGGCCGGCGGCCTGAATCATGATGCTTTGGGACCCCGTAGCAAGATCCATTTTTATAATGCGGGAATGCGCAAGTATTGATTGCCCGTAAATTTTACCTGCGTTTGCGGCCCACCGCTGTTGCCGCTGCCGCTGTCGGTCTTGCTCTCAATAGCCGCGGCCGTAACGCCGTCCTCGAGCACTTTCGGAAGCTGATCCGCGTCCTTATCAGCATCGCCGCCGCCGCCACCGCCACCGCTGCGCTTGATCTCTCCGTCATGCAGACGCTTGAGGCCCGAGGCAGTGCGCTGGACCGCGAGAGTGCAGGGCTGGTCGCGCTCCGTCATGGCTACATCACTGCCCACCACAGTATCTCCGCCGGGAGTTGCGGACGCCATTTTCGCGCCTGAGAGAGGCGCAACTTTAGCTATGAAATCGGTTGATGATTTTGTTGCAGGAATCGTTTCCTGCTTCCTCTGCGGCAATCTCCTCCTGTTTCAGCTGCTTGAAGTCGTGCGGCTTTTGTTGTGGCTCTTTTTGCTGATGCTGCTCTGCCAGTTGTTGTAACTCTTTTGCCACTATAGAAATGTAGGTAGTAGGTAAAAGATATGAGTTTGGAGGGTTACGGAATTTTCAGACGTGAAAATTGACGAGAATGGCTGCAGCCAGCAAATGCCGCACGGCAGCGTGCCCTCCCGGTCGATTGATCATGAGCCCAGCTGCTGCTCGCGTTGGCTGCTGAAAATGAGACAACAAAATACAAAGAAATGATCGGGCTTTGTTGTTGGTAATGGTGTCTACCCCTGTCGAAGCACCTGGCGATCAGATTGCGGTAACCGCTCGCAGTATGGCGCCAAACAGCCATTTTCGTTTTCCACGGCATTTCCACTTCCTTGGCACGCTGCCCCCTCTCTGGACCTCGCATGACTGACGTCATGGCGCCGTGCGAGCGTGCAAGGCGTGCTGCGTAATCTGTCATTAATGAGCTCCTACCAAGAAGGGTCGCTTGTAAAGGCTATCCAGTCGATGAACCTCGACATCCTGGGTTTTATTCTTAATACACCTCGACCAAAATATTACTACCTTTCGGAATCCTTTGCCGCTCCTTTTGGGCTGCCGCTCCTTTTGGGCAGGTGTATTCCTATTACAAGACGTATTTTACTGTGTGTCAAAGCGAAATCCAGCCATGGCCACCGCTGCTTCGCCGCCCGGCTCATTTACGCTGACACCCAAGAGTAGTGCGGTGTCATCGCTACTGCAGCTACCATATCGGGTCGCACAGGCGCTGTTGTCGCCCGGCAGCGGTGAAGGGTTGCTATCGCTGCTGCCTGGCTCGGTGCGGCAACTGCTGCCTGGCTGGGACCCAGACCGCGACATGCCTGACATGTTTGGCAAGGTGCGCACGCGCTTATGTATGCGCTTTCCATTATGTTCTGTTCCAATTTTGTTCTGTGTCCATAAAATGCATCTCAAGCTGCCAAAAGACCCACGGTAACGATCGCGCATGCGAAGTGATGCCCGCCCAAAGTTTCAATTCTCAGAATCTGATATCTGATGGCTCAGCCGCGGCAGCGAGATAAGACATGGGATTCTAGTCTCGCAAACCAAACGTACTACTTGCAAAAAGCCATTTCCAAATTTTCGCGTCGCATGTTGCTAAACTGTGAGAAAATGGTTTATGTTACAGATATGGGGATCACCGGCATTGCCGCCGCAAGAAGAACCCAAACACGCACAGTGTTGAGTTCAGTAAAAGGCCGCAAAAGGTGCCAAGGCGAGCCCCATATCACGGCCCGACTTGCCAGACACGCTCCCACTCCGAAAGACGCGATTTGCATTTAGTAATCCAGCATCGCCGTACATGCATCCCGCCGGCATGCAGGTCGTGCTGGTAACGGGCGCCAACAGCGGCATCGGCTTTCAGACGTCCCGCCTGTTGGCACGAAACAATGCACATGTGGTCATGGTGGTTCGGGACGTCGACAAGGGAAAAAAGTGAGAGCTGTGCACTCTTATCCGTTCCTCACGCACCCCTCGCCCCAGTGTTCCGCTCCGTCTAATCGCCTGCGCCGCCTACGCCACATGCCGCCTGCCGCATGTCCTTCTTGTCTCGACGGTTTTGTACTCCGAAACCCTTCTGAATTGCTGTGAAGTGAATATTTTATTTTATTTCCTCGTATTATATTATCATATTTTTGCATTTGGTTGGGTTGGAGACTTTGAGAAGGAAGATTCTGGAAAAGCAACCAGTTCTACTTTGAGAGGGATGAGATAATGATGGTGGTGGCCAAAAGAGGATGACCCCGCATGACCCATTTTGCCATTCGTGTTACTTGCTCGTCCTGCTCGTCTAAAAACAAGGATTAAGCTTACATCCAATTTTTTACGGGTTTTCCGTACTCGATCCAACTTTTACGACTAATGCCGCTACGACGGCGATTATTAATGCTTAACCCCCCACTTTTGATCCTGCTAGCTGATGTTGTTTTTTATTATATATCGTCGCGCTCATAATATCGCCGTCTAATGTTAATCGTTCTGTGTGGTGGCCATGGCGGCGGCGGCGGCGGCCGTGGGGGCGGCGGTGATGGTTGGCTACTGCGATGCAGAGCTGTGGAAGACATTCGCAACGAGTTCAGCTACGCCAAGCTAACGCTGATGCAGGCGGATATGGCCTCGCTAAAGTGGGCGGCGGCTGGCGGGGTTGATAGTCGTACGTAGGAGGAGACTCAAGTGTGTGTGGTGGGGTGTGCGTCTGTATGTGTGGTGTTGTGTGTGTTATGGGGTGTTGTGTGTGTCTGTATGTGTTATAAGGTGTTGTGTGTCTCTGTGTGTGTGTATAAGTGTAAGGGGGCCGTTAATAGTGAGAGGGATATAGTTTGTAGGGGAAGGCAAGGGACCTCCGGCCATTCATCGCTTAAAACACACACGAGGGCGTTACCGTTATTACACCCCCGTTTCCGCTACCGCCACCTACGCCTGCTCCCCACCTTGGGGCGCCCTCCACCCCTGGATGCTGTTACGCTGTTGTATGCTGTGCTGTTGTAGGTCAGTTCGGAAATTAGCTGACGACATTACGGCCACGGAGACTCCCCTCCACGTGCTCGTCAACAACGCGGGGGTACTCGCACCGGGGCCCTTCACCGTCACAGAGGACGGATTTGAGCTGTGGGTCAACGTTCAAAACCCCCCCGACACCAGCTCCAATTCCAGCTCCCCCCAACCCCCCCGGCGGGACATTTATATTTTTATGCGAAAGAAAGCGAGATAGAAACAGTGATAAAACTGCTTGGTATAATGATATCCTTTTCGCGTCGCAACACTTTCGCATTTTTTTGGTCCATCACTCCTGGTTTTTTTGAGATAACAGGACATATAATACACTACCATGGGAAATTTGCTTTAGGTAGCGTGTTTAACACATAATTCTACTCTGAAGGCACGCAGAGTGTGTGATTGGTGAGTGTGTTAGTTAGCTGCTCTATTTTTACTCGCATCATCATGTGCTCCCTCCCTCCGCCCTCCCTCCCGCGCTCCCCATCCGAACTCCCGTCCGCCCACGCCCACGCCCGCGCAGCACCATGGCCACCAACTTTTTCGGCCCGCTCTACCTGACGTTGTTGCTCCTGCCACGCCTGCGCGCCAGCGCCCCCTCGCGGGTTGTCAACGTGGCCTCCTTTGGGGAGATGTTCGGCCGGGTCCACTGGGACGATCTGCGGTGTGTGCGAGTGTGGGGGCGAGGGGGAGGGAGGGAGGGAAGGGAAGGGAGAGGGAAAGTAAGACTCCATCTCCACCTGCATGTAGCTAGAGCCCCTCCCGATGATGAGCAGCGGTGGCCGGGGCTAGCTAGGTGTGAAGGCGCCCGGCAGCAGGGGAAACCCACAACCATCCCATCCATACACGGCCCCTGAATATATACGCGCGTGAGTTACTTAACAGGCTTGGGGCATAGGTAAGTAGTGCGCAGCGTATTTATTGAAGCAGCGGTTACTGGTAAGGTCGAAGATTGTCCTAGAGAACTTGTCGCGACCCGGGGAAAAGGGTTTGTAAGTATATATGTCGAGCTGTGCTGCGGTTGGACAAGTCACGGAGTAACACGCGCACGCACGCACGCACATACATACATACACCTTTCACCAGTGGACTTGAATGCCGCAGCGACAGTTCAACATAATGAAAAACGACGTCCGTTGATATCGCGCGACGTCCGTCCGTCCGTCCGCGACATACACACATACACACACATGCACACATACATACACACGCAGATACACATACACATACACGTCGTGGCTGGGCAGCAGCCCCTGGCCAGTGTCAGGCCCGGTCAAAATACTCGTAACCTTCACACATACACACACATACACGCACATACACGCACATACACGCACATACACGCACATACACGCACAAGCACACACACGCACACACAAGCACACACAGACACACACACACACACACAAGCTCCCCCATGATGCAGGGGAATCGACATGTCTAGCAGCGGCCTGAGGCCCTACGCCGCCTCCAAGCTCTACCTCATAATGGTGTCCCGCGATCTGAACCGGCGGCTCCGGGGGACCGGTGTGGATGTGTTCCCTGTGCACCCGGGTATGTGGATGACCGGCAGAAGTTGGCTGGGTGCGGGGTTGGTCCTAGGGGGGTTGGTCCTAGGGGTCGGATGTGAGGGGGGAAAGACGAGCCACGAACGAGTGAAGCTGCTGCCAGGGCAAGAGTGTACCAGACGTAGAACTGACCGAAAGGCGTCCGGACTTGAGGGGGAGTGTGGATGGACCAGACACGTGTACGGGTGTAGCGATAGAGGGGGGAGCCTGTCGGGATGCCGTGGCTGTTCCCCGCTCACCTGCAGCACTTCACCACACGAGGTGAGACTCGTTTGCTTTTCCAAACGCGCCGCAAAAAGGAACGGGCGGTAAGGCGTACAAACGTCAAGTTCCCTGCTGCTGCTGCTGCTGCTGACAACGACGCTGCTGCTGCTGCTGACGACGACGCTGCTGCTACTGCTGCTGCTGCTGACGACGACGCTGCTGCTACTGCTGCTGTTGCTGCCAGCACGTGTATAATGAATTCCTTTCCCCGCACACGCGAATGTGTACGCGCACATGTAGGCATCGTGTCCACTCCGGGCGAGGCCAAGTCCGACAAGAGCTACCTGGTGTCCCTCTCGGCCCTCATCAGCAGCCGCCTCCACGGCCAGTCCGCGCTGAGGGGCGCCATCGCGCCGCTCTTGGCCGCGACCGAGCCCAAACTGCAAGGTGGGGTCTCGACCAGCAAGCGACATGTTCCTCATTCACGAAGATAGCGCTTCCGCTTGAAGGGAAGGGAAGGGAAGGCAAGTCCCGGCCCCGGGCCCCCGGCCCCAGTTTGTGCGTATGCCAGAGCGCGAACCCTCTTCCCAAACCCCAACCATGTTACCGGGCTGGTTGGCTTTGTTCGTTTTGTTCGTTGGTTTCCTGGATCTTAAGAGTGTTGGTTTTCGTTACGGGCTAGTTATGACTTATGACGACACGAGCCGTGTCTCGCATGGACAAGTTTCTCTTTAGGGATTTCTGGTTATGCTTGTAAATAAAGCCCCGTTTGTAAGGCGATGTAAGTAGCTTGGCGCGTGGACTGTACGACTCCCCAGGCGCAGTACTTGCGCCGTACTTGCGCCGTACGGTATGTGGCTAAAGAGGGGTTCGCCAATTTGCTCCACATACCGGACTGGGAGTTGCGTTCCGTTGATCCCACACGCGAGGGTGATTCAGTCATTCATCACCTCGTTCATATCTCTTTTTCTCTCACAGAGACAACATTCTTTGGGAACGAGACACCTTACTATGATTCCCGGGTTCTGCATCGGAAAACAAGTGATATGTTTTAAAAAAGAAAAGTAAAATAAAGTCTGTAAAGTAAAGTAAAGTCCTCGTAAAGTTTGCTTTGCTTTGCAGCACGCATTTGCAGCCTTAGCATTTGTCACTGCGGTGACGCAGCGGTGGTTTTGTTCCCGTCGGCCTGCCAGGCCGTGGCGGCACGTACATAGGGCCCAACGCGTTCGGGCTGCAGCTGTTTGGCTGGGGCGGCTTCAACACGGTACCCCGGGAACCGGTCAACTGGGCGGCGAAGGACGCGGAGACGTGCAAACAGCTGTACGACGCCGTACGTGGCGTACTGGACAGCGCTACTGTGGTACGTGAGGCGCGCCCGTCTGTCTGTCTGTCTGTCTGTCTGTCTGTCTATTTGTCTCTCTGTCAAAAGCGTGTGCACATGTGCAATGTTTAGAATCACTGTACGTTTGTCTGTTTGCATGCACGCGCGTGTAGTCGAGTGGTTTTCCTGCGGTTGTTCTTTTGTGTGTGTGTGTGTGTGTGTGTTTTACATGGTCGTGGGGGTGCGTAACCTGTACCTGCAAAGTGCCCGCAATATGAGCCGAGGGCTCAAGGGCTGCCAGATCGCCTATAAGCACCGTCCTACCTCGCACTTGCCACACACAGAGCAAGTGAAAAAGGGTCTTTTGATGTGACGAAGCTGGAAGCCTACTGTTGCAAGTCCATAAAAAAGAGTGCGTAAGGAAGCTTTGCGGGAATAGTCTATTCCCGTGATTTAAGACTCCACAACACAAACTGATTCTATGTGCGGCCCCTGACGGAACCGTTGCGGAGGAACACACATTTGCTGGCCAACGGTCAGTGTACGACACGTAACATATATACGATACGAATGAACACCGCTTTGGTACGGCGCCAACAAACGCGTGGGGTGTATCACACGACAAACTGTGAAACGACATGTGAAAAAAGCCGATGTGTGACCGGAAAAGTTGGGTAAATTTGTTTTTTTCATGAGTTGCGTTGCGTTGCGTTGCGTTGTGTAGCGTTAAGTTGCTCGCCTGGCTCGCCTCTCCCCTCGTCCCTTGGGGTGTCAACTGCAGGCTGCTGGCCTTGGCCAGGTGCCCGTGACCCACTTCCAGGAAGCGCAAGCGGAGGCAATCGCCAAGGAGCAGCAGCAGATGGCGGCCGGAATGGGCGGCGCCTCCAGGGGACTGCCCCTGGAGTCCACATGGCGCTGAGAGGGCCCAATTTCTTGCCTAGGTGGCGGCAAAGTGGGTCCCGTGGAACTGGCGAGAAAGGTCAGGGTGGTCAAATATTATGGACCCTCGTCGAGCACATTCGCTCATCCGTGCATTTGTGCTGCATATGGCGAACTGAAAGATATAGGGCGAGGGGGTCCTTTTTGGCCACTTCTTTTGCGATTGAGTTGAGTTGCGTTAAAACGTTGCATAGCGTGGTGTTGCTCGATTGTAAGGTATGGAATGGCGTATAGATAATGTGACGCAATGGGAAATGGGGAAATGGATGGGTACGGCATGATACACCTTGGGAGGCAGGTAGCACCTAGGGTCTCTTGAAACATGCGGGACATTTCCCCCCCTGGACCTCCTTGGCCACGGCATTTCCTCCAAAGTTTCAGGTTCCAGACAACTTTCGGCTTTGCACAGCGTTAAGGCACGCACACGATTTATTTATCGCGGGCACAGCGCGAGAGCCGGTCCTGCCTGTCTACCTGGCGTGCAGGGCGACAGCATTGCGCGAAGGTGACGGGCATTTGCCTATGGCAAGGGGAATGTAGATCTCGGATGGGATTGAAATCCTCGTGAAGCTGTGCAGCAGCTATAAGGTAATGGGCTGTGTGGAAAAAATTATCGGTGAAGGTGCATATGCATAAGAAGTGCATTGTCTACACTTGATTCCATGACGAAGCGACCACACTTGCATGCTGAGGGCTGCTGCGTGCTACGTGCTGCCGGCGGGTGCACGCTGACACCAGATGACAAACTTCTTGACAAGGCTGCCCATGTATATGTACATCTTTAGATTTGGTTTGACATACGTTGTACAGAGGTATATTTCAAAACTTGTACCAAGTTCACAAACAGTTTTAGGATCCCATGCTCGTCAAATTTCAGCTTGGGGTGAAATGACGAGCATCCTGAACTTATTAGCCATTCATACGCGACTCAGTCCAGAAGTAGTCTTAATGAAGAGCTACATAACATCAGAAAAAAACTATAGAACTACATATTTGTAGTTGCGGTTATCCTTTTGCTTGTCACCAGCAGTCGGTAACAACCCTTCGGTAACTGGTCGCTTCGGTACCTGGCCGGTAGGGTAACCAACATAACGAGCTAACGACCCAGTAGCAGGTGGAGTCATCGACCAATAAGGTCGGTAAAGTTACTAGTAAGGTTACCGGTCGGTTACCGGTCGTTATCTCGAAATGTCGGTGACCCTACCGGTTTACACGACCAGTTGGGTTATAGCTAACCGGTCGGTTACTGACCCTGTTATGCCATAGGGGGGAAAAGGGCTGTATGAAGGAAGGGATGTAAAGAGGGATTTATGGAGAGGTCGATGTAAGATGTGTGGGACAGGGGGGCATATCTTCACCTGTGGCCGCTACCCGGCGAAACCCTGCCTTCCCCGGTATTTAGGGGAGTTAACTTCTCAGTGGATCGCTCAGGTTCCGCACCCGCCACCGGCATCCAACGGAATCTACCGGATCGACGGCGGCTCCATTCCTGGTCGGCTTAATCCCAGGTCACCGCCGTCCATCGACTATTGACACTTTACCTACCACCACCGGAAGGATTTTCGATAGTTCTCGATCCCGGGATCTCCCGGGGGCATTGGTGCGTGCTCTACCAGTAGTGCCTGACCCAAGTAATACGATGTATATATGGAGGGATGTATGGCCCTATTCCATACATTCACCGATCGGTAACCGAACCCAATCGGTCCGTAGGGTGGGGCCTAGGTAGGGTTACCGAGGAGTTACCGGCCTTTACCCGACCGGTGGGTGACCCTGCCGATAGGCTACTTTACTAACCGGTTACCGGCCGGGACAAAACTCGGTTGGCCGTAATGGAATGTAATGGAAAGTGCCTAACGTCAGGGCGTTACCTGGCAGGACCGCAGCGGCCGGTACGAGCAAAGCGCTGGAATTACCGTGCCCTACGACGCACCCATGCACACCTAGGCATGGCTTCAAGGATATTGAAGCTGTTAGACATTGTGCGCAAGTCACATCACTTGACCCATGATAACAGGCTCGGGAGCCGCGTCCGAGAGTGTTGATGATACAAATGGGAATCCGGGGAAACGTGAGAAAGGATTTTAGGAATTACAGCTTGCCACGAGGCACCAATGGTTCATTAAAGATGTCTAAGCAGGTTGTGACGGCGGCCGGGTCTCCAACCGTCTTAGATATGGCTTGCACAGTTACGCAACCAAGCGCCGCCGCTGCGCTTCCGTTCTAGGGCCATTTATGTACAGGTACAAATTTGGGTGTAGATATCGTGCAGCAGCCGCCATGCCGAAATGAGCTAGAGACAGGGAAATTTGGTGGTGGCCAAGCCAACGCCTTTTTCCATCTTAACCCTTCGTACGCATTCCATCCGTTATCTGTCCGGTTAGGATTCACCGTTTTGCGGGTTTCTGAAAGACGTCGTGGTTTGCCGTATTGTGGACCGTTTGGACATGAAGAATGCGCGATTGCCTAATGCAATAGGTTACTCTTCTTCCATACAGACACCGCAATTACTTTTTGTTTTGAGATTTGACGCTCAAGGTTCTATTGTTGGCGCGGCTCGCATAGCAGTTGTCTCGGAATTGCTCACCTGCCCTTATGTTGCTTCTTCCTTCTGCCGTTGTTATCGTCCCCGTCCCATTGACGACAGCAGCCGTTCTTGTTGCCATGCCTGGTGACGGGGTAGCACAGGCGTCCTCTTCAAGAGCAGCTCCAGCGCAGCCAAGCGCAAAGAGAGGCTGGAACAGCTGCAGCAATGACTCAGCTGCAGAGGTGGGGACTTTTCTTCATATCGGAAAGCAGGAGCAGCAGCCGGTTGGGTGCACTCTGACGGCTGATAAATGGCATGCTGCTGGTCCCAGGTTACCTCGGTGCAGCGCAAGAGAGCGCGCGTTGAAATATTTCGCCCTGGTGTACCAGCTCGAATAAGTCTTTCAACGTTCCGTGTGCCGGACAAGCTGAGTCCTCCGCTGCGGGACGACGACAAGGTCGGAACCTGGTGCTGATACCATTGTCGTTGCATAAACGAAGTTACACCCGTACCCGCTCGGATTGCAGGATGGGCACTTCCAGTACGAATTAGGAGAAAACTTGAGCTCAAGATGTGAGTCCTTGGGTGTCTTGGGAAAGAAAAATGTGACCTCCGTATCATGTCACACACTGTTGTCGACTGGTTGCGCAGACAAAATACTTTCCAAGATGGGCGAGGGTAAGAAGCATATAATGGAATACGTAAGGGTACCCTTCTTGGTTATTGCCGGTCATATGGTGTAACCTAACCGGCTAATTCTCAGGCACTTTCGGCCGCGTCCTTGAGTGCTGGGATCGCAAGCGTGAGGACTACGTGGCTATTAAAATTGTCCGAAACATTGACAAATACCGCCACGCGGCCATGATCGAGGTAAACACACGTGGTAGTGGGTCCGCTGACCCCTCGTAGCCATCCCGCTACTTTTTAGAGGCCCTCCTCTTCGGCGCAGCGATGTGATCCACGCGGCTCCGCGATGTCTCTTGTGACTGTTTGGCACCCTCATCCCTAACCGACCGACGCAAGCCCCGCGGTCGACACAGCTTATCCGCTGAGAAGACAAGAGCCACGCTGCGTTTGTGTCGTGTCTCCATGTCGACATGCCGATGCCTGGAAAAACATGTGCTTCTATAGCCATTTCATCCCATTTCCAGACTTCACGTGTGTTCCCATCCTTGTCCCATTGCAGCTTGAGGTGTTAAACACGCTGGAGAAGAACGATCCCGCCGGTCAGAAGTAAGTGCTTGGCAGGGTATAAGCCTGCGCCGCTGTCACCTCGTGCACAGCAAGCGAGCGGCCACACTACTTGGTCGACAAGCCCCTTGCATAGGGTCTCTCCTTTCTTCGCGTATGGCCCTGCATACTCCGCTTCATTTTCGTCCTGCACTGCTGCCCTTTGGTTACCATATCCAATCCGATAACCAATTTGCCATTTGGGTCACGCGACATCTGTCGGCTTCTCGTTTCACGCAGCCATTGCGTCACGCTGCGGGAATGGTTTGACTATCGAGGACATGTATGCATGGTAGGTGGGCATATCGTTAGGGGGTTGTATACATGAACAGGCATCGAATGCGACGGGTTTTAGTGTGTTTGGGGCAGGAAAGGGCGTATTACGCTAGCTAGCGATTTGGGTTGGCCCAGGATGCTGAGCCTGGGCTGAAGCGGGCTTCTTTCGCCGATCCGACCTGCAGCTACTACATGCATGGTGTGCCTTTGGAGATATTGCCCTAGTCACGAGCTACAAGTTTTGCTGAATGGGGGGACCGTTTCAAAAAGCCGGAAGGGGCCATGGGTGGTTGGTTACAACTGCTGGACCTGTCGTCTATGGACCTGCAACGTCTACAGCTTCTCATCCTTGCCCAGTCCTGTCATGCCTGCTCTCGCGTCAGCTTCATTCCACCGCGCCGCGCCACAATGCACAGGTTTTCGAGAAGCTGGGGCTGAGCCTCTTTGATTACATGCGCAAGAACAGCTACAAGCCCTTTCCGCTTGATTTGGTGCAGGTGAGAGCTATAGCCAAAGCCTTAAAAAGGAGGGGAAGCGCTGTGCTTTGTGGGGTATCTGCAGAGCAGGGGGCCCAATGGCCGGTAGCGTGAAGTGTGCCCAGCTAAGGGGGCAGATGAGTGCCCGTAGAGATCGGTCCTTTGGATACTAGAAGCCACTTGTTGTAGTGGTGGTGACGCTAATGGTGATGGGTTCTTTGCGGGTGGGGGATGCACGTCAAACGTTCCGGTGCCAGCACGGGCTGTCCCAGCTCTGCCCAGTTTCTTGCATGGTGTGGCAGCGGCACTTGAACCGCTGCCCCATGGGGATAAGCGGCATGCCGTGGGGACCTCTTCGGACGGCTGGGTCTCGGCACGTTGGCCTCCGCGCGCGGGTACTTCCCCCTCACGTGCCCTCTCCCATGAGCATATCGCCACGCGCCATTTGCTTGTCGCGGCTGCGAGTGCGTCTTGGTGGCACGGCGCCTTTCCCCCACTCCCTCCGGGCCATCACCGGCCCGCCCGCCTTCCCGCGTGCCCGCCACGTGCCCGCCCGTCCTGGGCGCAGGACTTCGGCCGCCAGCTCCTGCAAGCCGTCAGTTACATGCACGAGCTGCGGCTCGTGCACACAGGTGTGGGATCTGCGAGGCGTTGCTGGGCCGCGCTCCCAGGCTGGCCTGGGTTGGCCGGCTTGGTTTGCGCGCGGGTGACAAGGCAGAGGCAGACTGGAAAAGGAGGAGAGGCGGATGGCTTATATATAGCAGAGGGCTGGAATATGAAGGGCTGAACGAAAAAACGAGGGGAGAGATTGAAGCAGGAAGATGGAGGGAGGGCGTTCTCTAAACGGAACTTCTTCCACAGGCAAAAGGGCTGTGAGGCATAGCGTACATATAGTTGGGGAGCCGATCCCGATGCGTGATGTCGCCGAGTCCGCGGGACCAGAGGCTGTGCGGACGGGGCACGCGCTTGTTTGTGCTCCATCGCTATAGGGGCTCCCGTCGGGAAAATTTTACCCGCTTGACTCCTCTCTTGCGACTCCTTCGCATCGGCCCCTGCCCGTAATGCTGTTGGCGCTTGTAGACCTCAAGCCGGAGAATATTTTGCTCACATGCCAGGAGTCCGTTCAGCCGGCCGAGAGCTCCGGGTCCAGGTAAGCTTTTTTTGGATGAAACCTTAGCTGCGACTGCATGCACTGTGAACACATCAAGCGGCAAGCTGACAACGGTGCAAGCTTGTCAAGGGTGCGTACTGCAAGCTTGGCAACAGCGTAGCAGCAAAAAAAACATGGCAAGAGATGGGGAAGAGGGGCGCACCCTCGGCCACAACCATGGGCGCACACATTGCTGGCTAGCGTAGCGGTGGCCCATGTGCTCTCACCCTGTTGTTGTTGCGTTGGTTATATGGACTGGTATGGAATGACTCATGTTGGCTGGTCTAATTGCGATTGCAGTGGAAGCGGGCGGTGCTGCAGCCGGCCTCCGTCCTCGGAGATCAAGGTGATCGACTTTGGCAGCGCCACGTTTGAGGAGCAATACCACAGGTACGCGTCTTGTGTATTCATCGGCTCGTAACAAGCATGAAACGCGGCTTGGCATGTATGATTGTATTGGGCTTGAAGTTGCAAAATTGAGTGAATCCTTTTATTTCCTTTGGTACCGCCTTAATACCGGCCATCTCACGTTGACCTCTCCCGCATTTCACCTCCTCCTCCCCCTCCTCCTCCTCCTCCTCCTCCTTGTTGTCTCTCGGACTACTCCTGGATCCCTCTGACCACTCGTGCTTTCAGCTGTCTCTAATTCCGTGTTGGCTGGTTAGGCCTTGGCGCTTGGCCCCTCCCCAGAACCAGAATTGCCTTTGGGTTCGTCTGTCTTCTTTCCCCTGGATTCCCCTTAGATTTTTTGAAGTTGTATTTGTTTCCGTCGTGTTTTTTCTTCGAACAAACAGTTGTATCGTGTCCACACGGCACTACCGCGCGCCCGAGGTCATCCTGGGGCTAGGCTGGTCCTATCCCTGTGACATGTGGAGCATCGGCTGCATCCTCATTGAGCTCATTACTGGGGAGGCGCTGTTCCAGGTAGGGTGCGTTGAGGGGATTGCCTACTACATAGGAAGAAGACCGCCGCATCAGACTGTGGTCATACGGGAGGGTCACAGTTTGTGGTCTCCTGTGATTTCTTTTGGAGGATAGAATTGACCGCCAAGGTTTCGATCAGAGCAAGCGTTGCTTTTGCCAAAGCTGCGTGTACGTTTCACGGGGCAACACGATTCTCGTCATTGTTATATCATCGTTGCCGTTGCCATCTCGTCCATCCAGGCCATCGTCGTTTTTTGATCGCCAGGGAGAGGCTCCAGCTGTCCCGCTTGTCCCAACCCACACAAAGCCATGTAGCCGGCTCCGTTAACTGTCTTGTGTGTTTGCGTTTTCTTTGTATGTTGTTAGCCCAGCGCTTGCTTGCATACAAAGCCATGTGTGCGTGTTTTTGCTATGCACAGCCTCACGTGCGTGTTCATATTCCGTAAAGTATGCATGTGTGCGTGTGTGTGCACGCATGTGATTTGAGAAACCTTGTGGTATTTTGTGATGTGCCGCAGACACACGAGAATTTGGAGCATCTGGCAATGATGGAGGCGGTTTTGGGTCCCGTACCCAACAGCATGTCGTGCAAGTGCGCCCGCACCCCTGCCAGCAAGTACTTCAATGGCTGCGGTCGCCTAAACTGGCCGGACGGGGCCGTTAGCCGCAAGTCCGTCAAGGCGGTCAAGCGTCTGTCCGGGCTGCACCAACTCATTCTGGAACAGGGTAAGTGTGTGGGCGGGTTGAGGGTAGGAGTGGGGCCCGGCGGATGGGGGTTTGTGCACGTCAGGATGGGGCGTGGCAATGAGCTGTTCGAGGTCTGTTTTTCTCTTCTTCCGGGTCGGGTGTCCGTTTTCATCCGAGGTATTACTCCGCCGTCTTTTACTACTCTTTTTTTTTGTCCGGGAAAGAACCACTCCTCTCGCGTTCGCGCGTCGATTTCCTCTCTTATCGCAATAAACGTATCAAGAAATGTCCTTGTGATCTTTGCCCCATCACGGCCCTATTGTTTGTTGTACACTACTTGGGGACGTATTTTTTGCGTTGATACTGAGTTGCCTGCCTCGCTGCGTTCTCTGCTGTGTGTGTGTCGTACCTCAGGCGATACCTCCGCCCGGGCCTACGCGAAAGAGTTGGTGGACCTCATCGGCTCCATGCTAGAGTACGACCCCTCGGCGCGCCTCACAGCGCACCAGGCCCTGGCACATCCGTTCTTCGCCGCGCCCTGCGTTGCGCCGCTGGGGACGCTCCTTTCCGTAGGGCCCGCAGTTGCCACCTCGGCAACGCCGGCGGCGGCCCCCAGCAGCGTGCCGTCCGCGGCCGTGGCCACGGCAGCGCTGGGTAGTGGCGGCACAGGCAGTAGCGCGCCGCTGCCGCCTGCTCAGGTGCAGTTGGCGGTATGAGTGTGCGCAGACACCAGGTTATACACACACACACACACACTGGGCCGTAGGGAGCCGCCTGCTCAGGTGCCTGCCTGCAGCAGCGGCGGTGCCAGAGGTAGCAACAGCAGAGACCGCACCTGCTTACGCCGCGACTACCCGCCCACAGCGGCAGGTGGGGATAGGTGCGTTTAAGGAGGTAACTAGAGGAGCATGTTTCTTAGCACCTTCTGCAGCCCGCTGGCCTGCATCTCTGCTTTCAGCCTCCTCTGTGTCGCGGTGGTAGCGGCGACGGAGGTTGCTGGACATGATGTTTGTTTGTTGAGTTTTTTTTCGTGTCAGCGTGCCAGTGCGCGAGGTTTTCACTTTACGCCTGGTTTGTTGATGTGATATTAAGCATGTTTGCTGTGGCAGTTGGTGTTTTTCCTTGATGTGTGGATGCGCCGAATGTTGCGCTGTACATTTAGCGTAGTGCATCATGTGGGCCGCTGTGTAGTATCCGCCGACGCCGCGGCCACGGTTGCAGCTGCGGCTGGGAAGCCAGTAGGCTATACTCGGCCGGCCGGCACCTGTGCTTGTCGGCGACCCCTATCACACGTGTAGGGGAGGCCCCGACGGTGCCTGGGCAGGGCGAGTTTTTCGCATATTACCTTCCAGCTGCTGCGTCCTTGTCAGGCGGCGGGGCGGGGCTGTCAGGCAGTCGCGGCGGCAACGGAAGGAGTTGCGCAGCAGCAGGGGTCGCGGAACGGTAACTGCAGCGGGAAGACATCAGCATGGGGGTCTAGCAGCCGAGTAGAGGCTGTGCAAAGGGGGGCCGCAGGGGACCTGGCTGTGGGCCGTCGGAAGCATCATCCATGGCAGGGGGGAAAACTGGACTAAAGAGAAGACGACCGTCGGGTTGAAGAAGACGAGCAAAGCTATGGAACAACAACAAGCATCCGGAGGAGCGGGTAGGTGGAGACTCCTGGCGCAGCGCTGCCTATGGAATTTTAAGCTGTGTTGTGCCATGCCACCATGTGTTGTTATCCGTTGGGGACCGGCGGGCCCCCCCCCATTGCGCCAGGAGGAAAGGATGTTGGGATTACCCACTGCGTTTGTGGGTTGCGCAGTGGAGGCGGGAGCTAGGAGCATGTTTTGCGACATGTAAGGGGTCGATTGTGGATCTTTGCGTGCACATGGTTTGGAGCAAGCATGGATGGGTGCAACGCGAAGCAGTGCATGGTGTCTCGCCTTTGCCGTGAAAGCACGCAAGCATATATGTGTCTGTCTCTCTGGACGTCTGTGTTACCGCGCGAAACGTACGGGCTGCCCCCTGCCCCCTTTCAGTGGGCCTTACGTACATAGCATAACACGTACTCTTCTGTACCAGTAAATCTTAAACCAGCATCTTAAAACGTTAACAACTTCACAGCTGCCCCAGTATGAGCACCGCGTGGGGTCCATGGTGTTGACTCCTGCGTCTTCTGGCGCAGTATTGCTCTGCCGCTCTGTCGATCCTGCGCGAGTGCTTTTGGATTATGGATATGGCTTCTGACGGCGGGCTTGGCTGGGGGAATACTGGCCTGCCTTATAGCCTATCACGTGCATACGGCTCTTAAGAAGGAGCCGAAGACACCTCCTACGTGGTGGCGTACGTGCCTGGAGGTATGGATGTGTGTGTATGAATGAGTATAGGGCTCGGAAATCGTAACCCTGCCATACAAAGGCTTTACTGGCCACAATGTAGCTTATCACGAAGCTTTGCGTTGCTAATGCTTTGGTTGATTGGCCTGTCACGTGACAATCACGTCGTTTGAGGCGTCCGTCTGCGCCGAAAACGTTGACTGCAGGCCCATGACGTTGACAAACTGGTGTACAGGATTCGGTGCAGGACCACCTTCGCTTCGTGGATCGGTTGCCATCGTTCGTTTTCTGTGTCGCCGCGATGCGGTCGAACTGTTTTTCCGTTGTTGCAGAACCTATGGTCTGCTTTGTGATGATGGCAGAATTCGTTGGTTTGTCGCATGTCTTACCCTCGTCGCCCCCGCCGCAGTCGTTGTTGCCGCCTATCGTTTGGGGTGGCGGCCACGCCCAGCGGCGTCTTGCCAGGTCTTTCCCCAAAAACTGCGACGCGCGTCCGTTTGAACTGGGGACGTTTATCTGCATGTGTTGTGTGTGTGCAAGAGGATTCCTTGCGACGGCTTACCAAGGGCGTGTCGTATGTTTTTAGTCCCTAACTGAACGCCGTCGTTAGTCGTTTGGACATCACCGTATCGGCCGCCAAACTTCAAAGCACTAAGTCCCGACGACTCTTAACTGATTTAGTTGCTGCGTTTCCATGCCTTAATCTGCGCTGTTCATCATTCTGCATGGTTCTGAGTGGTTCTGGAACGCAACGAAGAAACACTTGCGAACGGTCTCGCACGCTGGGGATTCAGTTGATTGGTTCGCATGGCTGCTTCCCCTACGCTTCAATTGCCACAGACAAGCATCCCTTAACTTCCCGCGATGCGTTTACCAGTTCAGCTGCCCGGTAAGATATCAGTTTGGCCTTGGGGCTGCAGTGCCGGTGTTTGGGCTGTGCACGATTTGTACGGGGGCGCCACGTCCGCCTCTGCGCGTTTACGCACTTAAGGCATGCCTTATTCGACTGCCTAGGAGTTGCGTGTCGCTGGTGGTGCACGCACACGATGTTATGTGTGCGGGTCTGTCTCTACGCGGCACATAAGCACAGTGCAGATGTAACGAGGCACGCATGGCTTACAAGCCCATGAGATTGAACCAGAGTAACAAACGTGTTTTATTCCCCAAAGGAACGGGGTTGTCGTACAAGGCCGCAATTGCCGTCGTACTTGGAAGGTACTGCAAAAACACTTAACAACGCGCGTCGTAACGGTTCTTTGGCACGCCTTAAGTACCACGTTAGACAGCGTTATACAACTTGTCCAAACAGCCTAACCTTAATGTGTGTGAGCTGTCGGTCTCGGGAACTTCACCTCACAATACACACAGCGCAGTACCTTGGCTGCAAATGGAGACCTTCATTCGCTAAAACAATTCCCTGGCTTGCCAATGGTCACCATGTTTTGCAATATCATCTAATCCGGGTCATTCGTGGCGCCCATACTTAAATCACGCTGCACTGACCATCGAGCTTAGCCAGGCATAGAGGCTAACCATATGCAAGTATCTCATCTCATCGAGAGATGCGCTTGGACATGTACATTATCATTATCATTCAATGGAGAACATCCATCACAGGAACAGCATAGGCTCCGGCTGGGTTACCCGAAATGATAGGAAAATGTCCATAAACAGTTTTCTTATCTCTGGTGGGCATCAATGTTTTCTCTATTGATATGTTAAATGCCATCCGCCGTTGAAAGAAAGCGCCGTTTCACATTATTGTAAACCAACAGATTTACACTCCAAAACGACTGGTTTCCGCCTTACGATTCTCGTACGGGACTCGGAGCTTTGGACGACAGGAACGATCATCCACACAACATTCGGAAGTGACAGGGTGGATTAACTGAAATCGGCCTAATCAACTTGATCAGCCTTTGTAAAGTTGCTGCTTGCTACACTTAAGCGCAGCCAGAGGCTTCCCTGTTGTGTGGGCATAATTGTTTGTGCAGACTGCCCGGCGAGCTCTTAAAGGCAAAGCAAACTACTTTGGACTTCATTGGGGCAATCAGGTCAGTCTGCTATCGGGCTTTCGCATGATATCACATTGATCGCTTGCGCGTGCGGCGCGTAACACGTACGCCTTCTTTCAACCTCAAATGTATAGCTGACGCCGAGCGCATAATTATGGGATATCTGGTTGTTTCTTTGTTCATGCATAGCATATTTCTCGTTTTAGCCTCTCGTTTTAGCCTAGCAGGGAAACCCTCTCTACGCGTTGTCTGACACAGTTCACGTTACATGTGCTCGGTGTCCCTTGAAATCTACATATATGCTACTAAGCTGGTCGATTGGGAGTTTTTAACGCCGACCTATGCATAACGTTGCGGCCCGTCGCGAGAACTCATTGCATGTTGATTAAGTGCTCGTCCTGTAGTGTAGTACGGCAAGTGCGGCGCGGGAGGAGCAGACCGGAATTGGCCAGAGGACAGTGACTGATACGGTAGTGCGTTACAAAGATTAGCTGGGAACAAAGCGCTGAATCCAGACAACGCTAGTTCGCCAGTCAACCGTGCAAGCAAGCGCAAGTCAGAACGTCGTCTGTTGGGGATTTTGAATTGTTTAAATAGTGATTTACTTTGTATTCGGGACCCAGCTCAATAGTAAAGTAGATAAGGCGATTTGACGTTGCTGGCATATCGGTCGCCAGTAACAGCGAAGTGATGGCAGAGCGCGAGCAATCGCGCGGCGGAGGCCAAGAAGGCTTGGAGGACATCCTCCAACAGCGGGACGAAGGAGGACACCAGAATGGCGGAGCACCTAGTTACCCGGAGGGGGCCGATGCGGTGAGTAACAGACGCCAGCTATTGCTCCGCGCGGTCAGACTGTAGGCACAGCCAGCCGCCGCAAGTTCTGTTATATCAAAGGCATGGGAGAGACCGGACCCAGTTTTAAAATAGCGGGAAAGGGATGCGCCGCCGCTGTTGTTTGACCAGGCTGGATTAGAAGCTACGGGTCAGGCTTAGCTTATGAAGAACACGAATCTGTAGACCGCGAGTGGCCGACTCAGAGTATTAGTGCTCGTGAGGTTGGGTCCGTTTCCGGTGGATGGCGCCGCGGCAGAGGGGTAGTTGCTTTGAGATGGCGCAGCGGGGTCTGTTATCCCAACGGGTCCCTGTCCTGAAAGCAGCCAAAAGCCCGCAATAGCGCCTAGGCAGGGGCACGCCCACTGGGGGCCACGCCCGGGGAAAAGAGGCACCTAGTCGTCGGCTTCACACTTCGGCAGGAGCAAATGCCCAAAAGTAACCATAGCCTGTAGGTTTTTCCGAAGGAGGTCTCGTGAAGGGCCGAGCTACCGTGTGGAGCTGCATTCTATCCGGAAGGCCAGCCCCAGCGGGTATGCTGTCGCGCGGCGAAGCACCCAGGCTGATTTGCCTTGGGCCGGCAGGTTTAGGTCGCATGCATCCGGAAGGCCAGCCCCAGCGGGTATGCTGTCGCGCAGCGAAGCACCCAGGCTGATTTGCCTTGGGCCGGCAGGT